CATGTGAATGGTCTAACCCTGATCGGATCAGCCTCAGGGCTCACCGACGTGTCTCTCTTTTTCTTTCCACCGGATTTCAGAACCCCATCCACGGTAAACGTTAAACTGGTGGTTCAAGTCACTGAAAACTTTTATTATTCTTTTGGACCAAAACCTGACAAAGTGGATTTTTCCAGCAAGGCAAAGTGTTATAGCCTTAGTTTTAGATGTAGCATTCCCATGGCAATGGCAAAGTAGACTATTGAGTTCACACAAACTTTGGCAGGCTGCTTGTCATTTTTCTGTTGTTTGTTGAGTTTATTTTGGGTGTGTTTGCTTGCTGTACATGTGCCATTTCATGCTGTAAATATCCCGCTGTCATGTATGAATTTTGTGTGTGTTTGTGTGGACTTGTGAGAACATTTGCCCTTCTTTTGCAAAGTTATTTATCGGGGTAGCCGTGCAATAGCTTCCTTCATTATTTTACGTGTGTGTTTGCTACTACCTCCTGCAGTGTACGTCTGACGGGCTGTGTGTGTGTTGAGGATCAAGCCACTTTTAATGGATTAATCACGTGGGTTGATGAGTAGTCACAAACTATGCCTTCAAGATATTTAATTCACAGATCGCGTATGGCAGAGTTCTGATTAGTATTGCTTCGCTTGCCTTTGACTTTTAGCCTGAGAGTGTTTTTAGTCTGCCCTCCATGGTAGAAATGGCCTTGAGTAAGCTACTTATTTTCTGCTAAATTAGGATTTGTTTACGCCTAAATCTTCTCAGCAATTTCAGTGAAGAGATCAGAGGTTAATAGGGATGATTTTGAAGAATTTAGATTAACTTCTGAAATCTTTATTAGACTAAAGAGTCCCCGAAGCTCCTTGTTAGAGCGTAAACAAAGCCTTTTTGCTCTTTGCCATTAAGAAGAAAACCAAACAATGTATTGTTAGTACAGAGTTGCATATGTATATAGTGCTATCTGATTTGTGCAGATTTATTCTGAGTATGTGCATAATAATGAGCTAGTTCTGTGCAGGACTCGTGTGGATCCTGTTGCTGTTGGCAAAAGTATTAGGAAGAAGCATTTTTGAAAAAGAATGAATAAAACTCTGGAAAATGTTTTGCGGTTCATTTTTTCCCCACTTGTTTTTTGTTTGAATCATCACTGAGTTCTTTCCCTTTAAGGTGTAGAAAACCTGTTTAATCAGTACATTTGCAGTGGTCTCTGGTAGGACTGATTGCCTTGCAAGTCATACTCAGGGGGAAACGAGCCCAGAAGTGCCTGGATCATCGTGGGCAGAATCTGAAGTCTTATTTCCTGATATTTAGACATCTCGTCTTGGATTGGATAACGGAAACAAAACTCTACCACTAACTCTGATTGCTCTGGGACATGAATGTTTTACCTCTACAAATAACTCAATTCTGGAGGAGCTTTTGCTGTGTGGTGGAGTTGCTAGTGCTAGTGGTTAGCTTACGCTAGCTGAGATGTTCAATGCTGTTTCCTTGACACTAAAACAAAAACAGCCTTCCCCATCGTGAAGCAAGATGGGCGAGTCTAAGCAACTGCTTGACGTAGATCTGTCAGGCTTTTCTAATCCTAGAGTTTCACATTCTATTTTCTATCAGAAGCTAATGCAGAAGATAGGTGTAGGAGAACTTCTCATGTTCAGCTTGCATGAGAAACTTAGAGTGACCGATCCCACACCTTTAAAGAGACATTGCTGCAGTCGGAAGTTTACATATCCAATATTAGGAAAGTCTTATTCATTTGTCTCCGTCCAGAGAAGCCATGGATGTAGTGTCGACCCAAACAGAAGCACCTGCTTCCAAAGAGTCATCTGCCCGCTTACAAACAAACGACATAAAGATTGAGATATCTGGTCACAAGGAGAAGAAGTACGTTTGGAGAGGTCTGCTGTACTAACTGTCAAGCATGGTGGCGGTAGGATCATGCTGTGGTATTCATGCACATTAAATAACAAAGGAATTATAATTTGCAAGATCAGGGGTCTTCTCTACATTCCACTGTTAAAAATGTGTTTAGAGCCTGAATTGTTGAAGGACCTTCTCAAAAAAGCTTTAATTTTTGAGAAATCCCTTTAGAAGAAGGCAAGGGCCCAGACATCTGAGAATAAAGATAGGATTCATAATATTTCTTTGAATCTTATTTTTTCTTTTCTGTAAGTATCTCCTATGAGGGATTTGCTGTCATTTTCCATTTTTGGATGTGTGGGAAAAGAAAAAAAAAACAAGATGTGTTCAGTGCCAGCTGATGTAACTCAGGCATCTGATTAGGATGCCTCCTAGGTGAGGTTTTCCCTTCCAGGCACATCGAACCAGGAGAGCCAAAGGAAGACCCAGGACACGCTGGAGGGACTGTTTCTCGTCTAGCCAGGGAATGCCTTTGGATCCCCCCGGAGGAGCTGGCCCAAGTGGCTGGGGAGAGGGGAGTCTGGGCCTCTCTGCTTAGGCAGCTGCCCCCGTGACCCGACGCCGGGTAAGTGGATGACTAGATGGGTGTATATGGATCTAAAAATATTACAGGTCACAGGGTCATTCTGTAGAAGAAATTCAATGCATCAGTCCATGACTTAAATTGGAAACCTGCTCAAGTTAGTTTTTTAAGGTATTAAATCATGCATGGAATTTACTCACTCATTGATTGTTGAATGTCTACTTGATAGAAAAAACATTTAAAATAATTCAATTCAATTCAATTTTATTTATATATCGCCAAATCACGACAAGAGTCGTCTCAAGGCACTTCACATAATAAACATTCCAATTCAGGTCAGTTCATTAAGCCAATCAGAAATAATGTTTCCTATATAAGGAACCCAGCAAATTGCATCAAGTCTCTGACTAAAATTAACCCAAAGACCCCGTTAGAATATACCATTTAACCCACCAGACTACAGCCTTTTCTTCGTTTGGTGTATGACAGCACACATTTTTGTCTCACATTACTTCAACGCGGTGGGAATTCACGGATCCTGAAACAAGTAAAAACATGCAAAGGAATTCTTGTCTACTGGTGACATTATGCTCTAAAAACACTCCCAAGGAAAAATAAAGGGTTGTAAATGAAAACAGATGGTAAACAATGAAAGGAAGTAGAATATAAAAGGATAAAAACAAAATAATAGTTATCTGCAGCAAAAGCACCCATTTGTCTCAAATACCTTCTAGTTGTTTCGTTTTTCTAATTAAAAGTGGAATCAACAAAATCCTTGAGTATTAGCCCCAAACAAAAATAAGACAAACTTGTTTTGGGATTTTTAGTCTTTATTTGCAAGCGAGTAAAACCTTGTACAGCGATGCTCACACCACGCCTGCAAAGCAGTTTTAAACATTCATAAAACAGCTGCAAAATTCAAGTTTTGGTTTTTTGCATCAAAACTCCACATCCATGGCACTTTTCCACAGTCTCTCTTCAGAAACCAGTAAACCGTTAAAACTGGTGGGACCAAACATCACAACCAGAATCAACGTTCAAAAAAATACTTTCATAGAACGTAACCCGACACCCGTGCAGTCTCTTAAAGCCTCTTTATGACACAACTTAGCCTTTATGTGTAGAATAATAATAATACACACTAATAATATATAAAAAAATACTGAACAGCTTAAATATTAAGGAACACTCAAGTGAACAGACTACATTTAATCGTGTCATCAAAGACCTGTTTTCTACAAACATCTGTACTGCAGGCTGCAGACATTTAAACAGAGGCAGTACATTCATGTTTGACTACCTGCTGAAAACAAACATATAAAAGGAACCAAGCTAATTAAATAAAAAAAAATCTAAATTTAATCCAAGAAGCTAATGGAGCTGTCAGCTGCTGCATAGTTCAAACCTTACACTGTCGCTCCTGCACACAGGACGGTAAAGTGCTCATGAACAGAAACCGAACAGATTCACCTGGATGAAGGTTTCTGTTCAGATACATCAGACATGATCTCAGCTCAGGTTAGAAAATCCCCTCGGCCAGTGATCATCACTACGCAGGGTTTAGATTTTTCTTTTTAATGGCACGTTTTTGCACTTCAAGGTCAGACAATACAGAATGTGTCGCTGCAGGTCAAAACGTATTCTTGATCTGCATGCAAGCAAATAAATAAATGGAAAGAAATGTTACACGCTTGCACATCTAGAGATGCGCTGAAGTTTGATTCGGACTTATTTAATACTCTTGACCTACTCATGTCATCTCAAACATCTACAGCTTTCAATAGCACAAAAGTGACAAATAAGGAGAAATAAAGTCTCTTTCTTACTTTAAAAACCTCGTTTACTTCAACTTTTACCTCTTTTCTCAACATATACATTTTAAAGATACGTAATTTTGAGTTTTTGCAAAAACATTCTTGAAAATCCCCTCATTCAGTGCATCTCTAGACACAACAGTTCCCAAAAATCAAAACTGCTGAAAAATCCTAGACACATTCAAACTCCTCTACCTGATTAAAAAAAAAAACTGACTGATACAGTACCTGCACAAAAATAAACTATTGTTTTTGCATTCGTAGTATGCCGTGTTAGTGAAAGCCACATTTGAGTTTGAATCCCTCTCACTGCCACAGATGCACTTGGCTACTTTTGAATAAAGCCCTATGTAGACAGAAGTGCACACCCTGTGTGTGTAACCCACTTGTAAACGTGTATCAGTGCAAGATTTGCCTGAAGGTGACCACAAACGCTGGTAAAGCAAACACTAAATAGCAGAATACAAACAAGCTGCTCTTAAAGAGCCCATGAGTGGAGGCTTAGATGGGCTTGTAAAGCAGAGAAGTGACGTATTTCTTTTTATATCTGTGAGTAGCACTCAGCACCATGACTCCATCCTACACAAACAAAAATAATGAGATTTAAGAATTTATATCAGAAAACGATGCAATATTTCACGTTCTACCTGCCACGTCTGAACAACGTGAGGCAGACTTCAGCTTCCAGTGCACCTACCTTTATGGAAAGAGCATAAAGGTGATTTAACATCACGTGGTTGGGTTCAGGCAGCAGGGCAGGGTCACACTAGAGCAGGGTGAAAGGAAATATGATCAGTGGCAAATTTAGAAAGGACATTGAAAGTATTCAGCTAGAATTCAAAGTAGACCGATGATGATGGAGACACTGACAGATACATTAGTGTCCTTGTTGAGAATGACTTGAAGCAGGTGAGGAGGGAGAATCGGAGGGGCTTTGAAGTGCTCCTCGGGTCTAAAGATGTACTGCTCCTGTCCGTACGGGCCTGGAGGGGAGCTGGACAGATCTAGAACAAAACAGTTCACACTTTGACTGATGACACCCTGCTAACCCAAATAAGGAGTCACAGCGGATCTCACCTGATGTGTCGGAGCACTCCAGAGAGTCGACCTGCAGAGCGTCAAACACCTCAAAGTCTGACTTCTTCACCTGGATCAGGTTGTTAATGGTGCCGAGTTGACTCGTTACCACCGGCTGCAAGACAAAACAACGACCCAGTTGGTGATGATCAACACAAACTGCATGAGTGGAAGCAGGTCCTGATGAGCATGTGAACAATTTTGCAGGAAAATACCAAACATGGGCTTCCTTTCACTTATCATATATGATGTAATGGTGGCTTTTGTGACTCCGGCAAATAAAATAATAAAATAATGAGTCAAAAAAAGCAATAATTTTTATTTTTAATGGAGAGCAGGGTGAAATGTTGTGGATTTAGTTGCAGAAGGAGACCGACGTACTTTAATGAATCCTGTTTACCTGTTTTTGCGACTATTTTGTTGTATTTATTTTCACATTTACTCGCTCGACCGAGGAGATAAAAAAAAACTAGACTTGTTGTTTCCCAGCACATCATTTAAACCAGGCTGAAGGCTCCCGCTATGATCCAGCGGAGAAGCTGCATTCACAATCTGACAGTTAAACATAGTTGTTTTATGATGTGTTCGACTCCAGGCTGTGCATCAGCCAGCAGGCGATTGCTGCTATCGATTTTCCCAGCAGCTCATTCATCTTGTCAGCGTGGGATGAGACAACAAACCTCAAATGCTCTGGCGAATCATCTCATGGTTAAAGTGGCTCCTCGTCTCAACAGCAAGTCAATTTTCCTTCCACTTAAATTATTCATACCGTACTCTCTTTTATTACTCACCAACTTTACCTTTCAGATGGTGTGAGAGGAAAAGACGTGAATCCTGTTACACAATAAAATCAGTGATTTTTGGTTTCAGATCACTGATGAGAGTGAAGTTCCTTTTACTTCAGGAACCTACCCATCTCTATTTTTAGTTTCTGCTTTGTATCTGGTTTAAGCTGCACTACATTGTTCGGAGCCACCTCTGCAAACTTTCCAGTTAATGGTCTACAGGCTGTTATTTACTCTGACTGGGGGTTGGTGTCTCCACACCGAACTGATGCCGAGCACAAATAAATCTGTCGTGTCTTTTGTTAAAAACAAGAAGCAAACGAACTAACAGGAAAATGGTAAACGGCCTGTATTTAATATAGTGCCTTCTAGAGTCCTGGGACCCCCCCAAGGTGCTTTACAACACAACCAGTCATTCACCCATTCACACACACATTCACACGCTGGTGGGGATGAGCTATGATGTAGCCACAGCTGCCCTGGGGCGCGCTGACAGAGGCGAGGCTGCCGAGCACTGGCACCACCGGTCCCTCCGACCACCACCAGCAGGCAAGGGGGGTTAAGTGTCTTGCCCAAGGACACAACGACAGCGACAGACTGAGCGGGGCTCGAACCTGCAATCTTCCAATTACGGGGCAAGCACTTAACTCCTGTGCCACTGTAAATGGGCTGATCTAAACAGTTTGGCCTTTATTACCACTCAGTTTTATTTTACTGAATTATTTATGAATCACAATAGTGGAACTGATCTCGTCTTCACCACATGCTCTCATAATCACTCAGTGTGTTTACACGTGCATCTAAGGCCCTGTCCACACGTAGCCGGGGATCTGCCAAAACGTAGATATTTTTCTACGTTTTGGCCTGTCATCCACACGAAAACGGAGTTTTTTCACACGAAAACGGATCTTTTTAATAACTCCGGCCAAAGTGAAGATCTGCGTTTTCTCCGTTTTGGGTGTCTACGTGTGGACAGACAAAACCAGAGTTTTAAGGTCTGCAACGCCATTTTCCGCGACAAAAAAATGCCGACATCACGTGTGCGACCAGTGTTTACACTAGCCGACAGCATGGAAGCCCTCAGAGCTGCGCTCGCTTTATCAATTGTCCAAGCACTTTTTGCTTGTTTGTTTTTGCAAGCAGAATTACTGCTCCTTGCGGAAGACCACAGACGAAGGACGAGGTTAAGAACGGGGGAAGTACTGCCGCCTACAGGTCTGGCATGTCCTTAACAACTTATTTATCCGGGTACGTGTGGACAGAGTTTTTTTTTTAATGAGATGGTGTGGATTCAAGTTTTTGGAGGGGCGGATATTCGTTTTTAAAAAAACCCGGCTACGTGTGGACTAGGCCTAAGTTGATCTAATACATTCATTCTAGTTTACATGTACGTTAGAAAACGGATCTCTCAAATGAAGTTCGTTCCACTCCGGTGCAGTAGGTGGTGACATGTGCTCTTTCACGATGGCATTCTTCAGGTTAGCTTACAGACCTGTTGAAGTAAATTTTGTAAGTCAATTTTATTTATATAGCACTTATGACAGGCATAGAATCACAAAGTGCTTCACATAGATCAAAACAAAACAATGATCTCAAAACAGAAATAGATTAACATCAGAAAATATTAAGTAAAATAAATGGAAGATGATTACAAATTTGAGTTAAAAATAAGAAAATAAAAGATTTAGGTAAAAGCAGCTTTAAATAACAGGGTCTTTAGCTGTGTAACGTTATGAATATCATAATTGTCTGCCCTTAACAGCTGCCCCTTTACACAGTAACAACGTGTATGAACCGCCAAGGTCGGGTGCCTGTTTCAGAATGTTTACATTCCAGGAGAAGAGCCAGAAGAACAGAAGAAGAACGCTTTTAATTAATCAAAGTACTTTATTTGTGATAAAGCTAATCGAAACATATGTTGATCAATAATAATCAGGTGAATGATCTGTGAAATAAAGATGTCATGATTTATGTGTTTAATGAATAAACAGGACTCTGCACCAGACAGACTGATCAACATAACAAGGTAAACACATGACACATTTGCTCTCATCCAATGAGAACTTTTGTCTGTCGTAGGGCAGAATCTGGGCTGTTTACTTAAGTTGTCCAATCCGGTTTACTAAGATTTATAAACAACTAAGGGATATAAAACAAGGCAACGCCATTTTATCACCAGTTCCACCTCAACTCCATGGGAGTTACATCTGAGTTTCAATGTAGTTTCCACCAGCTCTCATTCGTCATCGCTAATAGAAGTGCAGCTGGCCAGTGCACTTTCTACTTTAAGCTGAGAACTGTCAAGCTGGAAATTTTGGTCGTTTGAACAACAAGACGACGTTTCCTTCACAATAAGAGCTGAACCCGCCGAGACCTGCTACGACCGCCGGAGCTATCCGTAGACTGGTTTGTCGTGCTGCATCACTGTTTCACCAGCCCAGCACCAAGGGGGTTCTACCTGACACTCCTGATCTAACAGCGGGAGACTCCATAGGTACGTAGTCACGGCGAGATGGCGGCTCATGTCCTAAGCTTCTGAAGCCTCGTGGTCCGATAGTCATAACATCCGACAACCAGATCCGCCTACGGCAGCCTAGAGATTCTGAACACACACATACGCACCAACACTATAACATTCCAATCCATATGCATTCATCATTGAGTTAGTCCTGGTAGATTATTTGAATTCTTAATTATAGAAATTAAAGATTCTTAAACGATCCCAACTCTCTCTTTTCTTGTCTCTCAGTCAATACAAAGTGTTTAAGTAAACTCCCTGATGATAAAAACAACCGCTTCTGATTATAATATCTAGATCTAATTACAGAGTAAAAATATACGATCTACATTTCACTACAGCTGTTTTTTAAAAGTGTCCAGACTGTCAATGCTGCATAAGGATAAAAGAAAAAAACTCCAAAGTCAGGGTGCAACAGTCTGGAAGGAGTAATCACCTAACTTTTATATCTGGTCTTTGGAACTTCTAGAATGTTCTGGTGTGTGGACCTGAGGGCTCGGGTTGGAGCATAAGGCTTTAACAGTTCAGTAATATAGGGAGGAGCTCGACCATGTAGAGCTCCGAGAGTTATAGTCACGATTCTAAAATGAACTCTAAAGTTAACGGGTAACCAGTGCAGAGACATCAGAACAGGAGTGATGTGTGCTCTTCTGTTTGCTCCAGTTGGGAGCCTCGCTGCAGAGTTCTGGACCAACTGAAGGCGGTCAAGGGCTTTTTTGTTAAAACATGTGAAGAGTGTGTTACAGTAATCTAGACAGGAGGAGATAAAGGCATGGAGAATCATTTCAAGTTCATGTTTTGACACCAACCTTCGCAGTTTGGAGATATTTATGTGATCAAACAGTTTCGGACCAATGTTTTTGAGTGGCCATCAAGAAACATTGATTGGTCAAAAACAACACCCAAATTCTTCAGGTTTGTCTTGATGACTAATCAGGGGTACGACGATCAGGGGCAATGATATTGAAGTGTGAAAATCTATCAGCATGGTTAACACATGTAGAGCTGTAGGCTGCACAAATAGATGAAAGAAAGACAGTAAAGTTACATTTTACAGGTTTCCAGCGGATAAAATAGGCTGAAGACTGTGGTAACAGGCAATTCTAGTGGATAAACAGCCCACATCGTGGCAGACAAAGTCTCATGATGGGATAAAACAACAAAATATCTGCTCCACATGTGCAGATCTAGCTACCGTCTAATGACGTATGTATATTATTATATAATTATGCATGGCTGCAGGAACAAGGAGCCGGCTGGGGAATAACCGACCGAGCGGAGGCAGCAGTGGGATGAACTGTGCTGCTGATCAGTCCTGTGAAATAAATGTGTATGAAAGTGATAACGCCGGTGTGGTGCGTAGTTCTGTTGTAACCCGCGGTAACAGTCTTTTTACAATAATTTCACAAAACGTTTTTGTGCAATTGGAGCGGGCAGCTGCTAATGTCATTAGTTTGTGTTTCTGTTAACGTTGCTCGTCAGAATAAGCGGAGCATCCGTTAATCTCCAAAGACGAGCGGTGTCACAGTCGAAGAGATCCAGTTACTACTTCGGTTCAGCTGCGCAAAGTCCAGACGGCTGGTTCTTGTTACTTTGTGGTGATACTGTCAGAAGACCACTTCTGCAGACTCGTCACATTCAGCAGTTACCAGTATCAGCTTGGCGGAGCCGTTTACATGCAGATGCAGTTGTGTTCTACCGCATTATCTGGTTACTTCAGCACGATAACAACCAGTTCACCTTCAGCAAGATGAACATGTTTACGTGATTTTAAAAAATCACGTCAGTCTACTTAGGGCAACAGTTTGGTTTTCTGATGTGCATGTAAACACACTGACTGTTCTGAGACATTTAGACTAATTTAGGAGGCACTGAGAATATGGTGAATGATAAGAAAAACAAGCAGAGCAAAGGTGGGTCTGCTGTACCTCGGATGGATCATGGAGCCACTGTCCATCTACAAAAAACTTGTACTGGTGCTCTCCTTCAGGCAGGTCCAGAATGGCTACAAAGTCATTGTGACTTCAAAAAGAAAAGAGTTTAAGTGCAACACCAGATAATCTAAACTGAATAAAAACATTTAAGTGATCTCTACTCCTGCAGCTTGCTCAGAGGGGGAAAACCCCGGTCCTCGAGAGCCGCCATCCAGCATGTTTTAGTCGTTTCCCTGCTTCAACACTACAGATTTTGATCAGCAGGTGATTAACAAGCTAAATATGCCACTGAGCAGGTGACACAACCATTAAACAAAGTGAGTTGGAGCAGAGAAATAGCTCAAACATGCTGGATAGTGGCCCTGAAGGGCCAGTGTTGTCCACCCGAGCTAGCTCCTAGTGAGATAGAATTACAAAATAATTTGTTTACCTTTTATTTAGTGGAATCTTTGTGCTCCAGTTATTGAAAGAACCGGCTATGTAGACTTCTTTTCCCCCTCCAGCCCAGCGGATTACAGTGGGTCGAGCCTGAGGACCAGTTTTAACCAAGTCGTCGAGATCTGGGGTGAATTCTTTTTCTCCTGATGTCTAGAAGCAGCAAACGTGCAACATCAATAGATATTCAGAAAACTGATCACACAGAGCAAAGAAACGATTCTGCACCCTAGTCGGAATTGCCGGAGGGTTACCTTTGACTCAGGTCCATGGGTATTGAAGATGTTAGGGTCATCTGTGCTGTCCACCAACTTGCTGCTGGTCTCTTGGTCCTTGTGACTCCCACTGCTGTCGGAGCGTTGGGCCTTCGCTCCATGGCGATCAGCAGATACTCTGTCACTGGTGTTACCCATGATGCCTCACAGCCTGACTTCCCACTGCAAGGTCAGGAGAATTGTTTTGCTATGAACATCCAATTTTACAAAACTCCAGCCGTTTAGACACTGACAATCACAGCTTAAAATGCAACTAAAATTTTGTTAGTAAGAAATTTGCCTTTTGTCAAGGGAACTTAAAAAGAAGTTATTTGTCTGTTACTGTCAGTGCGCCCCAGGGCAGCTGTGGCTACATCGTAGCTCATCCCCACCAGTGTGTGAATGTGTGTGTGAATGGGTGAATGACTGGTTGTGTTGTAAAGCACCTTGGGGGGTTCCAGGGCTCTAGAAGGCGCTATATCAAATACAGGCCATTTACCATTTATTTGAGGTAAATAAATGGCTTTTAAATTTCTCGTTTTAATTTGCAAGATAAAATTGTAATACAGTAAATAGACTAGAACCAGCCAGCAAAGAAACTCCACCAATGTTTCCCAGAACTGCACCTTACATTACACTAGAGACCCTGCAAATGTATAACGCTGTTGTTAACACAACACATGTGAATCAAGATACTACAAAGACACAAAAAAGTTTTAGTTTATGATTTTACACTTTACAAATATATAAATCAGTCCAATTAGAAGTCTATTTAAAATCCCATATTAGATAAAAATGTTAAATATTTGTATTTGACCACTAACCCAAGTCCCATGCCTGATCAGCTGACCCAAACCATTGCTGAAGACATCTAAACAGACAACAGGATCACAATCAGGAGATCAAGGTGTCATGAAGAGACCCAGTTTGTATCAGAACGTGATGACAGCAAACAGCTGTCCACAGTCTAGTGTTACTGCTGCAAAAACACAGTAACTGATGTGTTAAAATGACTGGAACTGTGCGTGCATCACTGCTGCGTATGACAACGGTGAGCAGTGTGGTTTAGCCCAAAGGCTTAACGGCTTTAAAAAGCTTTTCTAGCTTCATGAGCAACAGGTGAAACCACATGTGCCGTATCATAAAGTCAACGTAACCCACCACTGCCCGCTGGATGTCAGGCTGTTCCTGTCCACCTCAGCTCAGCCAGGGTGAATATTTTTAGATGCTGCTCGCAGTTCAACTTAGCTAGCTACCAGCAGCCACTACTAACAAACAAACAAAAACGACTTGTCTGCTTTAATAATGACTGCTAACGACACAAATTATGCAGCTAAATAGAAACGCTTTTGGTTTCCCGTGTAGCTACAAAGGAGACACTCACAAGCACCAGCTGCCGCTCCTCAGGACAGCAGTTTGTCTTCAAACCGAAGACCTGTCCGCGTCCTCCACTTTTCACAACAGCAGCACAGCGGGGCTCCGAGTACGGCGAGCGCAGAGGCCAAAAAGTGATTTTAGCCAATCAGGAACGGGAAGAGACGTGACGTCAGTTACATTTGAGGGGTTGTTACCTTTGTAATATCTAAATAAATACGTTTGTTTTCCTCTTTCAACGAAAATTAAACTTTTTCATTGTTGTATGAAAAAATTATAGAACGCACACAGAGGAAAAATAGAAATTGAAGTATTAGAATCAATGTACTTTACGTTTGGAGGCAAGAAACAAAGTAAACAAATTCCTTCTTAATTTCCATTCTGAAAAAAAATCACATTATTCACAATGAAGTTTAAAAGTAGCTTTATTTTAACTAGTAGCGCCAATGCTTTAGAATATTTAACAAAATACATTGCGTTGCCCAAGACATTTTTCAGATGTTATAAGCTGATTATATTAATTTAATGCTTTGTTGCTTAAAATGGGCACTTTTAAACTTTAGTTAACATTAATAACTATTTTAACATCTCAGTATCATAACACTAAAATTTTTCAAGATCCTGAGAAATAAAAACAGAAATTATGCACTATTTCCATTGATTATTTCAGGTGAAAATGGTGGAGGGTAAGCCAGCTGATTGTTTAGTTTGAGCTGATCACATGGAGCAAACATCGTGCAAATAAGGTCCATACCGATGAGAACAAAGAAGGGACAAAAAAGACCAGGCAGTGTTGATTTTTGGCTTAAAAACTTTGCAGACCTTTTATTCTTACAACCAATCTTTGACACTCTCCATAAGAATAAATACTAAAAAAAAAAAACAGCATTAAATTGGTCTCCTCCTCAAGTTGCAATTCATTAAGCTATACTTAAGTTAAATTTCATTAAGCGCTCATGCAGATAATAAGGTAAAATATCAGAATATCTTGAGTTTTTTTATTTATCCATGAGACAAGTAGAAAACCTGTTACACCAATGAACAGTCACTGTAAAAAAACAGAAATTACCACTTATAAGCAAGAAGTCACCAGAACCTCCAAATGCAAAATTAGCTGCCTACGTTTCTATTGGGTTTCCTTTCTGTAAACACATTAATAACTAGTTTTGCTTCGTTCGACTCCTCACCTTTTGCTCCCGCAGTTAACTTAACAACAGCAACTTCTCAACTCAACAAATCCATGCTTATTATTAAAGACATTAGTGATTTCAAACATGCATATAAAGTCATTTGTCTACATCAGATTTCAGAAAACATAAATAATATTAACTCTGAATAAAAACAGCTTGGGTCTCATTCAAACTGCTGATCAGAAATGTAAAGAGAAACCACTCACTGTCCTCTTTAAATAGTAAAAATCCCATTTTAAATCATCTGTTTCAAAGAAGAGACACGTGACAAGAATGTGGTCTTTGCAGGTATTTTCAGTCGGACCTGTTATAACAGTTTTTAATCAGTCAGTCCAATAAATAAGCTTAACTGAAAACGTACAGTACATTAAAACAGTATATGCAGCTAAAAAACTCATCGCAGAGGTTTGCATCAAGAGGCTGTAAGGCACAATTAAATGATCACAAAGAATATGGGGTGAGTTATTTTCACATTGCACAACATGCATGTCTTTGCACACACACACGCACCCACACACCCACACGTGTGCGTGCGCACACACACACACACACACACACACACACACACACACACACACACACACACACACACACACACACACACACACACAGGCATTGTTCCACCGTTAGAAAAATGTGTTGTTTTTAAAACCAGCAGCTACCACCTGAACATTTGCAGTCCTGTAAAACAAGTCGTTTTAAAACTAAAAAGTGTAAAATCCTGTCTCCAGTGTTTAGACGTGTGCAAACTCAGACAGTGTTGATTTTCTCATTCTGACACAAATGTGGCAGGTGACTATTTTCCACACAGAAAATAGTTTTCCGTTAAGACAAACTTTTCCTGTCACAGTCATTACCTGGAAAACATTGAAACTAAATATATAATGTTGTGTTTTTTTACTATTATGTAGCCTCAGAAGTGTGTGTGTGTGTGTGTGTGTGTGTGTGTGTGTGTGTGTGTGTGTGTGTGTGTGTGTCATCTATTGTTTGGGACAAAGTGTAAAAGTAGAGAGTGTGTTATGTGCAACTTTAGGATAATAAAAGAAGCATGCACACCACAACTGATTAAAACACTACTGGCAGGCAGCTCTAAAAAAACCATACAGCCTTCCGTCCGATGAAGTCATGCTCTTTACGTTGGATGTCCGTCTGTCGTTTTGGAATTTTTTTTATTTGCAGGCTTTTTTCCAAGTCTGATAAAACACTAAATGATCCTCTTTTTGTTCACGCTTATTTTGAGATTCCTAAGCCAGTCTTCATGTACTCATAAACCACATAACTGATGCTGACAGCAGGGATGACTTTCATGAAGTTTGGCAGGATGCCACGATAGAGCCCAAAGAAGCCATCTTTGGCTACGATTGTCCTCAACAAGGAGCTCATGGAGGGCTGGTCTGACACATCCAGAGACGCTGCAGGAACAAAAACACTCAGTTACATGTGCAGCCCGCATGTCTGTGCTTCATGTTCTAATACTGACACACTGTGCAGATCGGAAAGTGTACTAAACAAGTTTATAATACTTTTTGATGATGGGATCTCTGGCGCAATTATGTCTTAAGTCTTGTTTTAGTTTCTACTCAGATATAAACAGAAGTTTGACTTAATGAAGAACCTATTTTGAGTTTTATTCCAGTGATTTGTAACCAGAAAATCAAAAATAGGGACTAATTCACACACATACAAAATGACTGAAACAAGCAACTAAGAAGATAATTTATAACTTGTTTTTTTTATAGGATGATAATAAAAGCACTCTTCTCAGAAGAAGGTCAAAATGGGAAATGGCCTGTTTTTTATAGGGCCTTCTTAGGGTTCTACAACCCCCCCAAGGCGCTTCCGCACATGCTGGTGATGATGATGCCCTGGAGCGCGCTGGTGCAAGCAAGACTGTCGAGCACTAGCACCACCGGCCCATCCAACCACCAGCAGCAGGCAAGGCGGTTTAAGTTTCTTGCCCAAGGACACAACAACAGCATTTTCTGGTGGCAGCTGCGATTTAACCTACAACCTTTGCATTACTGGACAACCCGCTCTACCTCTTGAGCTACTGCTGTCCCTAAAATAAATAGATATGCAAAAAAAAGGGGAAACACTTTACAATAAGGGTCCCTTTATTAATGCTACTTAGTGCATTATTAAGCATTAATAAACTATTAGATAATGTATTAACCTTGCTTAACCATATTCTGTAATGCGATGCTAAGAAGACCCACCCCAACCCGTTGTCCTAACCTTGAGGACAGGTAATAGTTAACAATACCAGGAACGTTTATAAAGGGTGTGGCGGTGCGCTGGGACGTGCAGGTCTGTGGGGCAGCAGAGAACAAACATGACAGCGAGAACGTGCACAACCACAGCTGAGGTGCATCAAAAATCAGATGGCCTCCTCTACATATACAGGTGGCAGACGTGGAGGAGGCGTCTTCATCCACGTGAACTCGACTGGACCGGTGAGATCCTGGAACGCCGATGAGCTACGAGGATTGAGTGAGGAGCAGCCGGAAGTCTGTGTGTGTGTGTGTGTGTGTGTGTGTGTGTGTGTGTGTGTGTGTGTGTGTGTGTGTGTGTGTGTGTGTGTGTGTGTGTGTGTGTGTGTGTGTGTGTGTGTGTGTGTGTGTGTGTGTGTGTGTGTGTGTGTGACCCCAGCGTAGCTGTGATGGCTACAAAGGGACTCTTTGTTTATTAATGCTTAATAATGCACTGAGTAACATTAATAAAGGGACCCTTATTGTTAAGTGTTATAAAAAATAACTAATAAATAACTGGAAGAAAGAAGCAGATAAACTTTTAGTTTTGATTTAAACACTGGATAAATGGTTAATAAGATTCATGATTAAAATTTTTATATTTAAATGACAGAAATGAGTTTGAATGTGAAGCTAAATGTAACAAAAGCATGATTAAAATATTTATTTCAAATGGTAACATGAACTGAAAATACCAAACAGTAAAATAAAACATAATGGAGCTGGATGGAAGTAGCTCGCGAAGAAAAAGCTTTAAAATCATGGCTGAAAAGTAAATTTTTTAAGCTAAAGGGCTCATTTATCCTTCAAGGAATCAGTCTAATTAATGAGATTTAACATCCAGGTCAAATAAAACCTTTTAGCTACATGCTAACAGGAAACTGTAGAAGGATAGTTTTAGCTGTAGTGTAAATGTCCGTCTGCGTTTACCTTGCGCCTGCATCCGTGTGCGTACGAGTGCGAGAGGATAGCTGGCCAGCTGGCCACAAGTACTGGAGATGGTCCCACAACCCAGCAACACCAGAACTCCAGGGTTAGCCGAGTCTTTGGCGTGATACGACAACCAGGTGTTCTTTAGAGTCTAAGAGCAACGAAAAGGTTTCATTCTGGATCTAAAACAGCAAATGAAAAAAGCAACACCGGAGGAGGCTTCCTTCGTCTCGTACCTCATAAACAGCGAGGTCTATACCAGCGTAGGGAATAATGCCAATTAAGTTTGGAACGTAGCCCTTATAGAAAGCAATGGCTCCCTCCTTCCTCAGGATCTTCTTTGCACAGTCAAACATTCCTGCATATTGGCCAGTTTTCCTCAAGGTCAGGCGAGTTTTTAGCACCTGAAAGACAAGAAGCACAAAAAAATGACCCCTTTTCACTTTTCTCTCATCCCAGGAGGCGACAGGTGGATTCCTACCTCCATTGGGTAGATGGCCGTCTGTGCTGTGGCTCCAGCCATAGAGCCGGCGATAAACCTCTTATGTGTCTCAATCTTCTTTCCCTCTGATGACAGCAGCTTCTTATACTGTAAAAGATAGAACATCTGTACATACAGCCGCTAACTGTCTTATAGAACAGTATCTACAATCATATGTAGGAAAAAGTTTGATTTAAAGCTTCGGACTTGTTCATAAGCCATGAATTTGATGGCCGTCTCAGGCGCGATCTTTAAAACATTGATTCCATTTCCTCTCCACAGTGACATCAGACCACCCTCCATGATCATCTGCCTGAAGCCTCCAATCAGATTGATCCTGTGGGTTTTGGATGAATGAACCTGTGACGTAAACACACAGAAGCTTAGCCACATTGTTTCACACTGTACCTATCGCTGTGTAACCTTCACGTCTTCACCTGCATGAAGACCTTGAGTCTGTCCAGGGGGGCGGTGCCAGTGCGGGAGACGGCGCCTGCTGCTGCACCTGCAACGAGCTGCTTCCACCAGACATCCGAGCTCTTCTCCTCCTCTGTGAATTCGTCCGGGATGGAAAGACTGTCTCCTATATCCAGCACCTAGAGATTAAACAAGCAGGACTTTACGCAGAGTTAACAGAATTCCCACACATTAGCATAAATATTCCTGTTAGAACTACAAAGTATCAGTCTGTTCCTGCCAAATATTTACTGATCTGAATGATTCAGGCTTCCCCACATAAAGATAAGAGTTACATAGTCAACTACTTCTGCTTGCTGTTTTCACAGTTCAGTAGCTGCTCGTGCATAGTCATGCCAGACAACATTTACATGACCTTCAACAACCAGAAAGATGATACACGACAACACTTTATCAAAGGTACTCATTATAAATACACATAAAAACCTAAATGTAACAGCTAAAACACATCTGCTTTATGATTTGAACTCTTTCCCCTCTGGTTAGGACTTCCTGTGAAACCACTGAGCTCTCTGAACCCTCACCTTGCACTCTTTAGCTGTTTCAGATCAACAGATCTGATGTTTTTCCTAAAGCAAAACAGTTCCTGAGAGGGAGGGAGGTAAAAAAACTGTCTTTGCTCTGATAGTATGGAGCTGGATGCCATAACTAGCCATAAGAGGTGAGAGAAACAACGTGTACTTCTGTGACCTGATTATCTTGTTTGGTTTAAGCTGCTGCAGAGAAAATCTATCAAATCTGACGCATGAGGAGGACAGGGCATGGGATGGTTCCACTGCCCATAAGAGTGTTTCTGAGCCTTACTAAGGAGTGTTTCCAGTAGCGAATGATTTCTTCCAGGTTGAAGGCAGGGTAGAGCAGGAAGTGTTCTCTAAACTCATTCCAGTCGACCATCATGGACCCATCGATGTCCATGCTGAGGATGGATGGACACAACATCTTTAGGATAAATATGTTGCACTATATGCATATAACAAATGTATGACGGATGCATGTGGAAAATGCAAGCACCGACTTTTGAATGGAAGTGGTCAAACCTCTGCAAAATCTTTTGAGCAGCCTCCCTGTTGATTTCTATGCCCAGTTCTGCAAGCGCCTGCTGGATCTCCGAGGCATCGATGCGCCCTGACGCACACAAACAAATTCACCAAATGATGGTGCAAATTTTAAGCAAAAGGCATGAAGTAAAAGCCTTCTCTTCTCTACCGTCGTTGTTCCTGTCCAGACTCTTGAACGTCAGCCGCAGCTTCATCTCATGGTCTTTCAGATATTTGGTGAACTCGGTGAAGTCCAAACAGCCATCCTGGTTCTGGTCTCCAGTTAAAACAATCTTCTGCAGAGAGGAGAGAGAAAGAAAAGTGAAATGAGTCCAGGTCTCAGTTGTAGGAAGTTATACGATAGTCGAACTGAGACGGTGGACTTGGAACTCATATCTGTTACAGGCGAGCAGGATTCCTTTGCTTCGAGTTACCTGTGCAGCACCGTGGCGGAACATCCCCATCTTCTTAAGGCCCGCTCGTAACTCAGCCACATCCACCTTGCCATCATTGTTGGTGTCGAGTTTATCAAACAGCTCCTGGTAGGAGCGCTCACTGCCGGCATCCCAGAAGCTGCAACCAGCGCGCGGTAGTAACGCCGTCCGCAGCGCCTGAAACATCGCAGAGCTAATGTGGAAGCAGCGTACAGACGAGCCGTGCTGCAAAGCATTAATCCGATTATTAATCCATATTGTCCATCGTTCATTAATCCACCGCGTAATCCACAGGTAAACCGAGCGTGGTCAATGACAAAAAGGCTTGGGCGTTTGAGTATTTTGCAGAGGGACGCTCAGTCCACAGCGCTTGTGAGGAACTGCAGTGGTTGTGGGCGGAGCCACGGCTGCGCGTGGCTGCGCGCGCGCGTGTGTACGGGAAAAGTGGTGAAATAAATAAATAAATAAACGACTAAATAAATAAATAAATGTCTCTGATCGGAGTTATTTCAATGCATAAACCGTTATATGCTTACAAAAGCAAACTCGACTCTTTAAATGACACGCTTTCCTTTGCAGTGTGTAAAACTGCATGACAGAGGAACTACATAATCTGTTTATCTAGAAGGACGTGTCAGCACAGGGAGAATGACTTTAGCTATCTCTACTGGACAGTACCGCACTCCTCCAGTAGAGGAAAGTGTTTCATCACAACAACAGACAAAACTCAAGAGCAGAAATAATATATATTCCTATATATGTACCCACACATTTACAAAAAAATAAATTAAACACACACACACACACACACACACACACACACACACACACACACACACACACTTTTTTGTAAATGTGTAGGTACTCACAAAACTGGCTCTCAGTATATGCAGAAGATATGGGATGAGTAAGTCTGGCTGTGTGAGAATAATCCACTGAAAGGTTTTAAATTTGAGGTTTATAGAAGCTTTTGGTGACACTACATTTGCTGTTCTGGGTTTTTAAATGCCATTCGGGAGTTTGAAGTTCCTTTGTGTGAGCTGGTTGTTGTTATTCATAGATCTTGTTGAATAAGAATAAAAACCTCCGGTTTTGTGATATTCTTATTGATTCTGTTTACCCCTTGAAATAAACATTTACTGTTGATCATAAAATGTAAATTCCCTTATTTGACCCCATGATCACATGAGAAATGCCGGTTGGGTAAACATTTGAACATGTTGGCACAACAGAAACATATTCTTTACTTCTCAAAGCCAAACACAACAGCATCTGATTTCCTTATTCACTGAGCCTTCCTTCCAATCAAATCACGGGGTTCGTGTGACGTCGCGAGCGGTGTTTTTTCAGTGGGTGTGACGGAAAAGTGTTTGAACCGAGGTGAGAGAGGATTCTGCAGCTTTCCAACTCCTCAGCACTAGCCAGCATGTCTTTCATCCTCATGAAGAAAAAGAAGTTTAAATTCAGAATAGACGTGGACTTGGAGGAGTTGTCTTCGGTTCCTTTTGTGAACGGAGTCTTATTTTGTAAAGTGAGACTCGTAGACGGAGGCTTTTCCGATGAGTCGTCTCGGTAAGTTTTTTTTCTATTTATAGCTCAAAACGTACACAGAAAAAACTACTCACGACCAATTTATACTTTAAACCAGATTTAGTTTAGTTGGTTTTACTTGAGTTGGAGAAAAAAAAGGATGCTAGAAACACAGATTGGTTGCTTTTTTCGCACGAGTCACTCCAGGAACACCAGACCCAATTTCTGTTGAGTTAACATAGTTTCAGCACATTATAGCTTTTCCCTCATTCTGATTACTTAAATTCAAAAGTGCAACATATGCAAGAAAATGTGTCAAACAGACAGTAAAAGTAGTGAACGTGTGTAACGTGCTTACAAAACAATCACAAGTAGTTAGTAGGTTTGAAATCTTAACATCTGTGTGTTCCAGCTGTGAAGTGATCTCTAAGAAAACATTTCAACCAACATGCAGGGAACAACTGTTAAAATTTAGCCCACGTGGCAAGAACTTAACATTGATTTATTAATTCAGAAACGATTCTTTACAACCTTTCTTAGAATTTACTATAAATGAATTCCTGTCTTAGGAAACATTAGGTTGGAGTGGTTCTTACTGGAAAGTCATCAGTCTTTAACTGCATCAACACACGGACAGGCAGCCACTCGGGTGAAAACCCAAACAAGCTCAGGAAGAAAATGGAAACGTCACTCAAAAAAGAAAACAGCAAACTTTAAGCCAGACTCCTGAGGATCAAAGGGACATGGTTAATCTTTTCTAAAAGAACATATTAGAATAGATGCATTTTGACACCAAAAGGTGCTTTTGCCACTTCTTTATTCATACTTCAAAGAGTCTTCATATGTTGGCTCAACTGGGCGTGATGTGTGTCCGTTTGTCCTCATCTGACAGGAAGCCTGTGCAGGCCAACTGTGTTTATTGGAAAAAGAGGTTTTCTTTTATTTGTAAGATGAGTGCCAATGCTGGGACAGGAGTGCTGGACCCCTGTGTGTGCAGAGTGTCCGTGCGCAAGGTACTTTCTTCTTCTTTTCTGCTTCATCAACACAACAAATTGTAGCAGCTCTCACATAGCAAAGTCTACGTTGGCCTGAATATTTTAGAAACTGTTTGCACATCTAGAACATATTGTTAACTGGTAACCTGAACACTGCAAGGAGTTATGGGTATTGGGTTATGTAATTAATTCTAATGGATCTTTTTTCATTCCAGGAATTGAAAGGTGGAAAGTCTTTTGCGAAGGTGAGCTTGCTCCTCTGTTGTTAAACTTGTTGTGAACAAAGCCGTTCACAACAGGTTCAGAGAGGTTATGTGTGAGAAACCAGTCCACTGGTGTTTTACTGCTTCCCAGCTTTGTTTACTGGTTTAAAATTCAGGAAGTCAAATGATTAACTCTGTTAAACAATAACTTTACTTAACATAAGAATTAAGTAATTTTTTGTTTTAGACTGTCTTTCAACACCACATTTCTATAATGTAACAGTGGTGCCCACAGAAATATGTCATAGGGGCCCAGTGGACAATTTTGGGGTGGCACACCAAATTGGTCCTCGTGGTAACTCTGGGAGGGTTTAGCCTGTAGATGTGCATTACATACAATTAGACTACACATTTGTCTAAAGTTTGAGAAAAACTACCATTTCTGAAAAAAGACCAAATTTCACAGTTTTTCTTTTCAAAATAATTTAATTGTTTAGGGTTTTTAAAACAGTTTAATTTGCCTGCTTCAATAAAAGCATCCACAAAAGCTATTTTTTAAAAATGGTGAGTCTCAATTAGATACTTAAATATTTAATTTGTGATTTATAAAATAATGTATTTATTCAAATAATTGTATTTATAGTCTTTCACATTTATTATTAAAGAAGATTAGTGTGATTTATTAAAGGGGGTTGGGGGTGGTCTTCCCAGGGGGTACAGCGAGGTGTCCAACAATTTTCCAGGGGTGGCCATGCCCCTCCTGCCCACCTCCTGGGGACGCCACTGTAACTTGATCATTTATGCACAAACATACTAAGGTGATAAAAAAAATAGCAAAAGTTGCCACTTTTGACTATCAAAAATTTCTCTCTGTGCAGCTGGGCTTTGCTGACTTGAACCTGTCAGAGTTTGCTGGGTCTCGCAGCACTGTACGGCGGTGTCTCTTGGAGGGGTATGACACCAAAAACACCAGACAGGACAACTCAATTCTCAAGGTATGGTTGTAAATAAACTTTGTTTTTAACGGAATCAGGACTAGCATAAGGACTGCGTGACATCTTAGAAAGTCTTCTTGCTCTCACGCTCCCTAGTGGGCACTTTTCTGTTTGATAGTTTAATGATGAAAACGCTGAATATCTTGAGACGAAACATGATACATGATAAATGACCCGCACTTGTATAGCGCCTCTCAGAGTAAGGACTCCAAAGCGCTTTACTCTACAGTGTATCATTCATCCATCCCACACTAATGGGAATGAGCTACGATGTAGCCACAGCTGCCCTGGGGCGCACTGACAGAGGCAAGGCTGCCGAGCACAGGCGCCACCGGTCCCTCTGACCACCACCAGCAGGCAACGTGGGTTAAGTGTCTTGCCCAAGGACACAACAGCAGAATTCTCTGTCCGGAGTCAGGATCGAACCGGCAACCTTCCGATTACCTTACAACCCACTCATCCTGTTGAGCTACTACTGCCCCACATGTCTGAGCCTGCGATGTGATGAGCCGCCTGAGCCGTGGGAACGTATTTGATGCATGCTTAGTTCTCGCTGTGCCACAGGAATTTTCAGCAGAATTGTTGCGAAACGAGAGAAATGGAGAGCATGTCTCATACACTGTTTTTGTCTCTGTCGTAGGTCGTCATTGCCACGCAGCTCATGTCTGGAGACCCCTGCTTTAAAACGTAAAAACAAAAGTTTTGAAATCACATTTAAGTTATTTCATTACTTTATGAAATTTCTCTTGTTTGTTTACAAAGAAACCGTAGTGTTTCCAGTATAGAAAGCATCACTAGCCACAGAGGAAAGTGATCTCACCACCTTCTGTCTGCCACCTAAATGAAAACACACCCATCTTTTATCACAGACTCCCACATCGTAACTTCTATCGTGATTTTATCTGAGAGCTAATAACGCCAATCGTTAATCAGCCCTACCTCATTTGTTGAGACAAGCTGAGATGTGATCTTAGGTCAGAGGTCATATTTTCTACTTATTTATACACAAAGTAAGTGTTTGAAGATGTGATGTAACAGCTGGCAAAATCAGTGCTATCTTCAAACCGTACGCTTCCTAAAGGTTTCCTTCATTTTTTCACTTCCTGTTTACTGTAAGAATAAACAAGCTGCTGCCATGGCGACATCGGAGCGTAGTCATTCATCCCACATGGTATTACCCGCTCCGTAGGGAGGGTCTATCTTCACTGCAAGCAGATGCTTTACATCACTTTGCAGGAATTTAGATTTTACAAGAAAAGCACGAGTTCAACCCATTTAGGTAATGTTGGGTTTGGTTTAACAAGACTCTCTAATGGAGTCTTGACACTAAAACACAATCCATCACGTTGTAACAACAGAGTGAGTTCACCTCAAGGGAATTTGTGTTAAGTATCAATTCCCTTTGTGTGTTTATGATAAACCCAAACGTTTGTCTTTAGTTTTCCAACTTGCAAGAAACAAAGGTAATTGTCTTTTTATCAGTGTGTGTTAACCTTAAAACGAGCCTCACTTAAGTCCTCACACTGTAACCAGTAGTAACCTTGATCAAACAAACCAGGGGTTAGTCATAGAAAGTTCCTTTTGGAGACTATTTCAGGTTTGTTATGGACAGAATTAGTCACACAGACCTTAAACTCCACCTCGGAAACGGGAACCTTTGCAGCAAAGTAACGCATATTTATCTTAATTTGCAGTTTGCTTTTTTGACTTAAAATTATTATACAATTCAATAAAATCTGGAGTCTCTGCTTTACATAAATGTTTACGGAAAATGATTAACAAGGCAAACGAGTTGGTTGTTGGGATTCACCCCTATGATCCAGCTGAATAAGGTATCTTACCAACAACCCTAAATTCTGCTATGCTCTCAAGTTGTATGACTGGTTTCTGATTCTTATTTAGACCTCCGTCTACAGCCATGACTCTGGGAATCCCACAGGCGGGAGCACAGGGACTCCTTGAGGACAGGAAAGGAGACGTACACACATCCCTCTCTGTCACTGGTGTGTAAACATGCACCATATGGGTTTAGTTATTGCTTAATTCAGAGAAATGTTATCATTGATTTTTTTCACTAAGTTCTTAGTAATAAAAATATATTTTATTTATAATTTATTAATGTTTTTTCAAAAATATTTTAAACTCTTTCCCTTTAAAGGTGTGGAAAACTAAGAAAAACTTTAATTAAATGTTATTTCTGATTATAATTGGTCACTCTGAGTTTTCACGCAGGCTGAACATGAAGATAGTCTCCTACACCAAGTAGTAGCACAGGAGGTAGAGAGGGTTGTTCAGTAATTGGAACATTGCTGTTGTGTCCTTGGGCAAGACATTTATCCCACCTTGCCTGCTGGTGGTGGTCGGAGGGACCGGTCTTGCCAGTGTTCAGCAGGCCTCACCTCTGTCAGTGCGCCCCAGGGCAGCTGTGGCTACATTTTAGCTCATCCCCACCCGTGTGTGAATGTGTGGATGACTGATTGTGTTGTGAAGTGTCTTGGGGTGATGGCGAACCCTAAGCAGTAGTTCTACAAATATAGGCAATTTACACCCATCTCCTGCTTTAGCTTCTGATAGAAAATAGACGGTGAAACTCTAGGATTTTAATAGCCTAGATCAACGTCTGACATACATTGACTCAACCATCTTGACTTGGAACAGGAATGCTGTTGCTGTTTTAGCATCCAGGAAACAGCAAAGGATGTCTCTGCCATTAGAAGCTAACTTTTAGCATTAGCAACTTCACCACATGGCAGAACTCCTCCATTTATTTATTTATGTATTTATTTATTTGTGGAAATAAAATGTCAACATTGCAAGTCAGTGGTGGAGTCATGTTGCTGTTGTCCAGTCCAAGGTGAGATGTCCAAATATCAGGAAATATAACTCCAAAACCTGCCGTCTGAAGATCAGCTGTGATGTGGCCCACTTCTAGTTCCTGGAAATAGTGCACCGTTATTTTTTATTTGGTTTTTTTTTGCCCCCTGAAAACGACTTACAAGACATTCATTCCTTCTAGACACCACAGCAAATGTATTCATTAAATGAGTGTTCCACACCTTTCATTTATATTGATGTTTTATTCAGGAGTTATCGAGATGAGTTGAAAGAAAAGTGAATCAAGACATTAAAAAAGGATTGCATCTAATTTACTACCACCCAGTGTTTGTTCTGTTCTGTGAATGACACTAAAATTTGAGGCAAAATGTTTAATTAATTAATTAATTTTTTTGTATACACCATTATCATAACCGACTTACAATTAACCTAACATACATAATAGTATTTGCTTTGTTTTATCTCCGTTCCAAACTTTTTTTTATTTTTAAAGAATCTCCAAGAAAGTCCACATCGGTCCCAGACGAGCTGCTGTCATACGGTCACTCCAGAACACCCAGCCACACAAGCCAGCTTTCAAAAATTTCAGGTGATAACACTTTGATATGTTAATTCTTAAAAAAAAAACAATCATAACAATAATTGTATAACACGTCTTCTCATTTATCCCTTTACTGTGTTTAGGGTATAGTTCAAACCACTCAAGCTCAACAGATCTGCGCCATCGACGAAACGTTTCCGAGGGTTCTGCTTCCACGGGCATCGGCAGCATCGAGCCCAGCGATCAGCAGGAGGATGGGGGGGGTAAGGAGAGCAGGCCGACCTCCACTGTATCTGCGACCTGCTATCATCCATTTGAAAACCCCTCTACACCCAAAAAGGCTTTCAGGTGACGCTCACAATCAGTCTGGATTCATATACAAATCTAGAAATCTAGACGGGCAGCTAATGAAGCAAAACGATTTTGCTCTGCGTACATATACAGGAAGGCTTGCAAGGCTGATACAAATCAGTTTCAGACACAAAAACAGAATTATTTAGTTTAAGATGTTACAGGTATTTTTTGTGCTAAAGAGTCATATCTAAATCTAATAAATTCAAAAATGCATTTCCGTTTCCTAATCATAGACAAAAGTCACTCGTTTTAAACAGTACATATTATCTAAAAGTTTGTTTTTAAATTGTATTTTCTCATGTCATGTAATTGTTTTGATTTAGCAGCACACTTGCAGTTTTAAGCCTATTTCTGTTTCTCTGATAGACGTCCGGTAAAACAAGACTCAATGGAGAATCAACTGAAGAGAGTTGACGCCACCAGGGTGGACGCTGATGACATAATAGAGAAAATCCTGCAGGGCCAGGACTTCAGCCATGGCTTCTTGGATTCCAGTGCGGAGGGTGTGTACATCTAATCCTGGTGTGGAAAGTTACTTAGCATGTTAGCAGTAGGATCAAATTACTTTGAGGTGTCAAAACACACCATTTATAAATATTCAACCCTGCACCAAGTGTTTTACTGCCATTTATCCCTTAAAAACAATGTTTTATTTTAATCAGAGCTGTTTAAAACTTTGGCAGATTTGTTGTCAGTTGTGCCGTGATGATCAGTTTTCATATTTCTAATGTGTTTGTGCTGCAGAGGAGGGGCTCAGCTTGTTTGTTGGTCCTGGTGGGAGTACAGCTTTAGGAAGCCAGCACATGAGGTGGGTGTGATTGTGTAACGACTGGCTGTGGGTGTCACAGACCGCACCAGGAGAAAATGAACTATGATAGATAAATATTTGTGGAAAAAGTACTAAAAACCTCCATATCTGATTCACACATTGAACCTCCAACATCTAAGTATTATTTGATCAAATAAATTAAATTTTACATCAGAATCATGTTACTAATCAAAGAATTCCACTCAAAAACAAAACACCCAAATTTCCCGTCATGTAACACTCTACGACATTCTCTTTTCAGGGTCACAGCTGGAGCCTTTGAACAGGTGGTGATCGGCAGGCTTTAGAGAGCACAACTCTGATTCAAGTAAGGACTCTGTTTTCCCGAAGTGGCTGCAAGGCTGGGGTGTGGATGTGCCATAAGAGCTCACTCCCATCTGATTCCAGAAGATTTTGTTTCTCTTATGCAACAACATCATGTGACCCGCAGCATCTGTTTGTCATGAAAGCCCCCTAGTGCTTAAAAAGTGGAGCTGAAGGCTGCAATGAAACTTTTTGTACTCTGAGGTAACTTGTTCATTTAGTGCTCTGCAAGAACATTTTGTTTGTGCTGTGTTTTATTTGTTCTCACCATTTGGTAAAAATCACAAACTCAGAACCATGTGTCCCACATGTCAGTAATATGTGAGTAATACACCAACCTTACTGCACTTTGAGAGCCTTGTGTCAAGTTTTGTAATTAAATCAAAAAGTGCTTGTAATTCCTGTAACTGTAAAAAGTTTTTTAAATGCTTACTATAAAAACATCCCCTATTGAAGTATATTTTAATAGTGTCTTACATCTAGCGATTAGCACATAGGAAAGGTAAGTTGGGTTATTTAAAGGAGACAACAAAACTCTAATCACATTGGTTTTAAAGAAAAAAATTGAACATAATTGTTAGATTTGTAAAACACTTTGCAGAAGACCCTCTGTATGTATTTTATCCTATTTTATCTGTGCTTGTTTTTGTACTCTAGAAAGGAGTGAATTTTTTTCTTATTGTATAAATGTGCAATATTGAATGTATATGTAAAATATACTTATTTCTACATGACGTTTGTGCTCTTGGTTTCGGTTTGTTTTCACTGACACATCTAAATCATTGTAGTTTATTTTAAAAAGATTAGGTGATAGGTTAATCATTTGAGTGATTATTATTCAAATCAAATCAACTTTATTTATAAAGCACTTTTCATACAAAAAAATGCAACTCAAAGTGCTTCACAGATTAAAATGGCCCATATTCCCATCCCAGCCCCCCTCCCCAAGTATAAAACAATTGACAATTACGGTTCCCCTCCCGCACTTATTATTATTATTATTATTATTATTATTAGTAGTAGTAGTAGTAGTAGTAGTAGTAGTAGTAGTATTTAAAGTGTAAACCTAAAGAAATGGACATTTTTAGAGAAATGCCCAACTGAACCGCGGAGCCAAAAGGAAATAATTTTAAACCGTTAGCTGCGTGACGTGACCCTTCAAAGTAAATGCTGACTAATGTAAAAACCCCAAAACATTCTTTTTGTGATAAGTGTTGGATATGCTATATTGTAAATAGTATTTATCGCGCGTTTGTGTACAATATTTACACAATTGGAAACTCATTTTAGCTACTGGTGAGTGGGCATGTGCTTTTATTTTAAAAATAGACAAATGCTGTTATGACGTACTTCCTGTAGTAGCCATACGTCCATTCTGCACCACCAACGTTACGGTTCCGTTCCCACACCTCTTAGTAGTAGCACTTTAGCTAAGTCGGCGGCGGGAAGTTACCGATACTTTTTCAGGCCACAAACGACACGGGCGAGGTCGTGAACAATCGATGATTTGTTAAGTATAATTGATGGATCTGTAGTCAGAAATACACTAAGAGAAGACTGAGCTTCGCGGAGCGGAATTCAGCTAACATGGCTAACGTCGGAAACCAATTACCAACACAGGCCGTCACCAAGCCAGGCAAACATGGAAACGTACTGCCCCTGTGGGGCAACGAAAAAACTATGAATCTTAACCCAATGATTCTCACAAATGTGCTTTCTTCGCCCTATTTCAAAGTTCAGCTCTATGAACTGAAGACCTACCATGAAGTTGTGGACGAAATCTATTTCAAGGTAACGTTTGTGTTAGCTGATGCTAACCCGCATGCTAGCTGGAACCGCGTTCATTCTGCTTTTCTTTATTATATAAACTGCAGTTGAAGTGTGAATTGTAACGTTATCAGATGGTGCCAATTTTTATTTTAGAAAAGATGCTCACAAATCGCGTAATGCGAAGAAAATGGTACATTACATGTTTTGTGCTAACTTTAAAGTATTTTAACGACTCGAACAAGTTATGCGACGATAGGTGGCGTTAGTTAGCTTACTGTACAGGTCAGGTACACAACATCTTTGCATGTATGGAACATGGGGCCTCTGGGGACTTGCATCCATAGGGCCCCCTAGCCATGATTACAGATATACGAAGTTCATAAAATAACCGCAGATCAATCACTAAACGTATTGATTTTAATTTAGGTATAGATCGCAAATAAAAGTGCAAATTTGGTAGACTAAACCATAGATTTCCACAAAAACCTATATAATATATGTTTGTTATTTTATTTAAACTGTACCTTTTATGGCAATTTGATATATTTTTACATTTATTATACTGGAAGACATCACATTTGTCATGCTTTGAAACTCCTTTGGATGATCTTTACAGGCATATGTTTTATTATGTTTCTTCAGTCAGTTAAACATATTAACCTTTATATTGCAAGCATTTTCTAATTTTACTGTTCCCTTTTGTCAAAAAGTTATAAAATAAATATTTAAAATGCTTGTTAAGTTACCTAGTTGTATGCTAAGTGTGACCTTAAAGTTTAAGCATATTTTTTTAGAGAATTTTAGGAAAAATTGGCACAATTTTTCTGTTTTAATTTGTATCTGGGGTTGATTTAACAAAACTCCTCATAAATGTAGTGTGAAGTAATTTAACGAGGCTTTCTGTGTGTTTTCAGGTGACTCACGTTGAGCCGTGGGAAAAGGGAAGCAGAAAGACAGCAGGCCAGACTGGAATGTGCGGAGGGGTAAGTGAGAAGTACGTGCTTTTTATATTCCTCATATTTCGTTGCTCTACATTTATTGGATTCAAAGAAGATTCTAAGGAAGTTTGCTGATTCTACGTGCCACTAATAAAATTATTCCTATTACAAAATATTAGGGATAATTTCAGTATGGTTGAAAAAGGAATTTTCAGTGCGTGTCAAGGAACTGTATGTGAAGAGGTTTTGTTTTCATCTCTAATTATTTCTAATAGGTGCGTGGAGTTGGCACTGGTGGGATTGTGTCTACTGCTTTCTGTTTGCTGTACAAACTCTTTACTCTCAAGCTTACACGCAAACAGCTGATGGGTCTGATCACCCACACAGACTCTCCTTATATCAGAGCACTTGGATTCATGTACATAAGGTATTAATCCGAGCATAATTGTGATGATTTTACTACTATGAGCTTGTGTGTATGCATACTTACAAAAAGATTTTTTCTGTCAGATACACTCAGCCCCCGACCGATTTATTAGAGTGGTACGACGGCTTCATGGATGATGAGGAGGTATGTCGCCCCGGGTAATAATTTAAACTTATTTTATTCTCTGCATAAAATGTTAATTCAAGCACCCCACATTAAAAGCTGCGAGTTTATCTCCTACCCTTGTGATGCTCATAGCTGATTTTTCACCTTTGCCTTCATTTGGCTTAATTGTTCCCCAATTTGTGTCCACTGAGCTCAAGTAGCTAGATTACTCGCTCACTTTTGCTTTTTCCGAGGGTAAGTACTCTGTGATGCTACATACATTTATTTACCCATTTATAATAAGGCATGCCATCTGTTCTTTATGGGTTTTTTCAGGACTTGTTGCACAAAACAAAATTTGAGGTTTATGTATAAAAAATAAGATTAAACAAATTCTTGTTTTATTACATATTTCTTGTTTTAAAAGGATCAAATGATCCAGTCCCAGATTGTGCAACCAGGCCTCCGTTTCTGTTCTGTTGCATTATAACTGAACTGATCACTGTGACATCCTACACAACTGGTTAATTCCCCTGTTTTTTTCTTTAGATGCCCATTGTGCAGCAGGTGAATTGGATATTGTATCTCAGCACTGTTGGTTTGCGTGAGTGCAAAGCAGCTGTTCTCTACCTTATAACGTTGACATCTATTCATCTGGAGTGCTTTAACCCACTTGCTTTAATCTGCTTACACCGTGGGCAATTTCCTTCCCTTATCCCCAAAGACGCAGTTTTAAAAGAGATGAAAGAGGGGTTTTGTTCTTAAATAAGTGATTTCTAAAGCTCATACTGTAAACACAGACTCTAGGAACATTCCAGACAGCTTAGATGAGTCAAAACCTTTTGTAAATTTATTGTTTTCTCTGTTTATTATTCTTGTTATTAGTCAGACCCGATTTAATTGTTTGACATCAGAGATTAAGCTAGATGAACAGAGGTGAAGGTTCAGTACTTGGTCATCACAAATTACATTTTCATGTAAAGCACATGTTTTGACAACGTGATCTTAGTGATTGTAATAATGTGTTGAAACAGTTTCTTTGTTTTTTTCTTTCTGTCATCCTTTGATTCCAGGAGCTTGATGTAAAAGCAGGAGGTGGCTGTGTGATGACTGTTGGGGAGATGCTGCGCTCATTCCTGACCAAACTAGAATGGTTCTCCACTCTGTTTCCTCGAATCCCCGTGCCTGTACAAAAACAGATTGACCAGCAAATGAAGGCGAGGCCGCGAAAGGTGGCTCAGAAGGAACCAGAGGAGGAGACTAGTTTCTCAGAGCCGGGGAAACAAGGGGAGCACAGTCATTCCAGGTAATTTGTTAGGCATGTTTACAATACTTTTTTTGCTTTGTTTTACTTAAAGGTTAAATCAACTGTTTCCCTCTCATCAGGACACCGAGACGATCACCAAGCCCCAAAAGGTCGCCCAAACGGTCGAGAAGCCGGAGCCACCATCGTGAAAAAGAACGTCACGGTCCAAACTTTGACCGTGAGCTGGAGAGAGAGCGTGATCGTCAGAGGAAGGAGAAGGAAAAGGAGAGGGAGGGAAGAGACAGGGACAGAGGGGACAGGGAAAGACGGCGATCCCGCAGCACAGATAGGAACCAAGACCGACGAGAACGTAAAAGAAGTTGCAGCGGCAGCAGAGAACGGAGGAGCGAACGCAGGGACAAAGACCGGGATGGGGGGGAGGACCGGAGCAGGAGGAAAGAGCGAGATCACCACAAGGATAGAGGCACAGAGAGGGAAAGGTCCAGGGAGAGAAAGAGCAGGGGGGAGACTGATGAGCGGAGGCACAAAGACGATAGGGAGAGACACAGAGAAGACAGGAAGTCCAAAAGGTTGAGTCGAAGCCGAAGCAGAGAAAGAAAGCACAAAAGTGGGGGAGAGGAGAAGAGTAGGAAACGTGAACACAGCCGAGAGAGAGAGCGAGACGGAGAACAGAGATCTCACAAGCGCAGCGGCAGCAAGGAGAAGAGCCGTCATCAGCGAGAGTCCAGTAATGAACACAGCAAGCATGCCGACCGCAGACGGAGTCGGAGCACGGAGTAAACCACTCGCAGCAGTGTTGTCCAGGTTTTCTGTCTGGTCAGTCACATGCTGGGAGAAGGACCGTCAGCGTGCAGAGTTAGCACCAGGAGCCGTCTGGCCTGTTGTAATGTTTTCATTTGACTTTTCAGTGTTTTACTCCCTGTTAGGCTATTCTTAGTCCTCATTTAAAATCTGTAAAGTGACAGGAAGGCATTTTAATTTTCTACGGCCCCCTTTTTGTTTGGCCCAAAAGACGTGGGTTTGTACATAAAATCTGGAGACTGTCTACATGCTGTTATTGGACAGTCGGACGTGAAGGCTCCGCATCATACTGTCAGTATATACTGGATGTAATTTATACTGGATCGTTATTGTCAGTCTGCGCATAAAGCTATAGGAGCTCATTTCTGGTTGGACACGAGTCGAGATATCAGCTCTTACAGTATGACGATGGAGCCGGCGCTCAACTCTTCTGTCCATGATTGTTTGTAGACATTTCAAGAATGTTTTAATCCTCCGAAGGGCAGACTCCAAAGGTATATTTTTACCACACACACTTTATCCCTGCTTGTTGTGTTTGAGTTGTTGCTCTGTTGCATTTTGTTTTCTAATAAAACACTTTTACAAATTTACAGTCTCCTGTTAAAAAACCAAAGCCCATGTAAATATCGTGTGGGGGACATGATCCTTGGAGCTTTACTGCACTTTAAATGTGTAGCATCAAAGTTCTTTGTACCAAACATGTTCAGAAATGTTACAAATGACACTTTGGTCGTGTTATGCTTCCTGACATATGTTCATGTAGAAAGTACATCAATAATAAGTAGCTTAAGCATACAAGATACACATCTTTAATAGACATGCAGTTGATCCAAACTGAGACTATAACAAACAACAAGGCATAAATGATGCCCAGCACATTTTACAATAGTCAGGATTTGTCGTTTAAAAGTGCTGCCACATGCATGATCATTACGTTAGAAATCCATCAGGACCGAAAGTCCGTGTTTACGATGCCAGGCCTGTTTGCACACACACTGGCTTTGACTCTGGTCCACTCATTGTTCCCTTAACAGCCAAAATGGAGAAGCAGTAAGTGGAGTCTGGGCTCAGATCAGACAGGATGATGGTTTCCCCGTACACATGGAATTTCTGACTCCCGTCGGAGCTGCCTTGCTTATTGACCCTCAGGTCGTAAAAGGTGGCATTCTCTTCCTGAGGCCATTGGAGGTAAACAACTGTTGCTGCAGGCTGTGTTACTTCAATGAGTGGAGCTCCTGGAGGGGGAGAAGAAAAACTAATTTTATCTAGGGTTAAGTTGCTTTTTAATCATCATCACTTAAAACTTAATTCAGATTGAGTGAGCTCTTATAAGTTTTTAAAAAGCACATTAATAACACCTAATAACAAATTGGTGAAAACTTCAACGTTGGCTCTGACTGCAAACTCACCATCAACCTGCACATTTTCACTGAGATCTCTCCTCCTGCGGCCTGGTTTACAAACAAAAGATATTTATAAATGATTAAGAGCATTGCACCTTGTAGTTTTTTCCACTCATGCTGTATCGTTTCCTACCATGTGTGCTAAATGAGACATGAACTGGTTGACTTTCCCCAGCTGCATTGCTGGCTGTGATCTGCAGGCTGCTTGAAGTTATGTTGAACAGAGAACAGGCCAGCATCTTGGTGCTGCACAGCTGAATCTTTGGCACCACACTGCTGTCATAGATGGTGTATGTGTTGGCGAACACTGAAGCATTCCAAGAAACTGTTGCTAAGGAGCTGTTCCCACTGTACATTACTCCTGATGGTGGGCAAGGAGCTGGAAGAGGACAGATGATTGCTCGTTTTTCTGCATCTGTACTTTAAAATAAATAAATACTTTCCTACCTGTTGTTCCAATGAGAGGGACCGTCATGGCACTGGCGCCTGCAGCATTCCTGCTCTGCAGCGTGGCGGCATAATATGAGCCACATGGTAGAGGAATCTCAAAATACGTTACGTTCGTCCAGTAAGACGAAAGCTCAACCTGCTCCTGGTTGTCTCCCAGGAGGTTTCCTGTCAAGCTCAGCAGGTACTCTGTCTCTCCACAGCTGATCTGCGTCCAGCTGAAATGCAGCAATTGGATCTCCAGCTCCATTGGCATCAGGTGCACCTCAACAGCTCCAGGAGGACATGGGGCTGCGAGAGAGAGAGAGAGGAGGAGACTTATTCACAGATTTTGTTAGGATGAAAGTTTGTCTTTGATGAGCATGGCACAGGTAGTGTACCTCCTCCAGTCTGCACAGGTGCACTGAGGGAGCTGTTGCATGTGCCGTCTGAGGCCTGGACTGAGACGTTATAAGTAGCTCCACATTTAAGCCCCTCTAAAGTGCATGTGGCATTTGAGCTGTAGCAGTAGAGCGTGCCTCCATTTCCAGCCTGAGCACTGCCGTAGTACTCTTTAGCATTACTACTGGGAGTCCATGACAATACTGCAGCCAGAGAGTCACAGTGGTACTCAACTGACAGTCCTCTTTGTTGGCAAGGACCTGAACAAATAGGAAGGTAAGAGGACATGAAACTTTTGATCAAAGTTGGAATTTTGAGGCTAATCTGAGCAGAACGGATACCTGTGTTAAGAGTTGCGTTATGGCTGGCCTTGCTGGAACAGTTCTCATGACCCGCGGTCACAGACACTGTGTACTGCTGCTCACAGTGGAGCTGTGACAGGCTGCAGTTACTGGAGGTGGTGTTGCATGTGTGTTTGTGCCCATCTGCAGCCATGGCAACAACCAGGTAGGCTTCAGCAACGGGAGAGGGCGTCCAGGATACCAGAGCGCTGTGATCGTCACAAGAGGCGTTCACCATCATGTCTCTGAGAGGACAGGGCTCTGTGTGAGAAAAGATCCGTTAGGGTTTGGTTAAAAGAGGCATCAGGTTGTCCTGTAGATGAAGATGCTCTCTTTACTAGACGGTTTCTGGATTTTTATTTAAGTGTCAGTTTCAAATACTCTTTTTAAGTACAGACAGAGACCAATAAGTGTTACCCATGCTAATTCTGTAGGGAGGACTCCTCAAACCGCTGCACTGTTCTGATGAAGCGGCGACGATGATGGTGTAACGGAGGTCGCATCGAGCCCCGTGGATGTAGCAGCTGGTGCCAGTGTTGTTGCAAGTCAGCAAGGTGAGGTCACTGGCTTCTGCGGTGACCGTGTACACCGTGGTTCCTCTGCCGTCTTTGTCATGGTCCCACACCACCAGGATGGAGGAATTGTGGCACTGAGGGAAAGCGGTGACACCAGTGAGGTTGCAGGGGGCTGAAGGAGGAGAGTAGGTTTCATTAACATTCAGCTGGGATAAATCCTTGTATTGACCCCAAATGTCACCGTAGCACTAAAGTACCTGTCTGCAAGCTGATGGAGGCACTCGGGGAACTGTCACAGTTTTTGTTTTTAGCTGTGACCGTGAAGTTATAGAGAGCACCACAGGCCAGATATTTCACCTCACATGTAGTGTTGGTGGAGGCGGTACAGTTGGCGCTGTAGTTCGCTCCATCTACAGCTGACACAAAGTAGCTCTCAGCCCCAGGAACAGCGTCCCACGAGATCCGGGCGGAGTTTGTCACACAGTTAAGGGATCCTTGGATTCCCTGCGGCTGGCAAGGAGCTAAAACACACCAGAGACAAATCAGTGACAAGATGGAGGGTTTCATGTGAAGGTGCTTGTTTTTCTACGTTTTCATACCTGACTGGATGCTCTGGGTCTGTATGAGCTCACTCAGACAACCTCCTCTCACAGAGGCGACCTGAACGGTGAACACGCTCCCACATGCGATGCTGCCTGAAGAGCAGGTGGTGTGTGTGGTGTTGCATACGTCTCTAGCTCCTCCAACCTCAGAAGTTAATGAAACTAGAAAGCGGTCTGAGTCTCTAACAGCATCCCAGGAAATCGTCAAGTCGTTTGATGAACAGCTGAGCTGGGCGCTCAGGTTCTGTGGAGGGCAGGGGCCTGAATCCACAACAGATTATCTCATTACTCATCTGGAGGATTTCAATTCAAAAATTCACAGTCTTACACCTCTTACTTGAGTAGAAAACCACTGGCTGACTGGGAATACTGGAGCACTTGTCATCCTTGGACACAACCTGAACACTGTAGCTGCTGCCGCACACGAGGCAGCCGGGATCAGAGACCTGGCAGCTGCTGTTGCTGATCACGGAGTACTCAATGGCACCACGGCTGGGGGACCAGTTCACGGCAGCGGTGTTGTCGGCACAGTCCAAAGCCACTGAGACGTTTTGGGGAATGCATGGCACTGCACAAATAAATAGATTTAGACGTCGTGCGTGATTGGCAAAGACTTCATCATGTTGGACTGCAGGGACGTTGGATGCTCACCTGACTGCAGCCTGGTGGTCTGAGTGGATGTGACGCTACACTGCTGGTTGTGAGCTGTGACAGAAACAGAGAAGTTGTGTCCACACGCCAGGGCAGTGACGCTGCATTTGTTGGCTTCCGACGTGCATGTTTGCGAGAGGCCAGAGTCCGTCTCCATGTTGGCTGTGTAGTTGTCTGTGCCGTTGACGGCCTGCCAGGATACCACGGCGTTGCCAGAGAGGCAGTCCTGCGATGCGGAGATTCCTGATGGTGTGCATGGCCCTGGTTAGGAAAGAGGAAATCATTAAGACCAACATACTTTTCCTTCTAGAAATCTTATTTGAATCCTACGTACACGCCTGCACGTAGTTTGGTGCACTTGAGCTGCCAGCGCAGTTCTGGCTATGGGGCGTGATTGTGAGGCTGTAGTTCTGTCCACAGATGAGCTCAGAGAAATGGGCTGTGGAGACGTTAGTTACGAGACTGACTGATTTGTCTCCCGTCTCAGCCAATGCCAAGTAATGTGTTGCTCCATGACTGCCATCCCAACTCAGAAGAACAACTTTATTGTCACAGCAACTCACGGAGACAGACAAGTTCGTGGGCGTGCAGGGATCTGAGAAGATGCAACAACAGCAGGAGTCAGTGTTTATATTTCCACAAGTTTTTGTTTGAATTTAACAAGCAAATCAACTTGGAGAACAATTATTTCATAAAAAAAAACAATCAAAGCTTAAAAATAAAGTGTGTTGCTCCATATCTGACCTCTGTACCAGTAACATACCCATATAGATGACAGTGCTGTTGCTTGGCAGGCTGGTGCAGTTTCCAGCCTTTGCACTCACTGCAACAGTGTACTCCTCCCCGCAGTGAAGGTCACTCCACGTGCAGGACGTGGCGTTGGTGAGACACTTGTGAGTGTGGCCGTCGAGGCTAGTCGCTATGGCAACGTATGATTCAGCACCATCGCTGGGACTCCAGCTGACGGAGCCCACGTTTAACTCACACTGCGTGGAGGTTGCCACAGACGAGGGAGCACATGGACCTTGGGAGGGATGAAGGGTGAAAAAAATGTGTGAAAAAAAAACATAAAGATGAACTAATCTTCACTGGATGGAAACTAAAAGTACAAATACCAGTTGTGAAGAAGACAGGATTGCTGGGGGTGCTGCACTTGCTGCCCTGTCCTTCCACCGTCACATTGTAGTGTTGTCCGCATGGTAAAGTGGCAGAAAGAAGGGGTTGTGTCGTGTTGAAGATTTCCACGCGTCCCAGGTTTCCTGCAGCTGTAACTAAGTACCTCACAACACCGGCTGCTTGGGTCCAGGAGATCTGGACCTGCTCACTCTGGCAGAGAGCCTGAGCAGAAACAATCCGAGTCTGGCAAGGCTCTGGCAGAAGAGAGAAGAAGGAAATGATCACATTTCATGTTACTGTGAGTAGTTGCTTCTCTTGGTTGATCATTTGGACGTTTTGGCCTCCGTGTTACCTGTTTGGATGAGCACCATGCTGCTCTCCTGACTCCAGCAGCCCTGACTGTGTGCTCTGACTGTAAAGTTAAAAATCTCTCCACAGTCCAGACTGGAGAACTGGCAGCTGGAGCCTGTAGAGTTGCATTCAGTCACTTGTCCACCCAAAGCTTTGATTGCTCTTGCTGTGTACAGTTCAACATCAGATCTCTTCTCCCAGGACAGGATTGCGGTGCTGGAGCCACACTGAAGGCTGACGGCCACATGCTGAGGAGGGCAGGGGCCTGGGAGAGGTGTGGGTTAATGAAGGGACAGATAAACTCATCGCTGCAGCGATTGGGCGTTGGATACATACGTGTGGTGAGGTTGGCGTATGTCGGTGCCGTGATACTGCACTGGTCATTGCTCGCGATGAGGCTGAGATTGTAGGACGCACTGCAGCTTAGACCTGTCACATTGCAGCTGTTCTGCTGAGTTGTGCACAGACTTTGAAGACTCCCTCCAACGACGGCCTCCAGTGAAACATTCGTTGCTCCCTGGGCTGAACTCCAGAAGACTAAAGCATCACCATCCGACTCACAGCTGACTCTGACATTAACCCGTGAGGGCAAGCAGGGAGCTGAGGAAAACAACACAAGATGAGTGATCTACGAGCACCGAAACCGTATATTATAATACGACTCATATGACCAAACCTGTGGTGAGGAATCCTGCCATCTGAGCTGCGCTGTAACACGTCTGTCCGTGTGATGTTACTGTGACTGTGTATGGTTCTCCACACTGCAGGGAGCTCAGCTGGCAGCTGGTCAGGTTTGTGCTGCAGTTGCTGCTGTGGCCTGAGGTCGATGTGAGCACAGTAACATATGACTGGGCTCCAGCAGCGGGCCGCCACGTTACGGAGGCACGGTTGTCCTCGCAGTCCAAAACGGCGCTGATGCTGCTCGGCTGGCAAGGTGCTGAAGAGGCGGAGAGAATTTAGAGATTAACATTTGAAAACACACATCGTGTTATCTGTTAAGGATGTTCAAAATTTTCTTCTGAAACACAAAACATGTTCTGATTTAAGCATTTGTGCTTAAATAGCTTTCTGTCTATGACTCATTTTGTACAGTTTCATACTTTTCCTTTGAAATTTTCAGCTATTTTAATGAAGGTAAATGTCGTATATGATGATACGATTGCAGATGTATCAAAATACTTAGACCATTTAAAAATCTGCATGTTTGCAATGTTTCTAATTTCACTTTATTATCTTATAATTATGTTTTAAAGGATTTTTATTTATATTGCAAAACTAAAAAAAAAATACCTGGAACAAACAAAAACAAAGTCAAAATGTTGTTGCTTATTTTGGCTTTTTCATCCAAGCATACTGGCCACTGTGATTGACAAATTAAAGGTGTGGCTCACTTGTTTAATCAATACATTTGCAGTGGTCTCTAGCAGGAATGAACACCTTGCAAGCCATACTCAGGGTAAAACAAGCCCACAAGCACTTGGATCACCACGGACAAGTCTGCTGCAGCAAAGAGCGGCACAACACGGCAGGTTTTGGAGTCTCACTTCCTCATTTTTGGACATGTTGGCTCGGATTGGATAACAGCAACGTGACTCCACCACTGACATGCAACATGGATGTTTTATCACCACAAATAACACAAGCTTGGAGGGGTTTTCCTGTGTGGTGGAGTTGCTAATGCTAACAGTTTACTTTTACTAGCTGAGACGTTGTCTGTCTATTCCTGGTTGCTAAAACAACAACAGCCCTTCCCGTCACGAGTCAAGATGGGTGAGTTCATGAACGTTAAAGAGCAAGTCACCCCCAAATCAACTTGTTCTGCTGATAAACTATATATATATGAGTGTCTAATCGTGCAGTAGGCATGTGTAGTCAATAATTTGGCACTTGAGTGCATCTTAGTTAAAATTTAAAGGGACTTTACGGAGTTTTGAATTTTTATGCTTGCGATTGCCCCCTCAGGCCAAAAGCGTAACGGCAGCTTCAATAGGAGGCTCGTGCACGAGGCACACATGCTGTACGTGCACACACCTTAACGAAAATAACAGCTGAGACAGTCCCTTGTGTGTGTGTGTGTGTGTGTGTGTGTGTGGCCCGGAGGATAGACGACAGGAGAACGCGCAGCTAATTGATTAAATAATTTGGTTCTGTATCTTTCTCTTCAGCACAGCCAACAAAGGTTTAAGATGGGTCAGTCCTCCTGCATGCTCAAATAATTCCATTCACTTGCTTGAAAAATTGTTCCAAAATGAAAGTTGAACCCACATCTTTTTTATCTGTGAATTCAATGCCGTTCGGCGAGTCTCAAATAAAAATTTGGGCATCTTACTGTAAAAAAAATATATCATTAATGTAAAAAAGAAACTCTACAACAACAATGCTCACATCCAGAATCAAACCCGGGTCTTCAGCACGAAAGCCCAAAGTCTTACCAGGCGAACTAAACTCCTGTGGCATCATCTGTATCTGTAACATTTATATCCTTGATGACAGCTGAAACAACTTTCAAAGAACGGTTCGGAGGGCGATGCCTGAGCGTGAACGCGCATGAAGCAGCCTGCTCGACCCGAGCAGCTCTCTTTTTCTGTGATTTTACAGAAAAACAGGCAATCACGGTAAAAATGCCAGGGCTCATTCTACAGGACCAGGGCATTGCAGGAGAATGTATGAAGAAGAAATTTATTATTTCTATACATGTTTTGGCTGTCAAACTTCCATAATGCCCCTTTAAATAGTTTGCCTAAAACTGTCAGTGTTGCACCCTCTTCAGGTAAAAATCTGTGCACTGCAATTGAATTTAAATCTGCCATCACTATTGGCTAACAGGTACACCATGATGTTAGCTGGTACCATATGATGTCACAATGCCGTTGTGAGCCTGTGTCTATTTGTTAGTGGCTCCACCCTCTCGGTCTGCCACGCAACCGCATTTGTTGCATTTTTCAAACAGGAAGTGGGAGAGGAGACTGGTAGCGGGTGACTTGCTCTTTAAGTGACAGTGTGATCTGTTTGGCTTTTCTAATTCTAGATTTTCAAAGTTTGTTTTCTATCATAAGCTAATGCAGGAGACATGCTCAGCCTGCATAGCGACCAGTTATAATCAGGAATGATCATAAATTTTTTTTCTGAGTTCCACACCTTTAATGTTGCAAAAATTAGTTAAAATATGAGTTTTAATGCTAAAATAAGTTATGCTGTTGTTTCTCTGAATGCAAATAAAAAACTCATGCATGAACGAACCAGGATTTTGACTGTTGAGAAAACGAAAATAAATCGAACCTGAAAAATGGATTTACATGTGGAAAAGCAAAATTTTAAAGCTGACAAGCTAACAACTGCGTGAATAATGCATAATTTGAAAACTAAATCTGTTTCTGCAGAAGATTTATAAAGGCCATGAATGCATCCTCCAAAGCTTTAATTCACTGAGATTTTTCTGTATGGTAATTACCTTTCTACTGCAGTCGTACCTTTTTTATTGTTAGTAGTGTTTTTACCTGATGTTAAGGAGACCACTGAGCTGTCTGAGCTGTTGTACTGCACTCCAAGAGCTTTGACCCAGATGTTGTACACTGTGCCACAGATCAGATTAGAAACCACACAGCTTGTGTCAGATTGTGCGCCAACACACGAAGTGGAGTGACCACTCAGGTCATCCAGGTAGGCCACGTAGCCCACGGCGAGGTCACTCTGCTGCCAGGACACAGCTGCAGAAAGCTGCTCACATGAAAAGTTGGCTTGAACATTCGTGGGTGGGCAAGGAGCTGGAAACATGCACAAATAAAATTAAAAAATCAAAGAACAGAGCTGAAAATCTTCAAACTGCTGAAACAAACCTGTCATTAGGAAGGAGAGTTCAGAGGGCATGCTGACACAGGCCTGGTTTTGTGCTGTCACTGTCACATTGTAGATCTGACCACACTGAAGGCCGTTGAGGGAGCAGAAGGTATCATTGGTGTCACAGGTGACCAGTTGGTTCTGGTTCGCTATAGCCTGAACAAAGTATGAGCTGGCGTCGTTTGCTGCCCCCCACGACACCCAGGCGGCGCTCACGTTGTAGTGAACAGAGTTGATCACAGGAACGCAGGGCCCTGGAGGGACATGAAGTAAATCAGCTCTGCAGATGGCTCCCTCTGATCAGGACTCCAAAGGCTAAACTCACCTGTAGAGAGCTTGGTGGGAGGACTAACAGGACCAGGACATCCACTGTGGATTGCTTCAACAGATACCGAGTATACCTGACCACAAACCAGGTGATCGATGTAACAGGATGCGCCCATGCTGGTGCAGGAGGAGTTGTGGCCGGTGGAGGAGGTTGCCAGGGCGTTGTAGGCTGTGGCTTCAACTGATGCACCTCTTCTCCAGCTGATCAGAGCTTTGCTTGAAGTACAGTTCAGCTCAGCTGACACACTGGTTGGCATGCATGGAGCTAAGCAAAGAAACAAAGATGTAGTTTAGAGGATAAAAACAAAGATAACCCGCTTCCAGCTGTTTAGTCACTTTACCGGTGAGCATCTGTGTGGGGGGGCTGGCGTCGCTGATGCACACGTTGGTGTGTCCTGTCACGGTGAAGCTGTAGAGCTGACCACAGCTCAGATCCAGGAAGGAGCAGCTGCTCCCTGCAGAGTCGCAGGTGGAGTTCACACCAGCAGCAGATGTAGCTTTAGCAGTAAAGTTCTGACTTGTGCTGTTGTGGTCCCACTTCACCGTTATGATGTTGGAGTTGCAGATCAGCTCAGCTGTGGTGTCCTCAGGTCCACAAGGAGCTGCAAAAGTTTGGGAAGGTTTTTTGACTTTTTTTATTTGAAACCACGTCGTTATTCTGCATTATAAGAAGTGAGCACTGACCAGACTGAACCTTGTAATCAGAGCCAGCAATCATTTCACAGTCAATGGACTTGGAGGTGACGGCCACCTCGTATATCTTGCCACACCGGAGGTTTTGGATGGAGCAGTGGTTTGATGTGGAGTTGCAGGAGACTCTGTGCCCGTCTGTGCTTATGGCCCAGGCGGTGTACTCATCTGAGCCAGAAGTCTTGCTCCAGTTCACGTTCATCTCGTTGGTGTTGCAGTCCAGCTCAGCGACAACGTTGTCTAGAAGGCATGGAGCTACAGCAAAGAGTCTAGGTTAAGTCAGGTGTCTTTTATGATTGGAGAAATAGAACATTTTTTGTATTTTTGGGCGTTAAAAGATAATTTGGTCCATAATCATCACTGTTATAAATATATATAAATCAAATTTGCATCTTTTGCTGCTCTTTTGAACCTATTTGAGTACTTCTTCTATAAAAAAAAAGTCAAGGTTATGAGCTAATATGCAGTTATTTTTTGTCAACTGTTTCAAAATGTGTTTCTATGTAAAAATCATTAAATGTTGTTAAAATTTTTTGGGAACAAATGTAAAACTTTCAGATGTTTCAGACAAATTGCAATATTACTCAAGGTGACTTATGCATGTCAGTAATTGGAGAGTGGCATCGCTATTCTGCCATCATTCTGTTCTAATTTCTCACCAGACTTGAAGTAAATATCAGTGTGTTTGGTGCTGTTGCAGCTGTCTGTGGAGGCCACCAGCGTAGCGGAGTACGAGCGGCCACAGTGAAGTTTCACAGCACAGGAGTTGCCGTCGGAGGAGCAGTATGCTATGTGTCCATCATCTCCAACCGCCTGAACAGTGTAGAAACCCGCTCCGCTGCTGTTTGACCAGGAGAAATTTCCATTGTTGGTGCCACAGTCCACCAGGGCGGTAAAGTTTGTGGGCTGACAAGGACCTGAGGAAGAAACAGTAGATTTCACTGATTGTTCAGGAGAACGTTTGCAGCTGTGGCTCCAGAAAATCTCCTCACCTGTGCTTATTTCTACAGGCAGGCTATAGCGACTTCTGCAGCCTGAAACCTGAGCCGCAATCAAGAAAACGTATGTTTCTCCACACAGCAGGTCAGACACAGGGAGAGAAGTGTTGGTGGTTTGTTGTTCTGATGGAGGGGATGTGCTGCCTTGCATCTTCCACTGTAAAGTATAAGTAGCTCCAGTCACTGGACTCCATGTGAGGGTCACAGAGTTGGTCTCACAGTTGACTGAGCCGTTCAGGTTAGCTGGTGGACACTGAACTGCAACAAAACAGAATACAAAGGCTTTAAATCTGCTTTCTATGATAGTGTCTCAGATGTTTTGCAATTATTTGTGATAAAATTCAGCCAAAATCTCCCAAATCTGTTCATTAAGCCAAAATAGTTTTTACAGTTTCCTTGTATGACATAAAAAACTCAAGACAATAATTTATTCTCAATGGATGCATGATAGCCAAAAAAAATTAAATGCTTTCTTCAGACAAAAAATGCATTCTTTGAGAAGTAGAAAATGTTGTTTCTCTGTTTTTAAATCTATTAAACGTCACAAATGAGCTCCTGGCGGTTCTTAACTTTACTGGGCAGCCAGGTTGTATTGTAAAAAACTTGTTTTAAGTAGGTTTTTGTTCATTTGTTTGACCAGAATTTGTCTTTTACTTACTTCTTAATTAAATTTTACTTCACAGTTAATTATTAATTAAACAGATAATTGTTTTGTATGGAAGCATAGAGCTGCCACCCAAGCAAATAAAATTGGAGTGATTTCACATTATAACATCTCAACTTAATAGTTCAAACAATGTCATTTTCTAGTTCTTATAATATTCCTACAATATAATATTTATATTCTATGAACATGATAAAATATTGTACAGACATAAAAATTATATTGTTGGAACAATAAAGTTATAATATCACAGCATGGTAGCACTCTAACTTCATTTTGCATGGATAGCAGTTCTAATGCTTTTGTAGTATTGAGTGTGTACCAATGGGGTGCCATTTGTAAAGTAAAAAACCATCATAATTTAACAGCAGTATTTTGTTTTTTATTTAGCCTATCATAAGAGAAAAAATAATGGGAGTTCATTTTTCAAAGTCATGTTTTCACCATGTTATTCATTCAATTATAAACGTTAAAATTTCCAAGTAAATATTTAGTTAGCATGCAAAATATTAAATGTACACGTAAATATTTTAATTACAAATGAAATATTTAGGTCCAATATAAACATTTAGTTTGTAAAATAAATATTTAATTTACTAAATAAATATTTGATTTGGCACTAAATATTTAGTTCCAAATTACATTTTATTTTCTAAAATAAACATGTAGATCCCAGCAAAATTTTTATTTGGAAGCTAAACAATTAATTGGCAAAATCAATGTTTAGTTTATAAACTAAATATTTAGGTCTAACCTAAAATTTTAGTTTGTTTAAAAAAATTTTGTTCCAAATTAAATATTTATTTAGTCAATAAAAAAGTACAAACTGAATATTTAGGTCTGACCTAAATATTTAGTTTGTAAAATAAATATTTAACTCTAAATTTAATATTTAGTGTGCTAACTAAATATTTATTTGAGAACTTTTAACAATTATAAGCGTATGAATAACATGGTGAAAATATGAATTAGAAAAATGAACTCCCATTTTTTTCCTCTTGTGATGGGCTAAAAAACCCAAGATATTGATGTAAAGTTAAGACTGTTTGACTTTAAATATGGGCCCCCATATGTATCATCCTTTCACCTGTCGTTAGCTGCACTGCTGAGCTCGGCTTGCTCCAGCAGCCTCGGTCAAGCGTTGCTACGGTAACAGAGTAGTTTTCCCCACAGTCGAGATCAGTGAAACCGCATGAGTTGGAAAAGTTTGCCATGCAGGTATGAGTGTGTCCAGCAGCTCCACTTGCTGTTGCTGTTGCTGTGAACATTTCAGCTCCTGGTACTGGAGACCACAAGATGGTGCTGTTCTCACAAACCTGAGATATCGTGATGTTACTTGGAGCACAAACCCCTGTGGAAAAGAGAGGGGTTTAATGCCACCACTTAGCTGAAATGCATTAATTGATGGTAAGATTCCTGCTTTTAATGCACCTGCTCTGAAGCTGTAAGCTGCACTCGGGATTCCTGTGCATGACTGTGAGTGTGGTGTGACTGTGACGCTGTAGGTCTCTCCACAGTGGAGGTAAGGAACCTGACAACTGGTGGAGTTGGTGTGACAGTGATGGGTGTGTCCATTCTGACTGGTCATTGTCACATTATAATAACTAACACTGGAGCTCGCCACCCACGTCGCCAGAGCTGAAGAGTTGGAGCACAGGAGGGTGACACTCACATTCGCTGGAGGACACGAGACTGGAAACAGAAAAAAAGAACAGGTCATTTGTTCTGTCTTGAATAAATTAAAATGAAGTATGATTATCATTTTAAACTCTAAATTTAAGCCATTTAAAGCTGTGGAGGACATGCGTACGGGTCATTAAAAGCAAGTATACAAGTACGTGAGTTAGCAAAATGTTTTGTTTCAAACAGCCACATTTTTATTTAGATTTTCACATTTATTGCAGATACTTTTTAGATGTTGACTTGAGTCACTATAGTTATTCTGAACTTTATTATTGATATCTAAGTATTTAAACATTTAGATATAAACTTCCAAAATAAACATTGTGGAAATGTTACTTCATTACATTTACGGGGAACTAAATGTGATCAATGTAGTTATTAAAATCCTAATAAATGCCACTAGATTATTGTGCATTTCTTAAAGTATATTATTTTTTGTTTGGCATCCCATTTGTTTGGCATCCCATAGAACCGCAAGTTCTTGTTTTGTAAAATACATAACACTCAAATGTAAATGAACCCAATCAACATGTTTCATCTGCTTTGTAAAAACTCTACAGCTAGGATTTTATGAGCAAATTAAGAACATAAGCTACCACATTTATTACCTGATTGAAGAGATTTGCTGACACTGATGCTGCTGTTGCATTTGTCCCCTTGAGCTTGGATGCTTGCATAAAAATCCAAACCACAGGGCAGATTTTCAAACACACAGGTGGTGTTTGCAGTGTTGCAGCTGTCCTGATACCCATTTCCAGTCAAATGGGAGAAAAACCCAACTTGTCCCACTGGGTCAGACCAGCTAACCACTGCTGTATTGGATCCACAGCTATACTCTGTAGATAAGAAAGCTGGAGCACAGGGAGCTGAGCACAAAAAAGTAAATATAAATTATGACTTTGTTAAGCAGATGAGGGCAAGTTAGCTCTAGCTACAAACACACACCTGTGATAATGTTAGTACTGGGTCCAGGTGCACTGTCACACTGGCTTCCTTGAGCTGTGACTTTTACCTCGTAGGTCTCGCTACACAAAAGATCTGTTAGGGTGCATGAACCAGAGGGCGAGCTGCAGGAAACGCTGCGTCCATCTGCATCTGTTGCATTAACTGTGTAACCTTTTGCATTAACCACTGGTGTCCAAGAAAGAAGAGCAGAACTGTTTCCACAGATCAGATCGCTGCTTTGGATGGACGGAGAGCATGGAGCTACAAGGGAGACACAAACAAACTTTGACTACTGTGTGAAATACAAATGCTATCGATTTGTTCTGTTTTTCAGGGTTTTTCATGCCTACCTGTAATCAGGACTCCTCTGGTTGCTCCTGTGCTGTTACAGGTGGCATCCTCAGCGAGTACAGTCAGATTATAAACATTTCCACACTGCAACTGATTCAGCTGACAGGAAGTTGCGTTACTTCTGCAGGAAGCATGCTGACCCGAGAGACATTCCTGAGCAAGGACGGTGTAGGCTACTGCGCCTGGACTTTCAACCCAAGACACCGTAGCTGACTCTGAGCCACACTGCAGGACGCTGGTCACATTCATTGGATCACATGGTGCTGCAGGTACAGGGAAGGGAATTTTTCAACCAAAAATTCTTTCAATATCAAGTGTTTAAGATTAGCAAACATGTAAATACAAAGAGTAAAACCTGTTGTTGCAGCAGTTTGAATGGGACTGCTGATGCAGTGAGCACTCTGGGAGTTTACTCGGATGGTGTAAGTTGTGGAGCACTGTAAGTTGGAGAAGGAGCATGTAAGATTTGATGAGGAGCAGCTCTCGGAAAAGCCGTTCAAGCTGGTCAAGGTTGCTGTGTAAACAGAGGCTCCTGCAGCAGCATCCCAGGAGGTAATGACAGAGTTCATGCCACAGTATGTTTGTGCTGTTATTCTCTGAGGTGAGCAGGGGGCTGGAGAGACACGACAGAATACGCAGAAAAAGTCACAATGCAGGTTAGAACTGACAGAAGGATAGAAATCTTTCCTCATTACCTGTCTGAACAATTTGTGATGGGCTGTATGGTCCACTGCAGCTGCCAGAGGAGGCTTTGACAGAAACATTGTAGGTTTGTCCACACTGAAGGCCGCTGAAAACACAGCTGGTGTTGTTGGAATGACAGGTCAGGCTGGTGTTCCCATCCAGCAGAACGCTGAAGTTGAGGGGTAATGGAGAAGGGTTCCAGTGGACTGTAAGGTCATTGGTGCTACATTGCAGATCTGTGGTGACGTTCTCAGGAGCACAGGGTACTGAGAGGTACAGAACGTCATGGGAAAAGTTAGAGTGGCTTTTCTTATAGAAAAATCCTTGCTATCTTGCTGATATAAAGAGAGATACTTATCTATGTCTATTTTCTTTCGATTGCAATGCTTATGATAGGTGAGGCACTTTGTGTGACAAAAAGATCTCTTGTAACATTTTATTTCAATAGAAAAGTCAAAATGAGGAAACAGACAAGTCTAAAATAACATTGGAAGAACAGTAAAAGGCCAGTCTCCTCAGTACCTTGGTCTTGCCAGAAGGGGGTGCTGTAGTTGCTGTTGCAGATACCATCAGATGCATAAACCTGGATGTTGTACACTTGACCACAGACCAGGTTATGCAGCGTGCAGTTAAAGGAGGAGTTCATGCAGGAGAGCGGTGCGGCTTGGCTGGTGGCTTTTGCAGTGTAGCTCACTGCGTTGGCACTGGGAGTCCAGAGCACCTGAGCAGTTCTATCAGCACACATCACCTGGCTTGTCACGCCAGAGGGCGGGCATGGCTCTGGAGAGAGAAGCAAAAGCGACATCAGTTGTCCAGAAGGCTTTGTTTCAAATAAAATATGATTTCCAGTTAAATATCAATCCATTATTGGTTAGTAGGCTTTATCGTTACTTGTTCTCAGGGACAGAGGGCTGCTCCATTGACCAGTACAGTTGCCATTAGCTCCTACAGTGCTGATGTTGTAAACCTCTCCACACTGGAGTGCAGGAAGGTCACAGGATGTGTTGTTAGTTGAGCACTCCACAGTGTCACCTTTGCTGCTCACAGCTTCAGCAATGTAACGCCTGGCATTGCCACTAGAGGTCCACTGCACAGAAACAGGATCTGAACCACAGCTTTGCACAGTATGGACATTGGTGGGAGGGCATGGCACTGAGGAAAAAACCAAAATAAGACAAAGTCATAAGAACTCAGCTGCCAAAGATACCTTTATGTCCAATCTTTGTCTGTGTTTGGTTCTCACATGTTAACACAGAGACCTCTGAACTTGGCAGGCTCTGGCATGAACCTGTAGCAGAGAAGACCGTCACCATGTAGGAACTTTCACATAGCAGACCTCCCACGGTGCAGTTGGTCTCTGTGGAGTTGCAGTGCAGAGGCTGGCCCATTCCGGTGGAGATGATGGCGCTGTAGTTCTCTGCAGGAACCGGACTGCTCCACGCTATGTTCAGTTTATCGGTACCACATTTGACGTGGGCTCTCACATTCTCAGGACCACATGGTACTGAAACAAAAAAAGTGGGTCATTTATCTTAAAGTAGCCACGTTCATTCTTCTAAAATGGTTCTGGGCTACAGTTCTGTAGGCTCTTTGGAGGCCTGAGGGACTGTCTAAAAGCTGTGTTACCTGAGTCCATGCTAACGGCTGTAGAGGTGGACAGACACTGTCCATCACTGTATGTCACAGTAACATTGAATTTCTTTCCACAAGGCAGAGAGGGGATTTGACAGCTCTTGACAGTGTCACTTCTGCACTCGAGTTTATTGCTGCTCTGATCTTCTATTGTAGCTGTGTGGAGTCCTGACTTCTGGTTTTGCCAGGCAATCACAGCAGTATTCAGATTACAGTCTCTAGATGCCTCGATATTAGTTGGAGGGCAGGGTCCTGGAGAAAAGGCAGGGGGTTCAGATGACAGCAATGCTAGAAGATTTTGTTTTTTACAGAAAATGAACAATATTCATTGGATAACCATACCTGTGATAAAATCAACTTCCTGACTCTCTGTGCTGTTGCACATGAGGTTAGTGCCATACACTGTGGTAGAGTAGGTCGTTCCACATCTTAGGCCTTGGATCAAACAGCTGGTGTCTAGTGAGTAGCACTGGAATGAATTCCCCATTGCATCTTGAGCAATCGCAAAATAAAGAAGGGACCCATAGCTCGTCACCCAGGTAACGGTGGCAGAATCCTGGCTACAGTCTGCTGATGCTGTGACGTTGGTGGGAGTGCAGGGAGCTGCAAGGAGGTGAAGAGAGTTAAATTTCAATGCGAACTACTACGGACATCTGGAGAGAGATATTTGAGTACACACCTGTTTGAGCGGACTCTCCCAGCACCCTGTCGGTGGTGCAGTGGTCATTGGAGGCAACCATCCACACGCTGAGTTGTTCACCACATGACACACCATCAATTGAACAGTTATTGGAGGAGGAGGTGGAGGAGCAGTTGTAGCTATTGCCATTGTTCCCCTCAGCTTTGACGGTGTAGGAAAGAGCTCCTACAGAGAGGTCCCAGGTTGTGGTGAGCTTGTTAGAGCTGCAGTCAGCTGATGTTTTTATGTTAGTCGGTAAACAGGGAGCTTAGGGGAAGAAATCAAACAGTTGACAAAAACAAACAAACCCAAACTGGTTTAAATAGCTAAAAAAACATTTAAAAGATTAAAATGGATCATGTTTTACTCACAGGTTTGGACAACCTTCGATTCACTCGTTAGACTGTTGCACGTACTGGTGACAGCGTACACTTGGAAGGTGTAGGACTGACCACACGTGGTATCAGTGAAGTCACACGAGTTGTCCAGCGTCCTACACTCTCTCAGCACATTACTGCTGTCTACAGCTGTGGCTACATAGTAGAAGGCGTTGATGGTGGGCTGCCAGCTGAAGACGATGACGTTTGAGGAACAGTCGTGTTGGGTCTCAGTAAACGTTGGAGCACAGGGGACTGCAGGGACAACATAAAGAGTGAGACGTGATGTTTGCGTGCCTTGCTTACCCAAGTAGACTCGTGTTCATCCCTATTCAAAATACAGGCGACCTTTGATTTCACCCTCTAATACGAAACCTTCCCTGCCTAATCAGTTTGATAGGTTGTTCAACATGAGAACAAGGATGGGACTTTACGGAAAGAACCCAAACTCCTTCCCACAGGGCAGATTCATGAGAACGCATCGGGAAAGTCCACAAGTACGTGTGACACACACGGGTGTAAAATGAGAAGGTGTTGCATGCATGCACTGACAATACAAACAGTAAAACGGTTAACGGCAGGTTAACGTGATCCACGTTTGTCTTCTGGTGGTGCTCTTACCTGTGACAAACATGGAGGTGGCATCGGATGTCCTCTCACAATCACCAGAAATGGCTGCCACACTGACGTGGTATTCCTCACCACAGTTGAGACCAGTGACTTGGCAGGTGGTGGAGGATGAAGTGCAGTTCATGGAGGCTCCTTTACCATCGACAGCTGTGGCCCTGTACCTGCTGACCCCAGGGACCTGATCCCAGGTCACCGTCGCTGCATTTTGGGAGCAACTGTAGCTCGTTGAGACTGTCGTTACTCCAATAATAGCTGTGGGAAAAGTTTGGAAAGTTCTACATGAGGAAGGAGCTTTTCACATATGCTGTTTGCGTTACTAATGTTAGGAACATTTGCTTGTGTCATTACAAAACCCAACATAAATACACTATTGTCGTAACTTCCAGTTGATTCACTGGTTGATTAATGACCAACAAAAATTAGATTTTTAAAAATTTTGTCTCATAGTTTTGCCATATTTTGATAGAAAACTCAATTTTTGTTTATTTGAGGAAATCCTTTTCATTCGATCTTGTAATTCTCAACCAATTGTATTTCGTAACTGTTAACAAACAAACAAGCAATATAACTGAAAAGTGTCCCCCCTGGGTTTAAACCAACAAAAGCTGAAGAATTTGGTTTTTAATGAATGAAAAAAGTTGTCATGAATGCTAATTTTCACTTCTCAGTTTTTCCTCTCCTAGCTGGTTTTTCACTTATACCTAAATAAACGCATTCCTGAGCTTTTTGCACACTTTATCAACCAATGATGAACACATTCAACAGCAACCCCATACAACTCCCTTAAAGATACTCACTGGAGGCTGTGTATGAAACATTAGAAGGCTCTCCAGGATCCAAGAAGGCATTTATAGATGATACTCCAACAATGTAGGTGTTGCAGGAGTCCAGATTAGAGATCTCCATACTGGTGGACGATGTGGTTTGGACACTGGTTAGGTTAGGTTTTCCTGTATTGGTCCAACTCACTTGGTAGGCCAGGATTTTGTTTACAGGATTCCATGTCACCCGGATTGAGTTTGTTTCCGTTGCTGTTATCGTCACATTAGTTGGTGGCTGCACCACTGTCAGCAGAAAATACAACGCATCATCATTAACAGACTCGTGGCAAAAGACTGAAAGAATTCAAACCAAAACAAAAGCACTTTACGTGCACTCACAGGTTAGAATGGTCTTTGTGTTGCTCTTGGCTCCTAGTCCTGCACTGTTGGACGAGTAAATGTAACACTTGTAGGAAGTGGAGGGAGTCAGACCACCTATTTGTCCACTCAGAGACGTATAAGTGTGAGTCTTTGGGGATGAAGAGAGCGGATCGACTACAAACAAGATGTAGTTTTCTGCCCCGGTCACACTGGACCATTCAAACCTTATGGATGTGCTTGAAATAGCAATGGCGGTGGTGAACTGAGTCACAGCAGGCACTGTGAATATGTGAGAGGAGAAATTATAAAGCATTCCCAACATTATTAACTAACTCAATGGTTATCTCATCAGTGTTCCTTCACCTGTTAAGGTTACGTTAGTGGTCGTGCATGACGGAGTGTTAAGGACCTCATAGGCCTTCAGGGTGACCGCATAAAGAGTTCCCGGTCTTAAACCCTGAACAAGCTTATTAGTGGGAGTTGCTTGCACCACTATCACTGGTGCAACGCTGGTGGAGTTCACAACTGTCATGTTTAGCTGATAAAGAGAAGCTTTGGGGTAGCTGAGCCACTCCACGTACAGCGTAGATGCCGAGGGAGATGACAGCGTCACTATGGTACATCCTGAAATGAGAGGAAAGGGATTTAGAAAGAGAAAAGAGCAACAGGTGTGATCATCAATAGAAAATGCAGAGACCAATCCTCCAGTATGAGCTATTTATTGTGCTAAAAATCACACCTTCTATCTTCCGTCTGTGTAATCCTCAGTTAAATCACATTTTCATTTTACAGATTTGTTCATAAATTTGTTTGTGAATTTCTAAACTTTTTATTCTATGATACTTTAGCTGATCACTATTTAGTATTCACACAGGGGTCAAGAGGTCCGTATTGATCCAGTAAGCACATGCAGGCAAATGTTAGGCGTAGCAGTGGATTTAAGGGTTTATCATGCCATGGCTTATATTTGAAATGCTCTCACCTGAAACCTGACTATTACAGACCTGAAACAAATTCAAATGCATTGATTAGAATTAATTGCACAATAATGAGCAGATAAATCAAAACTACAAGTGTTTTTAAATACCTGAATGAGAGACAAAAGAACAAACGATGAGTAAATCCTCCACATCTTCTGTGGTGTCAGTGTCGAGCCTCCAGTAAGGTTTGAATCCACCTGCACTCATCAGCTCATCTGGTGTCCCAACAGTCTGACGGCTGTAGATCTGCTTCATGGGAACCAATCAGCAAGTCCTAAATCAGGACAGGTGGATGCCCGTGGGCTCCATGTCATCATGAGAAGGAAACAAACCTTCAGAATGAAGTTTGTTACTGTAGGGGACAGTGGGGATGCCCCCCCCCCCTCCCCCAACTTACTTCATGTTCCGGGAATATTTCATCAAACTCACTATTAACCTTTAACTCTGCATCTTTTCTTGACATGATTCACTTTAAAGGTGAAACAAATTACAACGTTTGAGTAAAATCGCGAGTTCTTCCAGAAGTAGGAATGTTCTGCTGTAAAGTAATCTGACTTCTTTTGTCTGAAACAGTGTGACTCAAAGGGAAATTCACCTGAGACCCCTCTGTTTCTTTCTTCCTGGACTTGAAGCATGATTACACAAAGTTTACTGTTACTGTACTCTGTCACGGTTCCATTTCTGTTGATGCATTTGGGGTGCAGGCCGGGTCTCTGTTGGGTTTAAATCAGAACCAGGACTGGGTTTTGTTGACTAATGGGAAATGTAGTGGTGTCCACGCCTTTTCTGTAGAGGTGTTTTTTAATCTGCTCAACAATAAAACTTCTTTAACGGGGTGCAAAGATGTCTGCTGTTGATCCAGTTAATCAACCTTCAACAGCACGATAAAAACTTCTTCAGTAAATCAAACATCAATACATTAATTTGCTAGGCGCTTATCTAATCATCAATAAAGCTTATAAATCCTAATGCTAAAGAGTTTTTCTCATCCCTGAGCAAACAAAGTTCTGCCAATATCTCAAATGTAATCTATTTTATTTATCTTTGTTTATTTATTTTATATTTTATATATTTTTTTACTTTGAGAATGAAAAATATTAAATAATTTTTAAATAAAATTAACTTTCATAGTTAAAGAGTTTCTATCCATCTGCCAATCCCTCCATCCATCCCTCCATCCCTCCATCCCTCCATCCATCCATCCCTCCATCCATCCATCCATCCATCCATCCATCCGTCCATCCATCCCTCCATCCCTCCATCCCTCCATCCATCCCTCCATCCCTCCATCCATCCCTCCATCCCTCCATCCATCCATCCATCCGTCCATCCATCCCTCCATCCCTCCATCCATCCATCCATCCATCCGTCCATCCATCCATCCATCCATCCATCCATCCATCCATCCATCCATCCATCCATCCCTCCATCCCTCCATCCAACCCTCCATCCCTCCATCCCTCCCTCCCTCCATCCATCCATCCATCCATCCATCCATCCATCCATCCGTCCATCCATCCATCCATCTATCCCTCCATCCAACCCTCCATCCCTCCATCCCTCCCTCCATCCATCCATCCATCCATCCATCCATCCGTCCATCCATCCCTCCATCCCTCCATCCCTCCATCCATCCCTCCATCCCTCCATCCATCCCTCCATCCCTCCATCCATCCATCCATCCATCCATCCATCCATCCATCCATCCCTCCATCCCTCCATCCATCCATCCATCCATCCATCCATCCATCCGTCCATCCATCCATCCATCCATCCATCCATCCATCCATCCATCCATCCATCCCTCCTTCCCTCCATCCATCCCTCCATCCATCCATCCATCCATCCATCCATCCGTCCATCCATCCATCCATCCATCCATCCATCCCTCCATCCCTCCATCCAACCCTCCATCCCTCCATCCCTCCCTCCATCCATCCATCCCTCCATCCATCCATCCATCCATCCATCCATCCATCCATCCATCCATCCATCCATCCATCCATCTCGCCTTTAATGTTAATTTTAAAACTGCACACAATATATTTTTCAAACTTTTGTGATTTCACCCCAAAGTGAAACATTTTGTGAACATCTGGTTAACTCGATCTCCACCAAACTTCAAGGCTCCAGGTTTTTTTTCTGTCAGAATCACATTTGTCACATAAATATTGAAAGGTTATTTTTATTGTGTGTGGCAGAGCTGTAAACAAAAGGCCCACACCTGCACCCTCTCAACCATCTGCTTGTGTTTCCACCTTTCAGTATTGAACTCGAAACCCATCTGTCTTTTGTTTGCCACGCGCCTCAAACCAATCTTCAATGAATGCATGTTACACTAATCCAGCCAAGCAAGTGGTTTCAATTGTTTACGTCTAAGAGCTTTTCACAGTGCGCACAAATAAATCAAGATCTGTTTATAAAAAACGTTCAGGTTTCAACTGATGCTAGTTTTTTGTCCAGTCATGGTGACCAAGGCTGAAAATTGATGGATTAAATTCTTCTTCAAGACCGTTTATTTAGGGGGTAAACCCTAGACGGGTCAGAAGGTCCATCACAGGGTCACACAACCAGTCACACACACACTCATACACACCTACGGAAATTTAGAGTCTCGAAGATTATGTATGTCTGTAGTCTAATAACCTAGAGGGAGAAAGTGATAACCAGCAGTTCCAGCGCACAGCCACTGACTAATGATTCTCTTACTCTGTTCCTGCATCTCAAGCATGCATCACATTCAAATACAGAAACAAGTGGTTTAGGAAAATTTAGGCCATAAAAATGATTTTCACATAAACTTCACACGATCACCTGACATATATTTCCACTGAATATTATTATAAAAGTAAAAACCAAGATTAGGGATGAATAAGGTTGAGAGTCAGACGATGCTGAACTCTCATTTGGAGACAACATTGAAATCAAATGTGGAAGTGTGTAGGACCATCAAGACCCCTTCCCTGATGCTTTACTTGGACAAAGAATGGGCTGAAAAAACATCTAAACACTTATTTGTGTCCTCAAAGTGAAGATGGCTCCAAAGAAAAACATACTAAATAAAAGCAGAAGCGTTACAATCTTAAATTATGATTTTACCCGAACAAGGTTTTATGGGTGCAATAAAATAAAAAAAAAATCTACATAACTATTAAACTAACAATAGTTTGTAAAACTGTTTGGAAAAAAATGAAACAAAGACATGACCAAAGATGATTTCATCTGCACTTTATCTAGATTGTGATCATATTTTACATCAATAAGCCTAATTTTTACTTTTGTATTTAGATTTTATGAAGTTTCAGCATTTTCATTTGCACATTTATTTATGGATTAATGTCCTCTACTTGTTTGGATGTGGGATTATTTTATTGGGACTTTGCTTCTGGAATATGTTAGTTCAGATGGATTTGGAACAAGGAGAAGATGAAAAGGAAGCGGCAGCATGAACATTGACAACTTTGTAAAGATGATTTATTTATTTATTATTGTGGTGAAATTTTTTAATAAAAGTAAATATCTTAGCATTTTTTCTGTTGAGCCGCTCCAAAGAGTGTCTCTTGTCAGAGAATTGGAGTTTGGTGGTTAGTTGCACAACAGTAACACAGGCTTTATTCAGTGAGGCTAACACATCAGAATGTCTGCATCTAAAATAAACACAAACACAAAATGATGCAATAATGTACTTTATTTTTTTTTTCATCTGTCAGTGAAGGGGCAAGTGTTTCCAGTGATCCAGCAGGAGGAACACTGAATCCGTCACCAGCAACATGATCAGATGGATCATCCACATAACTGGACATGCATGACTCCAGGCAGAGAAGATCGACACCAGCTGACCCAGTTTCAGACAGATCCGGTTCTACTGCAGGAGACAGGCTGCAGCCGCGTGGAGGCCTTCTACTTTGGGCTCTTCTAAAACATCATTTAAAAATTCAAGAACAAACTTTAAAAAGCCACCGATTTAAATTTGATCAACCTTTTAGGGGGAATTGTTGCTCCATCCAGTTTCTTTTCCTTACCACATGAGGATAGTACATCTTTTATTTATTCCTTTATTTAAAGAGCAAGTCACCCCCAAATCAACTTTTTTTCCCCCTGATAACCTGTATAAATGCGTGTCTAATCATGCTGCAGACACGTGTAGTCAGTAGTTTTGCACTTAAGCGCATTTTAGTTAAAATTTTAATTTTATGCCTAAAACTGTCAGAGTTGTGCCGTTGTCAGGTAAAAATTCTGCGCTGCATTTGAATTTAAATATGCCATCGCTATTGGCTAAGAGGTACCCTAGAATGTTAGCTGGTACCTTATGATGTCACAATGTCGTTGTGAGCCTGTGTGTGTGTGTGTGTGTATGGCCTTGTTCGAGTTGAGCAGTGCCTCGTCTGGAAAACAGTCGAGAGCAGACGGACGCAGCAGGGGGAGTGGCTGAAAGCCGGCGTTTAAGTCGGACAGATTTCCCTACTTGTGTAGCTCGCGGGTGATGATGGATGAAGATATTGCATTAACGTTCACACTTTTTTGATTATTTATTTTAACTCTGGTGCCTGTTAGCAACCGAAACACATCCTCACATGCTTGTGGAAATAATATAATGCATATGGAGATATGACTGTAATAATAAGTAAAGGTTATCAGCTGTAACTTTAGTGTGCTCATTGGAAACGTGACAAAAGAACACAAATCACATTTCTCTTTATGGCCTATACAGTTATCATCAACGTTACATGATTTACAGAATACATGTGACCAACTAACATTTCGCATTCTACCACCAGATGTTTGGAACACAATATGAACCAATCAGATCTTAGATCAGGTGAGAGCCAGGCGTTTCCCGTCATCCCCTAGGTTTTGCAGCCGGTGGAGAGCAACTGCAGCGCCTTGCTCCAAAATCTGCGTCCTCCTTGATCTCACAAGGTTATAGTTGCGTACGTCTGCATGACGTCAGAGCAAGTCGGCGTCAAGTCGGACACAAATCTAACCGGCATGCATTGCTCGCCGATCACCGCTGGTCTAATCTGCGCAGAACTGGCTCATCTCGAACAAGGCCTATTTGTTAGTGGCTCCGCCCTCTCGGTCTGCTAGGCAACAACATTTGTTGCATTTTTCAAACAGGAAGTGGGAGCGGAGTAATACTCTGGTAGGGGGTGACTTGCTCTTTAAAGAAACGTTTATATTCTCTAAATCAGAGAAATCAAAAACATGCTTCAAATGCATCAAAAATAATTCTCACAGTTTAAGCTCCTGATAACCATATGGCTTTGGTGTTGTGTCTGCCTTTTTTAACTTAGCCAATCATTTCTAAACACACCCAAAGATTTTGTAATGTCTTTATAATATCTTCTTGCATGAACAGTCATTCCTTTTTGCGTAGGTGTTTGATGAAAATCACTGTGGGATGAGAGAGAAACAACAGCTTTGACTCATGTTGATGGTCGTTCATCGTGAAGAAACGAGAGATTCTGTCTGAAACTGAACTTTCGTGAGTGATTTTACAGAATCAGGGGCTGGTAAACATCTTACTGTCATTCTAGAAGAACAAAATATGATATCAGACATCTCCATTATTTACATATACCTTCATTCCAATTTTTTAACAAGTCCCAGAAATAAAAACACATTTTTCCACTCCAACATTCACATGATGCTGCCTGTCCCAAAACAGCTTTTGAGCCATGCAGCGCCACAAAAGATGGCGTTTATCTAACAAGATCTGACAGTGAAATGGAAAGTATGTTTGTTTGGGTTTCTCTCTGTGAAACAGAACATGATCTGCAGGAATAGCAATAAACTCACCTCAACTACTTCAGACTTCGTCTTCTACGGGAGATTACTGTTGGAGGAGAAAGATGACTCATCAGAACAGCAGAAAGAGCTCAGAAATCCGTTAAATGACTAAAATAATTAAAGTTTGATGTGATAGAAAAAAAAGCGATGACTGAAACTCACTCATTCCAGTATTACTTCCTGGACAGGGAACTGAGAAGATAACAAAACATAAAAATGTGTTCTGATTTAGGGAAACTCACATTTGTGACCATATCTGACCCACCTGAGAATCTTCTTGGAATGCAGAATGTGACTTTGACCCCGTCCCGTCCCACCGGCGCCACCACGACTGTGTAGACATCTCCGCAGGTGTCCTCCTGTATGTCACAGTACATGCTTCCTGCAGGTGCCATGCAGGTGTAGTTGGCCCCGGTCCCATAAAGCCCCACCGAGTTGCTGTTGACCAGAGGGCCTGAAGAACGCCAAAAAACTCTGAGCGAATTGTTTGTTCGGCGATAGAGCTTCACTCCTGTTGGACAACAGGCACCTAAATCGAAACAAAAGGAATTGCAGTTATTTTACATCTTTATTTATAGCAGGATGATTAGACTCTTGTGCTTCTGTCCTCACTGGATGAGAATCCACGATATGTGCACTCAGACTTGTGACCCGTGCTGCTGATGGCCTCCAGGTTGACGCTGTAGTTGGTGCCGCAGGTGATGCATCCCATCAGGCAGTGGGTGTCCAGGGTGTGGCATTTGGCCTCTCCCAGTGAGGACATCAGAGTGGTCATGAAGGAACGAGCGCCGCTGTTGGCGGACCAGGTCACATTGGTCATAGCCTGGGTGACCTGGGTCACGTTCACCGACGCGGGGCAGCAAGGAGCTCAGAAGGAAGAGCACAAATACATTATTTCATGCTGGAATTTGGATTTGAGGCTTTTACTCCAGTTACAAGTGATCACCACAGGTCAGATGTCACATAAAGAGTCTTGATTTTGGCTAAAAAAAAAAGCTCAAGATGTTATTTTTTTCACTCACTTTGGATTTCTTTGGAAGATATTTAACTGAAATGACTAAGGAAGGAACTGGTGCATGACTGAGGGCTGCATTCCTTTTAGAATATTTTTATTTGCGTGTATTTTACAGCAGCAGAAGTGGACTGCACCCATTGTTATCATGCCTGTGCTTTCCCTGCTATGTCAAATCATGACGTCTCCCATGAATAAAACTGAATAAAACTGAATAAAACTGGAATTATTACACAATGAAGCAGAAGTCAAGTGAAGTTCAGGCCCTACCTGTTTCTAAGGTTTTACTGAACCCAGGTAGGCTGTTGCCCACTGCTGTGGTGGCCACCGCTGTCACCTCGTAGATTGAGCTGCAGGGCAGCTGTGTGAGCACACACGAGCCGTTTCTAGACTGACACAGGTGGTTGTCAGAGCGACCGGCGGCTGTAACCGTGTAGCTGGTGTTGACTGAGTTGGGAGTGCTGATGAGAACTGTGTATGTTGAACTGCTGGTTTGTGTCATATCCAGGATCTCTGGAGCACAGGGAGCTGCAGCAGGATGAAGAAAATGTTCATCAATCATGTAGATTTAAAAAATGAATTTGAAAGAATATCTTGTCTTTTCCTGTTCCGACCTGTCTCTTGTGTGTGTGGTTTACAGGTGATGTTACATCCTCGTAACTCGCTGCAGGGCGTCACCTTCACGGAGTAGACCGTGTTGCAGCTCAGGTCCGACAGCGCGCACACTGGCGCTGTGTCGTTGCAGTGGATGATGTCATTGGTCTCTGCAGCAGTGGTCTCGTATATCTCGGCCCCTTTGACCGGAGACCAGGTAACCTCAAGGGTCTCTGTAGAAACCAGGTTGATGGTTACGTCCTGCGGACAACAAGGAACTGGGGAGTAGAAAAGCAGAAACATTTTAAAATTCATGGTGTCTGTAACTGGCTTCATAGATTTTTATCAGACAAGACTTGTATGTGAGAATGGAGCTGTTTTAGTACAGAATAAGTTACAGATTTCTTCAGTTTTTGCTTTTTGGTTTTACTCATTGGAGGGTTTTCAGTCACAAACATCATAAGTCAGATGTTTTCCCTCTGGATATTTCAAACAGAAGAAGCAAAGCAGCCCCAGACCATTACACTACCACTGCCATGTTTGACTGTGGGCTTAATGTTCTTTTTGTAAAATGTTGTTTTACACCAGATGTAACGGGACACACACCTTCCACCTTGTGTTCTTTTTTGTCTGTGGAGGTTTGCTCCTTTTAACTCCTCCATGGAGGCCATTTTAACTGCCGTCTCTTTTTGTGGAACCATTACATTTTTAAAGAATGCTGATCTCTTAGCCTACAGCATGTTGTCAGACATGTTTTGTTGCAGTGATTTCTTAATCCTGCTAGTCTGACTCAAACCAAGCACCTGAGTGTTGCTGTTTAAACCGAACCCAGCTCTCCAAATAACAATAATTAATTCATGATCCACAGCAGGATTGGATAGACCGCTGGAGATAGGCACCAGCCCCCCCACGGCCCTACATGGATAAGCGGGTTCAGACAAATGGATGGATGGATTGGATAGCTGAAATTATTATTTGAAAACAGTTTCCTATTTGCTTCTGGTCTCTTGGTGCACTGTTGAAATGTGTTTTCTGATCTGAAACATCAATGTCTGACAAAAAAAAAGCAAAAACAGCAGAGAAGTAACTATTTTTCACATTTATGTTTTGTTGCATCTGTAAACATGTTTTCTTTCTTTAATACGTTTAATTTGCATCAACAGTTATTTTATATCTTAACGGTAATAGAGTGGTATCCTGAGTATCATTATTATTATTACATTTAAAGAAAATATTCCAATGAGCTGATAAATCACCAATGTAACCATAGAGATGATGACTCAGCTCCATTTGCCCTTAAGAGTCGAATTCCTGAGCCAAGGGTTAGGTTTAGCCAAATCTATTACAAACATGTGACTCGGCCAAACCGAATACAATAAATGAACCTGCTTCTTTTCTACCGCTACACCTCTGAAAAGAAAATGTGATCAGAACAATGCCAGGACTGAGATTTCAGGGAGGTTTATCAGACATCTAAGATTTCCGAGAAAGTTGCCAAGGAGCCTTTAGTCGTTGAGGAAGCCAATATAGAATGGTGTGGAACTAAGTGTTTATTTGGTGAAAACAGTGTCTTGGTATCAGGTATTATAAAAACTGAGATGTGTGTGTTGCGTCTGTGGACATGCGTGATGGTCTCACCAGTGGTGTAGTTGCGGACGTGGGCAAACAGGCTGGTGCCGGCCTTGTTGTAGGGGAACACGCTGGTGAGGTAGGTGAAGCCACACATGCAGAAAAATGGGCAGCTGGATTTGGTGGTGTTGCATGTCTTCTCCGCCCCGTCGTCCCTCTTGATGAAGGTCACATAGTAATCTACCAGAGGCACTTGGTCCCACACCACCGAGCAGTTCCCTGCTGAGGGCTCCTCCACCCAGATGTTTTCCACTTGGCAAGGGTCTGTTAAAGGAACAGAACGCTATAAATAAGTAGTTTATTTCCCCCAAAAGTAGAACGTTTTGACTTGTGAGGACCCACTTGTAATGTAGTTGGCTGGTTGTGAGGGGCTGCTGGGTCCGGCATCGTTGTAAGCTACAACAGAGACAGTCTGGTTCTGACCACACTCCTGAGGAGTGATGTAACAGAAACTGTTGTTTGTTGAACAGTTTTGGCCATTATTTGTCCAGGCCAAGTAGTTGGAGGCCCCCTGCACAGAAACCCAGAAGATACCGGTCCCAAGAGTTCGACCCGGAGTCACCTCAACGTAGCTCACAGCAGGGCTAGAAGGACCTGGTAAACACACCAGAATACTCTCAGATACGTATTAATTAAGTATGAGTGAGTTTATGGCACTGAGCTTACGTGTGATCTGGCAGGCAGTGACTTCTTCACTATGCCTGTTTTCAGAGTCCCAGGCCACTGCCAAGGTACAGTAGTTGGTTCCTGCCGCCAGCTGGTCAAAGGTCACACTGGTGTTGGTGGTATTTATGTGATGGCGGATGATGGAGCCTTCCTGGATGAAAACCAGCGTGTAGAAGACGGCATGCTCCACGGGGTGCCAGGTCACCACGATGCTGTTGTTGCTAGGAGAGGACGTGTTCAACTGAGGCGACATCACAACTACAAACGGGATCGGAAAGAGCGAATGAGTGAATTTAACAGACTTTTAAAAGAAATTCCTTTTGATTTCTGTTTAGCATAAAGCGTAGAAGGACTTTCTGTGATCATATTACTTTTTCTCTCTCTTTCCAAACGGGAGACAACCCAGTTCCCATGGTTTTTTTTTTCAAGTTATCAAAACGATACAGTACAAAAGGATGGATACAGTTTCATACGCTACAGCAAATAGAAAATCTGTGACAATAGGCTGAGAAATTATAAACTGTTGTTCCCAGCAGAGTGAGATACCAAGCTTTTGTTTACCAGAAACAGTAGAAAGACTGCATTTCACCCTTCAGACACTGATTACCATCAGACTGAACAAGTAAAACAGGACTGAAAAGGTCATCGTGTTTGAGGAACACTGATACAAAAAACATTGATCAACTAATGGGTTTCTTGCTGTACCTGTCCTGCCCTTGGTGGGGTATGAAGGTTGGCTCCTGCCTCCTGAATTCACTGACATGATGCTCAGAAGGTAGTCCGAATAGGGTTGCAAATGGGTCACGATGCCCGGAGAGTTGGACACATCAGTTTCAGAGAAAAAATCCCCAGTCAGTGACTCTGCCCTGACGATGTAGCTAGTTGCCCCGATGACCTCGGTGAAATTAACAATCATGCTGTCGCTGTTTTTGGAGTAGACCTGTATGATGCTCGGAATGTCAGGAGCTGTGGCCAAATTAAATTCACACACAGTTAAACTGCAAAACAGGTTAAAAACAAATCAACAAATAGTTAAAAAGGTTATTTGTCTGTTCCTTTCAGTCTTTTCCTCAGTATGCAACATGCAGTGGGATGCAAAAGTCAGGGCAGCATTGTTAATCTTCAAGATTTTTCTGTATAAATTGTTGTTGTGATGAAAATATTTCAGTTAAATATATCATATTGGAGACACACACGGTGATATTTGAGATGTGGAACGAAGTTTACAGGATTTACAGAAAGTGTGCAATAATTGTTGAAACCAAATGAAGCAGGTGCAAAAATTTAGACATCACCAAAATAAATGAACTCAATATTTAGTAGATCCCCTTATGCAGAAATAACAGCCTCTAAACACTTCCCATAGCTTCTAATGGGAATCTGGGTTCTGGTTGAAGGTGTTTTGGACCATTCTTCTTTACAAAACATCTCGTTCATTCAGGTTTGATGGTTTCTGAGCATGGACAGCTCACTTTAACTCACACCACCGATTTTCTATAATATTCAGGTCTGGGGAGTGACAGGCGCATTGCAAGATTTTCAGAAGTGTGGGAGATGTTGTCTGTGCTTAAAATAATTTCATGTTATTCATCTTGTTAGTTTAATTTTCATAATAGCTGAGCAGGTGCGAATTTTAGAGGCGTCACGCACGTCTCCGTTTTAAACATGTTTATTAAACTGTTCAGAATGCAAATCCAGACTCTGTCTCATTAGATTGGTGTAAATAAAGTTTGTACTGAATGAAACTTTACATTAAACCATGTTGAAAAGAAAAGGATCCGATTAAATCGTTTCCCCCTCATTTACAGTCACGGAGTACAGCGCAGTGCGCATGGCTCTGGGGTTAATCAAGTTTAATTGTTTCTCTTTGCAACAATCTTCACAAGAAGGCAAAACGGTTAAATGGCAGGTTACAGATATTTCCATTTGACTGTTTATTTTGACGGATAAACTCAAGGATGTTGGTTGTTTTGACAGAATTACGCCAACGCACACTGATGCACACACAGATGAGCTGACATTTTAATCATTAACGCACATCGCGGAGGTAACTAAATCAATCAAGAAATGATTCCCATCAGAACATCAGAGTTTTATACTGGACACTGTGCTCAGCGCGGCTTGGAGCGAACACGGTGGACAGTGGGCTGCAGATCTAGAGGGGAGCGGAGCGCAGTGCAGAACCACGGTGCATGCGGTAAGATTTCCTCCCACTGAAGCGGTCTGGAAACCCGGTCTCTCTGAGGGATGTGTCACTTGGAAAAATGTTCGCTGATTATGAAACTTTGGCTGAATAACGCTTGTTCCCGTCTCTAATATGGAGACGCATGACGCATCCAGTCTGAGGCAGAATACCCTCTTCAGCTCAGAAAGCACCTCTAGACATTTGATCACACACAAAGTTTATGTGGAGCAGAAGCGGTCGGCCCACGGCAGGTGAAACGTTCCTAGCCTACATGAAGTGAAATTGTTTAATTGTAACATTAATGTGTTACTGGACACGCTGGTCTGGTTGGTTAGACCAGTGTTTGAAGTGGAAAACACACACACACACACACACACACACACACACACACACACACACACACACACACACACACACACACACACACACACACACCAATTAAAATAATGCTGATAGCGTGGACTAGAAGACAGGTGATGTATTTAAATGATGATCAGGCTGCTGTAAAATGTAATCTCCATCCACATCTGGACAAAATTATCCTCTATTCTTTCTCTATTTTCTCTGCTCTTGTCTGGGCTGACATAGCTGATGGTGCGCGCGGCGCGCCTAGCGGCTGTGATGCACATTTTACGCATTTGGAGAGGTGGGCTGGATGTTTTGCTTTTACTGGAAGATGGATTTTTATTTATTTATTTATTTTTTATTCTTTCAAAAATGTCGGAGATTTTGCCCCGTGAATAATAACCGTATGAATGACCGTAAAAACTACCGGTGTGCATGTACCCTTATGAAAGAGTCCTACGTCGAGAGGTAAATATTAGAAGTGCAGGTAATGCATTCTGGTGCCTATAAATGAAAAATGTAAGAAAATTAAATTGTGAGTTTTTACTTCATATTTTAGAAATAAAAATGAAGGGGTAAAAAATGTATAACGTCTTTTTAAACTAAATTTTCTAGCACGACCTGCCTGCTTCACTTAAGTCACTGCTTATTAAGGTCCGTCCAAAATTACCGTGGCCCACCCAAAAATGAAAACCTGGCGCCGCGCCTGTTATAAACCTCTGCAAATTGTTGTTCTTCACTTTATCAAACTCAGACTTTGTACAGCTAATGTCAAGATGTAAAATTATGAATTCAGTCGAGCTCTTCCCTCCCTCCCTCTCCTGTTTCTCCTTGAAACCCGACATCCAACACATCGGCTGTCAGAGAAACAGAAGAGGCAGGGGAAGAAGGAGATGAGGCAAACAGAGTGAGTGCGACGTAGAGAAACCAGACTGGTGTGGAGGTGAACAAAACGGCTGGAAAAGTGTGGGTGTTGGACAATCTCAATAAGAAAAGTGCGGGTGTTGAATCCCCCACATCCCCCATGGGTGCGACGCCCATGCGGACTGAGAAGCCCATTCCAGAATGTTCTATTTGTTTCTCTGCATGAATCCCTAAGTTGATTGTCATCAGTGTTTAGGGTTGTTGTCTTGTTGAGAGATCCAGCACTGCACAGCTTTAGCTTTGTCTCTGATTCCCGGACATTGATCTCCAGAATCTGCTGATACTTAGTGGAATCCATGCAGCCCTCAACATTAACAAGATTCCCAGTCCCCGTACTGGCCACACAGCCCACAGCATGAAGGAACCACCACCATGTTTTACTGTAGGTAGCAGGTATTTTTCTTGGAATGTTGTGTTCTTTTTCCTCCATGTATAACGCTCCTTGTAACGCCCAAATAACCCAGTTTTAATTTCATCAGTCCTTAACACCTTGTTCCAGAATGAAGCTGGCATGTCCAGATGTGCTTTAGCAAACCTCAAGCAGCTCTGTTTGTGCTGTGGGTGGAGAAAGGGCTTCCTCTGCATCACTCTTACACGCAGCATCTCCTTGTGTAAAGTGCGCTGAATAGTTGAACGATGCACACTGAGTCCATCTGCAGGAAGATGATGCTGTAGGTCTTTGGTGCTGATCTGTGGGTTGACTGACTGTTCTCACCATTCTTCACTTCTGTTTATCTGAGATTTTTCTCGGTGTGCCACTTTGAACCTTAACTAGAACTGTGCCTGTGGTCTTCCATTTCCTCCACATGTTCCTAACTGAGGACACAGACAGCTGAAATCTTTGAGACAGCTTTCTGGATCCTTCCCTTAAACCACGATGGTGAACAATATTTGTTTTCAGCTCATGTGAGAGTTGTTTTGAGACCTCCATGTTGCTCCTCATATTATTCACAGAGGAGGGAAACTTACAATTGCCCCCCTTAAATACTCTTTCTCATAACTGGATTCACCTGTGTATGGAGGTCAAGGTTCACTGAGCTTACCAAACCAATTTGGAGTTCCAATAATTTGTTCTAAAGGTTTGGGAATCAATAAAATGACAGCAATGCTCATATGTATGCACCAGCCTAATCTCGTTTAAACAGGTATTGCACACTTCCTGTAAATCCTATTAACTTTGTTTCACTTCTTAAATATCACTGTGTGTCCATCATAACAACCAACGATTTATACAGGAAAACTGTGAAGATTAACAAGATTGCCCAAACGTTGACATGCCGCTGTATTTGTTATGCATTAGTTGTGTTTTCTGTCATCACTGACCTGTTGTGTCCTCTATCGTTGCACTACCGAGGACGTGCAGTGCATTGTCCATGGCATCTACCTGCAGGGTGTACACTGTGTTTGGGGATAGCGAGTTAAGGGAACCCATCACTGTGTTGCCGCTGAACTGGGCAAAAACTGGACCAGCAAGGGAGTTCTTGGGGGTTGCTGTGATCTTGTAGGAGCTGGCACTAGAAGGGCCGCTCCACTGCACCTCCATGCTCCTCGATGTCACCGTAAACACTGACAGAGTGATGTCTGAAGGGGATAAAACAAACAACACATTTAATTGTATTAAATATAGATTCTTGATTATGTTAGGGACAGTTTTTGCACAGATTTTGGTGAAAAACAAAATCAACATGTTACTTCAAATGTTTGGCTTTTCTATTTATTTTTGGTTTGCTTTTAAAGGAAACTGCACAGAAATCAAACATGTCGTGAAGAATTTCAGGAGTGCCGTTTACCGTTTTGAGCAGTGCAAATCTGGGAATAAAAAAGACAAAAAATAAAGGTTGATGAGTGAAAAAGAAAACATTAAGATGATCAAAGACAGGAAACGGGGGCATCATTCCGGAGGCAGCAAGCTGTCGGCATTTCACATAATGTCCTGAGGTGAATTATACCCCAGCTCATATTCTAGGGAGCATGAGAGGCAGCAGGCTGCGCATTACACTCACTCATCACAGATTTCAGACCTGCTCTGTGCAGGTATTTCTTTCAGGCTGGAATGAATTTGCCTATTGAGCTAAGGTTGGACCTGCCACAAGTACTTGTTGAAAGCAGTGACCCTCAACAGATCCTGTGTTCATACGACTCAAAAGTTCATTTACTTAACACACACAGTTCCTTTAATCTGCAAGTTAACGTGCAGTAAAAGCAGAAGCTCTTTTCTAATAAATCTTAAGTGTTAAAATATGTTTTCTATATCACAGAGAAGTGAAAAGAGGCACCACTTACCCCTGCAAACGCTACTAATAATAAAAGTTTCATCGTCTTTAACTGCGTCTTTCTCATCCGTTCTGTGTTTTCCTGCCTGGAGGAGAGATGCTGTTTCACCAAGTGACTTCAGGGCAGCAGCTCTCGCTTAAAATAAATGCTCTTTCCTTCTCTCCTTTCTGTTTTGCCTGCCTCTCGGATGAGACGACAGGTGCTTTATTGTTTCAGCAAATACCAAAAGGCCCAAAGGCTGTAACTCCACCCCTCAGGGAGGTATAGGTGACCTATCAGAGAGCAAGATGGAGGCTCACCTTGGTTAGTTCGGGATGAAGATAGTAACACTCAAATGACAAAATATTCATGAGATATTTTGTATAAAATCATAACCTGCACAAGTGTCTCCTGTTCCCATTCCCGAGGAGAAAACACTGACTTGAAGAGGCAAGCTGATAAGGGATGACCCACTTCTGCTGTTGAGTTTGAGAGGAAGCATTTAACTATTTTTTTATAATAATATATTTTTAGAGATAAACTTATTTCAACTATTCATTTTGTTGTAGTGTAACACAAAAATCCTGAAATAAATGTGACTTTTTCCCAGCAGTGGGTGGGGATCTGCTGTATTATGAGAAGGGTGTGGAGCATCCCAGAGGATCACTTATTATAAAACGTCTTTTCAGCAAAAAGTGAAAAAGGCTAATCAGATCCAGATCAGAGAAATCTGAGAACCACTGAGATAAAAGTACACCTAAACTAAAAACCTGAACTATTAGTGTTATTTAAAATTATTTACATTTCGGATTGTTAAAACGTTTTGATCCCCCGTGCCTCATGTCTTTCTGTCATAAAATCAAAGGTTCTTGTAGGACCCAAGTGCAGGAAATCCAGGAGGCAGCCTGGTAGGTAAAAAATCCAATAGTTTATTAAGGTCTGTGGTGTGGAGGAGGAGCAGGAGCACAAAACCACAAGTAGAAAACAAAAACACAAACACGAGGAACCGACAAGGAGCTATGCCAATGACTGGGTTTATACTGCTGAGGAGGTGAGTGAAGACAAAGGCAGCAGGTGCATTACTGATGGGATGCAATGCAAAAACACAAGAGGACTGAACCAGATAAAACTGTCAGACACAGAAACATAAGACACTAGAACTAAATGCTGAAAGAAGACACTAATGGGTGACTACGTAAACAGAACTCAAAAATAGAAAACATAAGTACAACTAAACTAGACTGATGAATAACTTAAACCACGAACGGGGAATGACTGAAGAAAATAAACAACCAAATAAGAAGTCTAACAGGACTGGGGTAGATGAGTGGCTAAAGTTAACTGAGGCTGGGAATGAACGAATGAACGAATGAATGAATGAATGAATGAATGAATGAATGAATGAATGAATGAATGAATGAACGAACGAACGAATGAATGAATGAAAGGAACATGAAACAAGGAAACCTGGAGGATGAACAGGAGACAGGATGCAGGACATAGAGTACCCCCCTCAAGGGCGGCTACAAGACACAAAACAAAAGACAAAGAAACATAGGGCGGGCGAGGCGGGACCGAACCAAAACCACAGGGCAGGAACAGGAGGGCAGGAGGAGGGGAATCTGCTTAGTAAAGTATTACTTAATATGAACATCAATTTTAAGCAGTTTTTATTTTTTATTTAATAGTTTATTAATGCTTAATAATGCACTAAGTAATAAAGGGACCTTAATTGTAAAGCATTACTATATATTTATTAAATTAGGAAAACCTAATTAAATAAAGCTTTTGGACCTGGGACGTTGATATTTAAAGCAGATCAAATGTCCAACTAGGGCTGCTCCATTAATGGCAAAAATGATTATCACAATTATTTCGACTGAAATTGAGTCTTGATTATTTAAGACGATTTTTAAAAATGAATGTTGATCTATCTATTTATTTATTTATTTATTTATTAAATTGCACAGGGTGCAATCAGAGGAAAAAATATAAAAAAGAAAAAGAAAGAAAGACGATAATCAAAGAACAGCTTCTGATTGCTTGTATAAAGGAACAAATACACTTGCTCATATGTGGGTAGGCTGAGGTTTAACTCCAGCATACCCAGTACATAACCGATTTCAGGTAAAAAATCTTGCAAATGCTGACACCAAGAGTTATACAGTGCATTTATTGTATAAAATAATAGAAACACATAAACATCCATGTTGTGGTGAACTTCCACAAAACGTTGCAAAATAATTATTTGGTCCTCTCCGGCGGTGCTGTAGGGGCGTGTACAGTAGCAACGTGGTGCTCAGATAGATTAATTGTTATTTATCAGTGTGAGGAATTTATTTCTATCTATTTATAACTTATTTCTAAACTATTTGTTTACAAGTCCCATCAGTTATTGTAACAATTGTCCCAGGCATGTTGTGCCGCCCCACTCATTGCTTTCAAAGCAATTGGACGCAGGGATGTACAACCCAAAATAATTATATTTGGATGACGTTGGGGTTACCACCCCAAAATAATCACAAAATACCACACTTCCCACGTCCAATCCGGTTGTGTTGTGCATCGTTTTTAGGGGTGCACATTCCTAATCAAGAGACAATTTCCTCCAGTGGAGAAGAGTAAGTAGCTGCACACAACGTGTGTGCGAGTTTTAACTGGCCTGGCAGATTGAGACATGGACACACTAAAAACAAACAAAAAAAATGTCTGTTTTTTGCTAATATTTTGCCATGGTAAATCAGATCGCTTAGAAAAGTAAAGGCACACCTCCCACGGCCGAGCCGCTCGTTTTGGTGTATAATTTGTGAGGGTGCACGCTGCCGTTCGAGCTGCATTTACATCCGCATAAGAAAAATAAAGACGATTAAACCCCCTCCAGGTGCATAACAACAAGGGTCTTGCTTGCTGCAACAGCAGGTCCTTTAACTAGAACATTTCGGAAGAAATTTTGAAAGGGATCTGTCATCTGGCGCAAGACAGTGGCAACATGGTGCCAGGTAGCTATAGCTCACCTCGACGCTAGTAAAGCAAACGATTGATTGCTTATATACAAACACAGGTATTACTAACCAAACAACTGGTCTTGACACTAAAGCAGTCAGACATGAAAGAAGCCACTGCAAGCCATAATGATCACAATTCTAACAAATAAAGGCTTGAAATATCTGGCTTTGCATGTAATAAGTCAGTCTCATACATTTTTTTCACCTTTGAATTACTGAAATAAATGAACTTGTGCACCATATTCTCATTTGTTTTACTTTCACCTGTAATTTAACCAAAAAAGAAACAAAACAATGCCCTGATCGATGGCACAGTCCCATGCGTGATCTAACGTGTAGACTCAGTCGTCTCTGTTCATGGTTGTGTCCTCATCTCCTTATTCGTACTGCTTCTTTAATCCATCTTTTGCATCTCACTTTCTTTTCAAACTTTTCAAGCTCACATTAATAACATAATTCGGTCAGCATACTTCCATCTACGTTCCATAAACCGTCTCCGCCCCTCCCTTACCCCTCACACTGCCGCCATTCTCGTCCACAGCCTCGTCACCTCCCGTCTCGACTACTGCAATTCACTTCTTTATGGTCTCCCCAACAAACTCCTTCATAAACTGCAACTTGTCCAGAATTCAGCAGCCCGTATTATCACCAGAACCCCTTCCTTTCACTACATCACCCCGGTTCTCCAACAGCATCACTGGCTCCCAGTTAAATTCAGGTCCATCTTCAAAATTCCCCTCCATACCTTCAAAGCAATCCATAACCTCTCTCCTCCATATACCTCAGACCTTATAAGTATTAACACCCCATCCCGTTCTCTCAGATCTTCTTCTTCCATCCATCTTGGCGGTTCCTTCTGCCCGTCTCGCTACCATGGGGAGCAGAGCTTTCAGCCGCTCTGCTCCTCGTCTCTGGAACTCACTCCCCCAGACATCAGGAACATCGACAGTTTTACCCTTTTCAAAACCAAACTCAAAACACATATGTTTAAATCTGCCTACAACCTCTGATTTTATTGAACTGTTTCTCTCTTTGTTTTTTCTTGGTTGTGTTTTATTGTATTTTATTAAGTATTTTCTGTCAAGTGACCTTGGGTGTTCTGAAAGGCGCTTTTAAATAAAATGTATTATTATTATTTTTGTTGTTTGGTGTTTATGGTCCTTGCTTTGTCTCAGTCCATTATAAGGGTTTCCCTTGTGCAGTGGTCTGCTACGGCTAATTTATTGTACTTTCTGCTTCTTATTTTACTGCTTGTGTGTCTTAATTTGTTTCCTTCTCACGCTCCTTTCTATGTTCCATTGTTCGTGTGTTGACTTGGCATCCGGTTTCTCCTGTTTTATTGCAGAATTTGCATGGGATTTGGTGAAGGACTCCCCATTTTTGTCCTGCTGGTTTCTTATCTTTTGGGTGTACTAGTCTTTTTCTAACTGTTGTGTGTTTATGTTATGCATTTTCATTGTTCCCATTATGTTTTCTGTCATGCCTTTGATGTAAGGAAGGATTATCACTGGTTTTTGGTTCCTGTTCCTCTGGATTTCTAACGTACCAGAAGGGGTTTTGGCATCTACTCTGTATTTCTAATACACAAGCACCTCCTGTTGACCTGCTGAAAGCCCATTGGTTAACGAACTTCCAGAACTTCACCCACTCCTGGAACAATCATCGCACATCGTGCTGGAATATTAACTCATCTTCTTTCGCGTTAAGACTGTAGAACAACAAGGAAACCCAACACCAGACTGTAAACAGCTGAACACAGCCCGGCTGGACCACAAAGCCATCCAACAGAAACTCCGTAAGAAGACACTGTCAGCAGCACCCACAGGCCAGAAGGAATGGGCCCGACTGGAGTCCCACCACCTAGAACAACAGAGGGTTTTTCCAGACATACAATATGGAGTTTAATCAAATTCTAGTTTATGCTCTGCTTGTGGCTGTTTGTGTCTTCTGTAACAAATTGTGCAGACGGGTGAAATGGATCCAAAAGAAACATCCTTCAGAGACACAACTGAAGTGTCAGGAAAGATAAGTTATGTTTATTGCTTCAAAGGAATGGCGATTCAATAATTCCCTGAATCGTGTTATGCATCCTTTTGAATGGATATCCAACAAAAATCACATAAAAATCAAACAAAAATACACATAAACAAAAATCTGTAAATAAAATTCTATTTGTGTGACTCAAAGATGTGGCAGTCTCATAAAAGTAGTTTTAGCATTTTCTGTTTGTTATAAATATGTCAAAGTAAAAACAAAACTGAAAAAAAAATTTTTTTTTATACAGATTAGAAGTAAGACACTTCAGGTGTAATAAACAATAAACTTGGAAAGTCTTGTGTTTTCTTCCCTCTAGTGGCTAAACGTTGTAATGTTTCTTGTGCAGCTGAGACTGGGCCAGGTCAGCTGACAGCCTGCTGGCCATGCGGTCTGTGGTCCTCTTCATGGAGCGGGCTACCTCAATAGCCTGGTCCAGGGTTTTGCTCACATCTTCCTCCTGACAAACACACAGAAACCTTCTTAAAACAAACAAAAGCTGCATTTGGCTCACAAATAACTTAGAGCAGGTCTAAAATGTTGTCAAAGCACACCAAAATGACCTTTGTCCCTTTACGTCTTGGCTTACTGACTGCCCTGGGGGACAGCGAGACTGGAGACGGCGTCCGCTGGAAATAGACGTTGCTGGGCAGGAGAGCGGAGTCTGACTGAGTCGAGTGTTTTCTCTGATGGGACTGCAGCTGGTGTTCTCTCACTTTATAGCTGAATCAGAAGGTATAGAGCTCATTACTCCCCTTTTACACACTGCATAGTTAATTAACCTCACGGTTAATAAGTGTTTGCGTGTGTTATTAGGGCTGAACAGGTGAGACGTGGTTACCTGGCTGGCAGGCTGCTGGTGGAGCCGTAGCTGACCTGGAGGAGGGGCTTCTGGAAAGCAGACCACTGATCCTGGGAATAAAAACTCCTCCTGGCTGTTGGTCACAGAAAATGAAGGTCTGCATTGTTAAATGTTACAAATCTGATAAAATAAGAAGTATTTTGTTGATGAGAGCGATGCTCACCTGGTTGTCTTTTGCTGATGGGATTATCTGCCAAACTCGTGTCTCCTCTCAAAGCAAAATTTGCCTGTGTGCCTAAAGAAAAGCCAAACTGTTAACCTAACGTCTTCTGGACAGAATAAAGCTGGTAAGCAGTAACCATAGCCCAGCTTTCTCTGACCTCTGTGGGACTGTGTTGTACGTTGAAGCTTCTCCGCAGACTCGGCCAGCGAGTGGACACTCCCTCCACATCTTCTGATCCTCTCAGGAGACAGACGTATTTCCAACATGATCTCAGAGCAGCTTCCATCTCCACTGTCTGTTCCTTTAAAACAAACCCCTTAAATTAAAGAAGCAAAGACCAATGATGGCTGACTGAATGATTGTTGGATAGTGGAGGCACCTTTGCTCCTGCTGGGGTCCATGTCTGAAGAAATCCAGTCATCTATCCTCAGCTGAGTAGAAGTGACGTTATTCCCATCTCTGCTGCTTGACTTCCCCAGGCTGTAGGATGGAATAAAGATGAAATCTTACACTGAACAAAAATATAATCACAACACTTTTGTTTTTGCTCCCATTTTACATAAGCCGAACTCAAACATCAGAAAAATTGCTTACATGCACAAAACACCCATGACTCTCAAATATTGTTCTGAAATCTGTCTACATGTGTGTTAGTGAACATTTTTCCTTTACTAAGTTAATCCATCCCACCTCACAGGTGTGGCATATCAAGGGGCTGATTAGACAGCATGAATAATGCACAGGTGTGCCATAGACTGCCCACAATAAAAGGCCACCCTGAAATGTGCATAGTTAATCTTTATGGGGGGGGGGGGGGGGGGGGGGGGGCAGAAAACCAGTCAGTGTCTGGTGTGGCCACCATTTGCCTCACACAGGGCAACACATCTCCGTCTCCATGGAGTTAACCAAGTTGTTGATTGTGGCCTGTGAAACGTTGGTCCATTGGTCCACTACTCTTCAATGGCTGTGTGAAGTTATCAACCGAAGTCTTTACCTGCTGGAAGTCGGTGTTAGTCGTGTTCTGGTTTTGGACCTGCGCTCCTGATGTTCTCTGTATTTTGAGGTGAGATAGTCCATCCTCTGAGCTAAATGAGGCAGCTGGACCAAGCCCTCCTCCAGGTTCTTCTTCAGCATGGTCACCTCTGCCTGCAGAGCCAGAATGGCCTCACTGGAAACACGCAAACATTAAATTGCACACGTTTTCATGTTCGTCTCACATCTTTCTTCTCTTTCCACCGCTGCTCCTCACACTGACCTATTACAGGAGCAGGAGTTCGGTGGGCTGCCCATAGCAGCTATGGTGGTGCTGAGTACAGGCTCTGAAACGTGATGCTTCTGCTGACTTCCTGTTTGGCAGCAAACACTTATTTATTTCAGCGCTGACAGGTGAATATGATCTAAAACTCGACGAGGGGGTTCGCTCACCCTGCAGTCTGAGAGGTGGTCCCTTAGTGGTGCTCTCCACCCACAACTCCACTGCTGCTGCTGCTCCGCAGAGCCGCGTTTGGACAGAGGGCTTGGCTGAATGGATTTCTGTGTCCAGGTTGGAGCAGGAACCGTCGCTGTCTGAACCACTCAAACCATCGCTTTGAGATGGAACGCTGGAGAGCAGGATTGCATGAGTTTATCTCAGGTTCAGACATAGATAGAAAAATAGGATCCGTCATTAAATTCTGAATATTGTTATTTTACCTTCCTGAGACTGAATTTTGTTGAAAAGTCCGATTGGCTGAGTGATTCATATAGGAGCTTCCAAATCCGCTGTCTGTCTCTGGACTCACTATCCTCTGCTTTTTGCAGAGCACAACAGTTATTCGTGCATCCCTGAACAGTGTGTGCACATCAGTTGATCTACCATTAATCTGTCACTGACCTGGGACACACAGGAGGTGCTGAGGGGAGGATCTGAATCGCTGTGGATGAACGAGTCTCCAGGAGGATGAAAAGAACAGGAAACTTCCACAGCCAGACTCACACAATCCCCCAGATCACATTCAGTATTCGAGTTAAGGGTGCTGCTGCAGCAGAAATAACACCAGAAATATGAAATAAAAGTGTGTCTTATTATGAAGGATAAAACGTACTGAGTTTTAAACAGAAAGTGGACATTTTATGCAAAACTCTCCTTTTGGATTCTTTAGTGATACCATGTGGGTCTCTGCTCCCTCTATGAACACTCCAAGCGTTATAAAAAAAACTGTTCTTCTATTTTCTGTCAGTGTTTGGTTTTGGGAATTTTGTGCCTAAAACAAGCCAATTAAAAAAAATCTCCAAAAAAGATTGCATTACAACTGCTTCTAATGTTCAAGAGTGAGCTGCTGCAGGAGCAGCTGCTCTACTCTGAGCCCCTTTTAGATATCAGAGCTTCTTAGCTTATAGCAGCTTGAGCTGGGGATTGGTTGCCAGCTTCATGTTGTTTTCTTAAGATAACACTTAATAAGTTTCCCGCTTCTTAGTCCTACTGGTTGAAAGTGGAAGTCCAACTGTCATAAAATACCCTGCCGCAGCTTTTGCTAACACCATGCTAATGCTAACACAAGCCAACTGGTACTAAATAAACCACAAATTACAAAGATCCACGGTGTTGGACAAAAAATATTGCTTACAAATCCAATAGCAACAAAGCCGGGTCACCATCATTCAGTGAGCTAGGCCTGTTTTAACTCTTTATTCAGCCCTAAAGAAGTTAGTCTCTTACCAGGCCAACAAAAAAAAAGCTTAATTCTTCATGTGCTTTTTACTGACAGTCGGCAAACTGAAAAAGCTAGCTGCTAGCATTTCATTGAGCTGCTTGCACAATAAACAGATATTGCCATAAAGCAGGTAAAGACCTCCAACTAGCATCGAACAACAAAACTTGAGTGCAGTTTCTGGTCACCAGAGGGCTAAAGAGCGCTGTTCAATATGAAGTTGGTTAAGTTTATGGCTCAAAAATCACTGAAACCAGTTTGAAAGCCATAGTTTAAAGTGTGAAAACCTCTTCAGTGTTGCTTTAGTGACAGAGCCCTGAAACGACTCGTTCTAGAAGTTGGAGAAACTCTCAAGGAAAATAATTGCTGAAATGACCTTGCTTTGTATAGGACTTAGAACTACTACAACTTAAATCATAACATGTCCCACTTTAAGATATTAAGATATATATTTAAATTGTAGTAGATTACGTGTCATTTAACAGAAGCACCAGGACATAGACTCACTCCAACCATATCGTAACACTGACCTGTTGGCGTTTCTTTGGCTCTGCCTTGAGCTTGATCTGGTTTCACTCAGGTATGCTAGGATGTCACTGTGATCTCTCCCCTCTGATGAAGCAGAGCTCCTCTCCTCTTCAAGGCCTTCCTCATCCTTAGCCTCGTGGAAGTTCAACTTGTCCAGTGAGTCCCTGTGACAGGACGAAGAAGACACCCTGCAAACACAGATTCAAACACCCCTGTTCCCTTCTGCACAGTGGAACCGGACACCAACAGTGTACCTGAAACCGGATCTGCTTGGTGGAAGGGTGAGAACATGCTTTTCATATGAGCGCAAACACACTGAAGCATCAGTAGCTGGAAACAGTGTGGTGGTTTAATCCTGTGTTATGTGTTTGTGTCATTCTTTCTAAATAAATCGATCCTGGTCCACGCGCCGTACTCACAGTTAGAACTCAGCCAGACATCCAAAACACCAAATGTTGCAAAAAACAATGAAAAGGACTAATTTATTGTACCTTGAAATGCAGATGTTGTGTCCAACATTTAGGATCTCATTGAACTCCTTTAATCCCTGGTTCCCATGGACCTCTCTGACTTCCTCTACTTTTTCTTTTTCTCCTGCATCTTTCCTGTTCTGAGTGTCCGTTTTACAGCTTGATGAGGCAAAACTAGCATTTGACACCTGAAACATAAAACGTGAGTCATGTGTTGTTCTTTGGGGATAGTGTAAACATTTGTTTATATTATGCTGGTGAAGGTTCTCAGTCATCCAGGTCATGGTAATCTAAAGGGTTTCAAATGAAGGCAGCTGGACTTCTTTGGTTTCTTGAAGACGTTTCACTTCTCATCCGAGGGATGAGGGGTATTTATAGGTAGTTTCAGCTCGTTAAGCAGCAGTAGACAGCCACAGTTTATAAGCTTGACCCTCCCATATTCCAGTCATTTACATTCTCACCTATATTCAGTAGTTGCAATCATCTAAAAGGAGTCCAAAAGGCTGGAAGCAATTCTGGCTCTTACGCATTTTTGAGGGATTTATAATTTGGTTTTATGATTGATAAAGTTTTTTCAAATACAGTTAAACAAATCAAACAGAAGTCCTGACAGGAAAGCAAATAAAGCTGTCCCATTTTCTAAGTCTTGCCCTTTTGACGCGCAAGATTTGAAATCCAAGGAAGAAGAGAGCAGAAAACTATTTCCACTTTTGACAGACTTGTGAACATGGAAAAAAATAGCGGCTCATTTTCTGTATTATTATTTTTTTTTTATGTGCACAAATGAGCATTTTACCTGACGCAGGGACGATGGAGGTGATGGTGTGTTGAAGGGAAGTGGAGCGGGCTTTGCATGCACTAACGTTGTCATGGACGTGGGGGTGGAGGATGAGTGAGGAGGAGAAATCTGCTCAAGTGTGTTTGTGTCAATCATCTCCTTTAGGTCTTCAAGGTGCATCCCTATCCTGAATATGTCTCCTTCTACAAGTCTGCAGATGTGACAACACACATGAAACGATCTATCCGGGCACCTTTTCCATCTCAAGAGAGGAGTTTTTTAAACCTGTCTGGGTCAAAGGTTCCCGTGTTCCTGCAGAGACCCATATAGTTCTGCATCTCCAGAGCTCGGTGCTCGTCCCGCTTACTGATGTATGTCCTTTCCAGCTGGTCCTGAGCCTCCATCATGCTTCTCAGCATCTGAGAAAAGGATAAGTGTTGCATTCATGCACCTGTTGAAAATACGGTTTCTAGGGAAACAAAGAGTCTCACCATTTGCTGTTCAGCTGTGTTTGTAGCCATATTGCTAACACAACATCTCAAGTCCTCAACCTGTAAAAGGTTAGTTTGATGCTGGTGGTCAGATAGCTGCATGACACATTAAACAGTTTAAAACATAACTAAAAACATTTCTAACTTGCAGCACCTTCTGCTTGAATTGGCTGATGATGTCTCTCAGCTCAGCAGTCATTCTCTCACCGTCACTGGGACTCTCTTCATGCAGCTGGGAGGAAACTGGTGCGACCTGCTTAATGGTGTTGTCCCGAGACATGTCTGCTTCTTTTTCAGGAACGTTTTCTAAAAATATACCAACGTGATAAGTAACAAACAGCCTCTAGTTAATATTTTCATACATTCTTCTGGGATTTTTTAAAATAAGCACATGGTAAATATAATCAACTTAATCATAATGTTCATTATTTTTATAATGTGGTCTTTTTATAATGGTAAATGGACTGTATTTGATATAGCGCCTTCTAGAGTCCTGGAAGCCCCCAAGGAGCTTTACAACACAATCAGTCATTCACCCATTCACACACACATTCACACACTGGTGGGGATGAGCTACGATGTAGCCACAGCTGCCCTGGGGCGCACTGACAGAGGCGAGGCTGCCGAGCACCGGTCCCTCCGACCACCACCAGCAGGCAACGTGGATCAAGTGTCTTGTCCAAGGACACAACGACAGCGACGGACTGAGCGGGGCTCGAACCTGCAACCTTACGATTACGGGGCGAGCACTTAACTCCTGTGTCACCGTCGCCAACATAATATATTACTCAAGTGCACAAAGTTATTTGCGCTGGTGTGAGATAATTGAGCCTAAAGTGAATTTTGTGTGGATGTCTATTTTGCAGCTTAAGCTAGCATAACATTCATTATTCTGAAATTATGTGATTTTTCTACATGTTACAATTGTATTCCTCATTTTGTAAAGTTTAATTTCCACTTTCTACAGCCAAATAATCTTAGCATGAAAACAAAATGTTTCTAATTGAACCCATCTGTCCCCGTAGAAACCGGTGCACTTCACTGTTTAATTAGAAGTTAATAAAGCACAACATTGACTCACAACTTGAGTGTTAATCACAGAAACATACCTGCTGGGAGGTAAGTAACCAGGTGTTTGACAGGATTCCCTTCAAATTCAACCTCTTCTGCATCATTATGTTCTGATGAAGGCTGGTTTTTAAAAAGGAGGAGTAAATTTTGAATCAAACCAAAAAAATAAAGTCTTCATTTGAACAGACTTATCACAAATCCACACGATCTGAAGCAAACTGAAACAGTGTATTGCTCACATTGGTTCCCAGTCTAATCTGGTCTATCCGGTTCTCTGCCTCTGCGTACCTGGTCAGTAATTTGTCATATTCAACCTAAAAAGCCAGGAACAAGTTGTGAGTCCCACAGGAAGTCTATAAAAACTGCAATGTCACAATATAACGAAACACAAACATAAGAAGTCTTAGTTCTGAAATCCACCTGCAGGTGATGCACCAGAGCTGCTGGAGTTGGCTCGTCGTTGTTCTTAAATACATAGGGCTCCTCTGACGGCTGGATGGAATCCTCCAGGACTCTGCCGATTACCTCCAGCATTCCAGGCGAAGACTCAGCTCTGTCGATGGTTTTAGGACTCTGAGGAATAGATCTCACAGGTCCACTGGGAGCTTTAGGGATTCGGACCTTAGGGGCAACCTTGGAGAAGTCTGGTAGCGGGTAATGAACTTGACCTTGGCCATATTTCATCTCACCAAAGGATCTTGTGCGAACAAGTGGGACTCTCTGAACCTGGTTGTCTTCTCCTGCTTGTTCTTGCCTCATAACATCCTCACTAATGTCCCCAATCTGGTTTAAATTTCCTGAATTGGATTTATTTTTGACAGATGCGGCAGATGTAAAATCATTAAATTCCCTCTCAATCGTTCCCTGAAAGTTTTCATTTTCAGATTCAGTTTTGCTCATTGTTTGAGAGCTTTTGATCTGAACAGTTGATCTGTTGTGTGGTGGAGTCATGCTCAGAGTTGTGTCATCCACACTCTCCAGCAGGGACACCTCCGGCAGGGTCTCTGCTTCAATCAGCCTTCCAGACTGCAGTAACTCCTCCTGGGAGAAGTGTCGCAGAAGCAGGTGGGCGATGTCTGCTGGATCAGGGCATAGTGGAGCTACCTCACTGGGCTTGAGGCTTTTAGAGGACTTGTTGGGTTTGGTTTTGGAATCTTCTTGAAGCAGCTCAGGCAAACAGATTGGATCTGGACTTCCATGAACAGTATGTCCTCCTTCAGAGTTTCCCTCAGAGCTAGCTGTGTGGTTGAAGTAGGGGCTTCTCAGGTCACCATCATAGGGCAGGTCCTCCTGATCCTCATCACTGGTGTTCTGTGCTGCATCCTCAACCTTCTGCTTGATGGATGGCTCATTGGGCCTGGCGTTTGCTTTCTGGGCTTCATCACTCCTTGCACGACTCTCAGTCTTTCTCTCAGTTGAATTCACACTCTTACTGCTGACAATGCTGCTGTCTGAGGTAATATCCAACGCTGAGAGCTCTGAACTCCCTGGAAATTTATGAACGCACACATAAAAAGATGTAAAATGGTCGATGGTAATTTACTGGTTATCCATAAACAGAAGACTAGTCTTACCACTGAGGTGGATGCTGGCTTCTGAGGTGGCAGACTCTGTCTGGGAGAGATGTAGAGCAAACGAGTTCTCCAGATCGCTCAGGTGGATACTTTCATCCTCACTGAGGTCCACAAAGATGCTCTGCTGAATGCACCTCTCCCACAGCACAATGGGCTTGTCCTCTCTCTGAACATCATCACTCGATTCTTCTGAGTCCTCCTCCATGGATCCTCCTTCTGTGACAAAAAGTCGTCCAGCTTAAATTCCCCTGTGTTGAGAATGAGGTAAGAAAACATGTAGAATGACCCGTTCATCACTTAGCAACACAAAGTATGAACTGACAACACGGGATCAAAATGTCTTAGGGTGTCAATTATTCAAGAAACAGCTTGTTGCCGGCAAGATGAGAGGCGTTACCTAAGTGTGTGAGATGTTGGTATTAATTCTGTGTAAAGATGAGAACAATTACATCATCAAAGTTTCTGAATAAAAGCACAAAATAACCAGATTTTCTAAAGAATTTAAATAACATTTAATATCTTAAGACTCTAATGTCCTGTCATTGCTGGAGATTCAGCTCCAAAGCTTCATCTTTAAAACTGTAGAAATATCTGGCAAAAATCACATTCAGAGAAATAAAAATAAAGAGAAGAGTAACTGAATTATTATTAGTATTAAGACCTTGTGAAAAAGCTACTTGGCTGTTTGTAAAACACGTGCAATCTCAAAATAGTCACAGCACTGAGCTCTGTGCTACAGTTTCCATCTCATGGTTTTGGTGGTGCTGCTGGTAACTCACTGTGGTTATGATGAGCTTCTCCTTCAGCAGAGTCACCGCGGGTCGATCACAGCCACAGACGTGCTCTAGTCTTCACGTATGTTGCAACTAACTTATTCCTTCCTTCCAGAGCATATGGCTTTTCTGACAGGTTTGGTTTCTCTGGTGTCATAAATTATTTAGCTTACACGGCTGCGCTGAGCGTCTGGATGGACTGGCACTGTGAACGAGCGGAGTCAGGTTGCTAGGTAACCGCTCAGAAACTTCCGTCATGTCTTGTGGATACGTAGCGTCATCATTCTTGTTGTGTTGCTCTCAAAACGACTGCTCTCTTTCTACCTAGCACTCTGTTGACTTAATATTCACAGTGGAGGCAAAGGTGTGTCAAGTTTTCCGCTGATAGCTGAATTAACAATTTGCGTCATCCCTTTTCTGTTCAAATTTGTTGGACCAATGAGCGTTGTTTAGGGCGTGGCTATCTTTGAATACAGTCCTCTGATTGGATAGTTGACGAAAACACACTACGCTTGTGGGACTGGTACACGTTTTTTTCCCCTCTGTTCTAAGTTTTATTAAGTTGAAAGTTAATGTAGTCTCAAATCGAATACAATACATTTTATAACTTGTTTAAATGTCACACCCAGTGCATTTAAAACGAGCCCGTGCTTTAGTCTTGCGATAACGGAAATAAAAAAAGAAGAGAAGTTCGAGCTGGATCGCCTAACGTAAGTTTAGCAGCTAACAAGCTAACGGAGCTAATCCTAAACTGCGCAGAGAGGAGTGAATTAACTGCTCTGCAGCCACAAACTGCAGTTAAAATAAACGTGTTTGATACACCAATTCTCCGACTCAGTGCAAACGTTAAAGATTTTATGTTTTGTTTTTGGGTCTGGCGTGCTAGTTAAGACAAACAATGAATGTAACTGGCGTTAGACATTTGTCTGCATCATTGTCCTACAAATTTAGATTATCCAATATAACTCGGCTATTTTACTAATCCATGCCTGCTAGAAGCAGCTAATCAAATTATAATCGCAATCCAATGGGATGTGAATGCATACATCGCAACACAAATCTGATTATTTTGATCAAATTTAGTAAACAAAAATAATTACCATTAGTTATGCTGCTTTATCTTTATATATGCATGTAACACATCAATAAGAACTGTACTCTTGTTCTAATTGATTGGGTTTTTTACTTTATATGTTTACATTCCGATGATGGGTTAATCCTATTCAGGCCATCTACAAAAGTGCTCCAAACTCCGTGGTTCTGTTTTTAATTGTTTAGAAAATATGTTTTATTTATGTCTAATTAAATGAAAATCACTACACTTGCCCTTTATTGCAAATTGTGTCCATATATGAAAAATATTATGTGGAAAGTTATCTTCATTTGTTTGTGAAGGAATGCTGTTTTAAATCTACACAACACTGTCTTGAATAATTGTTAAGTAAAAAGAGTTTTAGCTCTAAAGGTAAACCAGAAATGGCAGCAAAGGTAAACTTAGTGTAACGTCGTTAATGATTGGAGCGTTTGTCTCTTTCAGGCTTACCAAATTTCCTGTTCCTTTGTGGAAGACTTACCGGTGAGTGCTGAGTTATTCCTGTGTTTTGTTTTGATCCAGGATTTTGCCATCTCATTGTGGAAAAGTCGAGCGTCCTATTTTAGTTTAGCGGTCAGAACCATTAGTAATTTCAGCACATCAAAGCCCCTAAAAAACAGACCACAACTATGTGTTTAAGGTGAATTATGTCCGTTTTGTGGCTAAAAAACAGCCAGTAATTGCTTCAGTCAAGATGTTATTATAGTCTTTTTTTAACCTTTCTCATTGTATCAGTAGTTCAAGCTGGATTAAGGAAAGAGCAGAATCACACCCAAGTTGGCTCTCAAAAGGCTGCACGTAAACATGCTTCTTTGACATGTTTATAAGGATATGTGGGAAAATGTACTGAGAGGCGCAAAAAGTCCTGAGATCTAACACATGAAGAAATGGTTATTACTCACAGAACAGCAGAAATAGAGAACAATTTTCTCTACAGAGTGTCTGGGCTCTCCTTTAGAGATAGGGTGAGAAGCTTGATCGTCTGGGAGGGGTTCGGAGTAGATCCGCTGCTCCTTCACACCAAGAGGAACCAGTTGAGGTGGCTCGGGCATCTAGTTAGGATGCCTCCTGGACGCCTCCCTGGTGAGGTTTTCCAGGCACGTCCAACTGGGAGGAGACCTAAAGGAAGACCCAGGACACGTTGAAGGGACTATTGGGCCATTCCCATCTGTACCGGGTCGGCCCGGGCCGGGTAGCGTAGGTTGTTTACATATCTGGGTGGCCTGGTATTTTTCCGGGCCAACCAAGGCTCATTCTCAGCCCTCTTCTCGAGGGGGTCTGCTTCAGGCCGACCAGGGCCAACACACCCACTGCTGACAGCAAATTCACACCTTCCATTAGAGCAAGCCTCTGATTGGTGGGTAGAATCAGCCCACATGGGCTTAAGACAAGGATGTGTGGAATCAACCGGGCCAGGCTGGGGCCGACTGGGGCTACCCGGCCTGGGCCGACCCGGTACAGATGGGAATGGCCCATATGTCTCTCAGCTGGCCAGGGAACACCTTGGGATACTCCCGGAGGAGCTGGCCCAAGAGGCTGGGAAGAGGGAAGTCTAGGCCTCTCTGTTTGGACTGCTGCCCCCGCAACTTGAACCCGGATAAGTGGACGAAAAAGAATGGATGGATGAATCATAGAAATAATGCTAAATTAACACTGTTTTCTGCTAATGCGCCACATATTTTCATCATTGCATCACAAAACCTGTAGACTCAGTTGTCATATTTGCAAAAGATAAATAGCAGCTCCCTGCTTCTAGTTGTGTGTTTAGTAAGTAGTGTGCCACTAGAATAGTCTTTATTTGAAACTTTATTGAAAATACAATATTCACATTAGCACGCTGTGACTAAGATGCAACATGATCTCAATACATTTTTGTTTTTATTCATCTTTTATAAAGATCTGTGTTGTTACTAGAGGTGTGGACTCGAGTCACATGACTCGATTCAGACTCGAGTCATTATTTTAATGACTTCTTACATGACGATAAAATCTATAAAGATTTACAACTTGACTCGGACTTGAATGCCAATAACTTGCGACTTGAATCGACTTGCATCTGTTGACTTGATGATGACTTGAGCATATTTGATATTTTAGCACAAACGTGGCATGAAATGGACAAAATCATAAAACATTCGTGGTTCTGGGTTTGATTTTGTTCTGCTAACTGCAGCAACATGTTTATAATCGGTTTCAGTGGCACTTTCTGCTTGTTTGAGCAAATAAGTGAAGCTTTAAGAAGCTTTATTTCTGGAATTTATTTATTATCATTGTCATTAAATTGAAGTTAGACAGATGACTTGAAAATTCAAAGTTAAGGACTTGAACTTGACTTGGACTTCCACATCATTGATTTTGGACTCGACTTGGACTTGGTTGTCTTTGACTTGGACTTGACTCGAGACTTGACTGGAAATACTTGTGACTTGCAAAGCAGTGACTTGGTCACACCTCTGGTTGTTACCATAAAATGAGCTGTTGTTTTAAAGCTGATTTGTCTGAGCTTCTTTTTTTTTTTGTGTGTGCTATTGTTATTGTGTTGATCTGCTAAGATGATAGAAATTATCCAAAGGTGAGAGTGGTCTGTATGTAGGTCAGAACATTCAGGTGGACAAAGAATAAAAATAATCATTTCCTGTAATAATAATTAATGAAATGAGCTGCAGTTACGTGTTGGGTTTTTAACAGATTTTCTGTGCATTAATGGTTTATTTCTTCATACACATGCTGCTAGTTTGCCATCTCTTCAGCAATTCTCTTACAAATTGTTTTTGACCCGTATCAATAGATTAACCTATTTAGCAAATGAGTGGTCTATTTATTGCCATGTGTGTGGAGAAAAGGGGGGCCTATGAACTAAACTTTGGGGCATAGGATGGTGGTTAGTGTGATCTCATGGAGAAATTAGGTAATGGCCGGCTCGGCTCGTTCCTTCTTGTAATCCCTCTTATCCGTGATCCTCGGCTGTCCTTTTCCTTTGGTGAAAGTCCTGCATTCTTCCTTTGTGCTTTCAATTATTTAACTTGGAAAAGTTTTTTCTGGGTAATTTATGCAGCAGGTTTTGTTGTTGCTATTTTTCTTTTCAGTGATTGATTTCTTGACCCATGTGGATGTTTTTCTATCCTGTCTGACTGCGTGGTTTGTATCCTGTTGCACCCTGAAACACTTGTAGTCTCGTAGCAGCTCTTACACACTTCAAGCATGGATGAACTGAGTCACCATCTTATGGTCAGTCTGACAGCTCAGCCCCATCCTTCCTTTATTTTTTTCCACGCCCCCATTTTTGCTTCCTGTCTGTCCTGCTTGTGCACGCTGCTGTTCGGTTGGTGTTGCCATGGAAGCGTGTCGCCAGAAAGAGGCTTCACATACAGCATCTTGTGTTCTCTTCACAGAGAGCTGCTGACGAGAGGCAGTGACGCAAAAACACACATTATACGAAAGCAGCTGTGTGGACTGGCGCTCAGGACTCTTCGGTGCAAACATTTGTGGGTTTTATCGTTCCTGGTGGACTTTCAGCTGGGGGAACAATTTTTGTCACATTTAGCAACATTTGGCTGGGTTTTTACCCAACTCCCATTGATCGATTACATTTTTCTTTCATGTTAACTTTTTTGTTTTTTTAATCGCAACCATTTTTTCTGGAACCAAACTGGGATTTTCCCTCATATTATGCACTTCCATGGATACGGGTGGCTCAGTGGTTAGCATGCGAGCTGAGGAGCAGCAGCCCTTTCACGTCCGCTACAGGTAGGAGTTTATGTCTCGATGCTGAAACTTTTCAATTTTCCTTTTCCCAAGACAGGTTAGGATGGTGTTATTTGACATATTTTTATTTAGTTGGTTGATAAAGTTATGCTGTTAATTGTATAAAAGTAGAGGAATAGGTTATTTTATTAGACTCGGTGTGGTTGGAAGTGAAGGCAGGTGTGCTTCCCATCAGCCAGCTGTCTCTATACACCCAGGTAAACCTGCAGCAGGTGTGACATGTTGAGCACAGAGATGTGCTCCAGCCTAGTGTTAATATTTAAACAAGCCTTAAAAAATTCATCCCTAGCAGCTTTGTGTCTGTGAGTCCACCCTGCTGGGGGTGATGGAGGCTGATTTCTCCAAACCAACAGGACAAGTAACGTCACTTAATTGATTCCATTAGACAACAGTGGAGAGTCTGCTCACGTCTGACGGTTCTAATCCAGCTACTTAGCATTGTCCAGATCTATATAATCTGTCAGGTGCATACTCTACATACGTAATCTCGGATGACCAGGTCACTTGAAAGAAAGACGAGCAGATTAGCCGAGAAAGTGCTGATGGAGCCACTTCCTTGCTGCCATGCATTGGAAGTTAATGCTGTGACAACATCACTTTCTTCCTCCTGGAAGGTTTTCCAGTGCGTGGTGCTGAAATACCTCTGACGTCAGCCGACTTAGAGCTTTGGTGTCACTGAAAGGAGTTCTCTTTATCTTTTAGAGATTTTTAGATTTTAAAGCACTCCAAAAGTAGTTTTTTAAGTTTTGTTGAATAAGCCGAGTAGGTTTGAGGTAGTAGACCATCGTCCATGCTTCAGAGAAAAGGAGGAAGCTGGAGCCTTGGATGTTTTCTTCTGAAGACACATCAGTAGATGTCACTCAGATGTTCCATGTGCTGCTGCCGCTGTTGTAGGAAGCAGAAAGCAAGCAGGTAGGCTGGTGTTTACCACAGCTATAGTATTAGAGCTGTGGTAAACAAATGGACTGCAACATCTAATTTAAGGCTCAGCTGAGCTTTAACTATTCATGATATGATGTTTGCTTTTGTTCACTAATTATAGCTTTGCTGTTGGGTGAGACGAGCTACTGTGATTGGTGTTTTTTACATCATTTCTGTTGCACACAATAGGCTGCTAAGCTGCTGCATCGTGTGAGGATTCCAGTCCTTGGTCTGTTTTTATTTATTTATGGATTTCTTTAAGATATTTTAAGTAACCGTTTGGTGGGCACAAGAGGAAAAGGTCTGATGAGCAACAGGGATACGTTTTGGGGTGAAGCGAAGCTGTTTGCTGCAACAGTTTCCTGCAAAAACAAAAAGTCTTTTGACTGTTTTTGCTTTGCTCAAACAAGCTGGCTAATCTTTCATAGCAGGATGAGCATCCAGCCAGCTGACACAATGTGGAAGCTCTTTTTAAATGCTGCTGACAAATTAAATCATGTATTTTACCTTCTGGATAAGTTTGTTTTTTGCACATTTCAAGATCAAAATCTTGAGTTTAAAGTACAATATTTGACTTATTTTACTGTAACACATTTATGCTGGTTTTTGGTATTTGACTGTACTTTCTTGGTCATTTCTATAGGATATGAGCTCTAGCATAATAAACAAGTCCTGGTGTGAGGCATTGTTTTCTATAGATGGAAGGAAGTTGCTAAAACACTCCCTCTTGAAAGCCTTGAAAGAGGTTTTGTTTTCCTGTTGAAAGTGGAATCAGGTCAGTGGACGTTAGGTTAAAGCCACCAGAGAGTCGTTCTCTCCCTAAAGCACTTTAACTTTGATCTCTCTCTCTCTCCGTTTTTATTTTTCTCGAGGCTAAATCAGGTCATCCAGAATCAGAAGGTTTATTTGACATACTCCTTCTGTTGTAGGATGGAGGTGTCCTGTCTGGAGCTGGCGTTGGAGGGTGAGCGGCTCTGCAAGGTGGGGGACTACAGAGCAGGCGTCTCCTTTTTTGAAGCTGCCATCCAGGTGGGAACAGAGGATCTACAGGTCCTCAGCGCTATCTACAGCCAGCTAGGCAATGCCTACTTCCACCTGCATGACTACAACAAAGCTTTGGAGTTCCACCGGCATGATCTCACCTTGACCAGGTTGGACTCGAGTCGATACACAAAAACACAGTTTAAATATGTGGCTGTATTTATTAATAATGAACTGTTCAGGACGATTGGTGACCTGCTTGGAGAGGCCAAAGCCAGCGGAAACCTTGGCAACACGTTAAAAGTGCTTGGTCGGTTTGACGAGGCCGTGGTTTGCTGTCAGAGACACTTGGATATAGCGAGGGACATTAATGACAAGGTGAAGCAACATACTCAAGCACGTTAGAAATGTCAGATATTCTATAGCTGTTATGGAGGACTTTAAAAACCACCGTTGACACGTTCTCTCTGGCTGTTGTTAGATCGGACAGGCGCGGGCGCTCTATAACTTTGGTAACGTTTACCACGCCAAAGGGAAAAGTATCTGCTGGAGCGGAGCTGAGCCCGGAGACTTCCCAGACGAGGTCATGACGGCACTGAGGAAGGCAGCAGAGTACTACGAGTAAGTCAGCAGGATGTTTGAAGCATTAGTTATGCAAATATTAGACGGTTAAGTCTAGTGGTCTGACTTATTTGATGCTGTGGATCGTCAGAGCTAACCTGGCTATAGTGAAGGAGCTTGGAGACCAGGCCGCTCAGGGTAGAACTTACGGTAACCTTGGCAACACGCATTACTTGTTGGGAAACTTTGGTGAAGCGGTGACGTCCCATGAGCAGGTGAGGGTCTGATCATCAGCTTTCTTTTTCTGGGGCAGTGGAGCGCAAACGTGGGTCGTCATAAAAAATATTTGTTTCAGCGACTGCTGATAGCCAAGGAGTTTGGCGACCGCTCCGCGGAGAGACGAGCGTACTGCAACTTAGGGAACGCTTACATCTTTTTGGGGGAGTTTGACGTCGCAGCTGAACACTACAAGTAAGCCGAAGCCCAGATGTGTGTGTAACAGGAGTATGCCGACTCCAACCTATGTGTCATGTTTGTAGTGTTCTTTTATTTGGCTTTCTTATAAACATACTATCAAAAAAATAAAATAACAGGAGGTCGCTGCAGCTAGCGAGGCAGCTGAAGGACCGCGCTGTGGAGGCGCAGGCTTGCTACAGTCTGGGTAACACCTACACGCTACTCCAGGACTACGAGAGAGCCATAGATTATCATCTCAAGCACCTCATCATAGCTCAAGATCTCAATGACAGGTATAAGATTTTGCTGTTTGCAGCATTAAGACATTATTGTGTCGGTGAATTCTGTGATTTGTGGTTTGTAGGATCGGGGAGGGTCGTGCGTGCTGGAGTCTTGGAAATGCTTACACTGCTCTGGGGAACCACGATCAAGCCATGCACTTTGCTGAAAAGCACCTGGAAATCTGCAAAGAGGTGAAGAAGAGAAAAACTAGTGTTTTACTAAGTTTACAGTATGAATTGAACAATATTTAGTCTTGTCAAACGTACATGTGTGTTTCGTTCTCATTGTGCTTACGGGTCTTTGTCTTGGGTTTCCTCCAGACTGGAGACAGGAGCGGGGAGCTGACGGCTCGCATGAATGTGTCTGATCTTCAAACTCTTTTGGGATTAAGCTACAGCACAAATAACTCCACACTGTCTGAAAATAAGGATATAGACTACAACCAACATGGTTAGAAGGATAAGCATCCTCCTTGGTGTTCTGGAGAAGTATTGTTGGTGTTTAACTGAGTTTTGTTTGATAGGAGCGAGGCCCAGAATGAGCCGGCGACACAGCATGGAGAACCTGGAGCTGGTGAAGCTCACTCCAGACAAGATGAACGTAAGAACAGCTTCAACAACTTTATCTTCTGGTTTGGTTCATTATTCGCTGCCATAATTCGTCATTTTTTGTGTTTCAAAGGGCCAAAAATGGAGCAGTGACATTTTGACTAAACAGGCTAAACCGTCTCTGGCGAAGAGCTCCTCCAAGCTGTTCTTTGTCAGCCGTCTGCGAGGAAAGAAGTACAAAACTGGGAGCTCCAGTAAGGTCCTCCAAGACACCAGTAACACTCTGGACACCAGTCAGACTCTCGCACCAGGACCACAGAAGGTATGAAGCACAGGTTTATTTAAAAAGGTTTGTTTAGTATTAAACAAGTTTGTTCTTACTTTTTTTTCCTCCAGCGACTCAGTCCTGACATGCTGGGAGATGAGGGCTTCTTTGATCTTTTGAGCCGTTTCCAGAGCAACCGTATGGATGACCAACGTTGTTCAATCCAGGACAGAGGGAGCAGATTGTCGTTAAACAGCGGCCCTGCCTCTCCTCCCAGAAGCATCAGAAAATGTGGGTCTACGCAGACACACACAACTCAAGGAACATCTCGCAGAAATGCTTGATTTTGATTTAACGGGTTGAATTATTTTAAATCTGCAGCCGTGTCAGAGTCCGTTAACATCTCAGGCACCTCAGGCAGGCGGTTGGACGAGTCGCCAGCAGCAGGGGGAAGCCTGCCGGGACTGAGACTCCATCAGAGCAGCAACCAGGCTGTTCTCAGCCACCTGATGGCTAACGCGGATGGTGCCGAGCCTGACAACGACTTCTTTGACATGCTAGTCAAGTGCCAGGTCTGTGATCAGATCAGATACCAATTAACATTCCTAGACTAAATTTAACCTGCTGGAAGACCTAATTAACACCTTTTCTCAACATCTTCCCCCCCCCCAGGGCTCCCGGCTGGACGACCAGCGTTGTGCCCCTCCCCCTCCTCCAGTCCGAGGACCCACCGTTCCTGATGAGGACTTTTTCAGCCTCATCATGCGCTCTCAGGCCAAACGACTGGACGAGCAACGCGTCACTTTGCCATCTGCAGCCAGGTCCAGCTCAGATGTAACTCAACACTAAAGGGACAAATGTGTTTGATGCTTTAATGGACTGCAACATTATTGGCTAAGTAAATGTCCTGTGTCTCTTCTAACAGTTGTCCTATTGGACATAAAGCACTGTCAACATTAAATGTAAAATCTCAGAATTTCAAGGATTTGTTTTGTACAGCAGACAGCGTAGCATCAGGGACATTATGGGCTCTTATTTTTCTTTTAAATGACTTTCTACTCATGCATTTCATCCTTGTGTATTTGTAGATACACAACTGCCATTATATTTGTATTTAATGTATATTTTTTTCTGTAAACTGCCGTCCCCCCCGCTGGTGAATGAGTTCAAATGGACATACAGCACTTGTTTCATACATTCAGGTTTCATGAAATATTTTAAATCAAACTGATAAAATAACTGATGGAACCTTTTTATCGCCTTGGGTGTTTTTCTACCAAATGTCTCCGTTCAAAAATAAGTTTCCTTTACTTCGTCACATTTATATAACCAAAAAGATGCACTCGGTTTGTGTAAAAGACACTTTATTGAACGTACCAGCAGTCGACACTTCGGTTAGCTTCACATAAGTTAAATCACTTTTTAAAATCAAGAATTAGAAAGCCTTAATACAAGGGCTACTAGCGTTATAATTACCTGTACATTAATAAACTAATAAATACATCCATTAGTTTGGCCTCATTTCTGATGGTACTAAATAAAATAACTTAAATATGTATGAGGAACATGTTAAAAGTATTTGTGCAAAGAAAATATTAAAAAATGCCTCATGTAATAAATATTCAAACACCCGTGCTTCCATCCAGATGTGGCCGTGCACACAAACAGATGTTAGGCAAAGGCTTGACACCTACTGTCACTAAATCACAGCAGCAGACAAACCAAGTCAATGTCATGATTTTCAAACTGGAAGAGTCCCTTTGACGCTGAAATAAAGAAAGCTACTGTAAGACAATCAGATCACTGGCTAAAGAGAAAAGATACTCCTGCGTTTCACGGATGCACTGGATACAGAAACGGGAGAAGTCCCACATCAGCGAGCCTCCCGAGTGGAGGAAATCACTTAAAGGTTACATTTGACACCAGCTTTTCTTTCCAATAACAATAGCAGCGTCACGTCAGCTGTTAGAAAATCATATGCAAGAGCCGGAATGTTTAAAAGGACCTAAAATGAGATCATGAGCTAAAAGAAGGCACCATCATGAGCAACGCACTCCCGCCATGTTAGACCAGAAAGAAAAGGACATGCAGCAGAAAACGGAGGAGGACTCGCATGAATTGAGAAACCAATTGCAAATAATGACTTAAAGCCGGTTTACAGCTCAGCATGCCAACGATCAGGGTGATGGGAGCATGCAACATGTGCTTTTGATGTCTCCAGTTTAAAACTATTTGGTTTCCTGCAGAAGGAGAAGCTTGGTGACCTGTTTGTGTTTTTTCAGTGTTTGTGAAGAGAGGAGGAATGGCGTTTAAGAATGTGCAAGTCTATCAGATCAGTTAGGAATTGTTGGTGTGTGTTAGGGGTTGTGTGTCCACAGCGTGACCGTACGGTCAGCGGAAGACGACAGGAAGGACAGGTCCTGCGTGTGCCACCGACACTGAATCACCTTGTCTCCATGTTCTCCAACCACGGTCAGAGGCAGCTGTTTGGTCAGGTCGCCTACAAACACAGGGAGGTTTTGGTTTTTCTGTTCAACTTTTAAAAAATGAACTTTTTTAAGAGTCAAAGGACGAATTCTGGCTTTGCAGACGCACCTTGAAGGTTGGTGACCATCACCTTTGTGTCGTAGGAGCCGGTGAGCAGGTAGTGCGCTCCAGGGGAAAACCGAACAGACCGAACATCGCTAGAGTGCGGCCGGTACACCTGAACGATCCGTCCTCCTCTGATGTCATACAGCATGCACGCGCTGTCTTCCTGTCCAGTTGCTAGGAGACGGCCGCTGGGATCCACTGCTACAGAGGCAACGGGACTGCCTGATCGGTGGAAAAGAGGAGCGCAGCTTCATTAATCAGTTGTATTCAAGACCAAGTTCATTTGTTCAATGCATCTGCAGCGGCCGGTCTCTAGTATAAATGAAAGGCTTGTGAGTCGATCTGAGTGGGAGGAAAAGCTCTGGTGCTCCTGTTCCAGGAACTACAAGTGTGCCGGAGCAGAGGTGAGCTGCAGAGGAGTCTTATTTCCTGATACTCGGATATCTTGCCTCTGGTAAACAGCAACATGACTCCTCCACTGACTCTGCTATGCAACGCTGATGTTTTATCTCCACAAATAACACAAGCCTGAAGGAGTTCTGCCATGGGGTGGACTTGCTAAAGCTAATGGTTAGCTTCTACAAGCCAAGACGTGCTCTGCTCTCCTGCACGCTAACTGACAAGCTTTTCCAAGCTGAGTTTACTCGTCTAATGCAGGAAATGAGGCTAGATGACCGTTTTAACCTTTAGCTTGCATGCGAAACTCAGTGTGAAACAAGTAAACAACAGTTTGTTGGTGAACTTGGGCTTTAAATAAAAATGGAGGTGAAACTCGTAACACCTGAGCCGTACCTGAGCCGTGGAAAGCTGTTCCCACTACTCTCACACAGCTCGGCACCCTGAGATCCCAAAACCGAACCGTTTTATCTTGAGACCCGGAGGCGATCATCCAGCCTCCCCATGTGTACAGAGACAGGATGTGACCTGGACAGAAACGACACGTTACTCGCACCTTTTCTTCTCCAACCCCCCATTTTGAGCTGAAGTGAACAGGTGTGTGGTGGAAGCAGGCTGTGTACCTGTGTGTCCACTCAGTGCGTGCAGCCCTTGTCCTCGCTGGCAGTCGGTGGTGTAGATGTTACAGTCCCCCGCTCCAGCGCTGATCAAGATGGCTCCTCCACTTTCAGGACCCTCCATGAAGGCCAGGTCCCTGATGGTACCGTCGTGCATGCTGAACTCCAGGTCTGGCCCTGGATCACACAAAACGACACAAACAGAAGACCTCTCACACTCACAAACTTGACTTACTTGATGTAATCCTACTGAAAGGTCTCACCTGTGGCATTGCAGGTCTCCGCGCTAAAAGGCAGGACTTTGACATACTTGTCGTTCGAGCCTGTAGCCAGCAGCTGACCGCAGTGGCTCCATGCCACGCAGTAGATGGAGCCTTTGTGGTGTTTGTTCCTCTTGAAACGAACAGCCGGCTGCTTTATCGGACTTGAGCCACTAGAGGAGGGATAAGGGGTGAAGTAAAAAGACAAGTAAAGGCAAAAGTTAGAATATTTCTATTTGTACACCAACGTGGGATATTATAACACGTCAATTTTTTTAAATTAAACAATAAATGTCAAAACTAGAGATCCAGAACCTGACCTATACACATCCAGCGGGCATTTTCCACAGTGGGTTTATCCATTTGCCGATGTCGATCCGTGGAGGTTACGGTCAGCCTGTGACCGATATCTGCCAGCTAAAATGTTACTAATAATAACAGCTGATGCTAATCTTCTCTGAACCTGAATCAGATTTTGAACTGAATTTAACCAACTGTTGAATCTTAGTTCTTTAATCTTAAAGCTGTTTTATCAAATCTACAGGACAAGCTAGGTTTTGAACACCGCGCCAGTGAGGCAAAAATCACTGGAGCACATTAAAATCCCATCTGTTGTCACACACTAATGTGTGCAAAATGGGGAAATTATTTGGTGGTTTAATCCCCCAATCCAACCCCTTAATGCTGTGTGTCAAGCAGGGAGGCATTGGGTCCCATTTTTTTCAGTCTTCGGTGTGACCCGACCAGGATTTGAACCCTGATTTCCCAGTCAGAGCGGACACTACCACTAGGCCACTGAGCGGGTGAAACACGTCAGGCGCCAGTAAAACACAGACAGTACCAGAATATGAGCAGACACGAACAATCATGCGTTAATTTTGTTCTTTTGGTGGCGCCATTTCCAGCATGTTATTGTGGCCGTGCGCAGGACACAGCTGCCTGCAGAGCACATCAACATCAGCCCTCTGTCCTCTCCGCCCAAAAGATTCTGCGGTAAGCCGAGAGACCATATAATTAATGCAGCTTTGGTGGAAACTGGATCTTTTTTCGGGCTCCCCCTGGGCTTCTAGGGGAGCCGAGCTGCCTTTAGCTCCCCCTTAATTCAAACCCTGGTCCTAAATTTGAAGTGATAGCATCCAGCTGTTTCTCCTCTGATATTAAAGAGCAAGTCACCCCCTACAAGAAACTTACTTCACTCCCACTTAATGTTTGAAAAATGCAACAAATACTGTTGCCTGGCAGACCGAGAGGGCGGCGCTGCTAACAAATACACACACACACAGGCATTGTGACATCATAATGTACCAGTTTACATCATAGCATACCTCTTGGCCAATAGCGGTGGCAGATTTAAATTCAAATGCAGTGCAGAGTTTTTACCTTACGACAGTGCAACACTGACAGTTTTAGGCAGAATATTTAAAATGTAACCAAAATGCACAAAAGTTCCAAATTATTGACTACACATGTCTGCAGCGCGATTAGACACTCGTTCATGTCGTTTATCAGCAAAAAAAAGTTGGTTTGGGGGTGACTTGCTCTTTAATGAGCCGTGAACCTCTCACCAGCGGTGTTCTGTTGCTTCCTTCTGTCCACCTTGGTTGTTCAATTTAAAATCACCTTGTTTTATTGGTTTTACTTTGTTGTTCTTTTTAATTGTTTTTATGACATATGTGACTTTCTGCCTGTGTTCATGTGCAGCGCTTTGGTCGGTTGTAATGCCGTGTTAAAAGCGCTCTATAAATAAAGCGATGCGGTGTGGTAATGGTTAATGTTATTAGCGGAGGTGTTTAGATGAATGCAAGAGAACTTCATTCAGTTTTTTAATCACTATTATGCATTTATAGCAATACTATGTTAGAATGATGTTAAGAGGCATGAAAAAAACGTTTTAGGCTCATTTGTTTGTCAAATTATCAGCTTTAAAGGAAAAAAATAGTCAATATCAGCCTGATGAATGAGTCCATCTCTAACAATAATAGTGATAATAAAAATATATTGTAGGCCTGCGGTAATCGTGTTTGGAGGCAAACATGTAGAAAGAAAATAACATCTTTTAAATAATTCGGTTGTGTTTATTTAAGCAAATATATTAGTTGTTCTTTTGAGCCGAGTTACCTCGTGTCCAGTTTGTCCGGATAGGCGCACACGCGAAGCGTTTTGGAGTTGGACCCCACGGCGTACAGAGATCCAGACGGGTGAAAGGCCACGGCTCGGACAGCCTGCGTGTCCTCCAGCGTGTGCACGGGTACAAACAGGCTTTTTACTTTTTCACCCTGATAACACAACAAAACGCTCAAATACATCAGGTTGGCATAAAAATAATGCAAATGCATAAAAAATGTGAAGAGGTATGATATAATTTACAATTGACCTTAATTTCTTAATGAAAAAGAAAATATGAACAGTAAGCAAACATTTATTTTAGGATCCGTACCTCTTTACTACGAGACAGAGGTCCAGGGGAGTCGCCCTGTTGACCCGTTTTTGGTTTCTGACCACTGTCAACAAACAGCAATGACAAATTAATCATCCAACAAAACTCTCCAACGAAGGCAGAAGAAATCCCACCAACCTGGAGACCACGGGGGACTCGTTTGGAGGCGGGACCACCTGGCCCCCTACGGAGCGCTGAGGGGTGCTGCTACTCACCCCTCCCCCTCTGCTCTGCTCCGGCGTCGCAGATGGGGGGTTATTATTGTCCTCGAAGGTGGGCGTATTCCCGTTGCCATTACACTGCTGGGTGAGAGACTTCACCTCCTCTCCTAAACTCTCCATCCCAACGTTGAGCTCCTCCAGCTTCTGAATGGACCTGAACGAACAAACAAATGCACAGAAATCCCTCTCCTGATCAGAAAATGTGTTTTTTTCAAAAGCATTTAAAGACTCTTGCCTAAAAGCTGTTTGTGAGCTGAAAGAGGAGTAAATCTAGTTAGAGCGACAAAGGGGAAAAGGACAAAAGCAAACTGAATTAATGACGTCATTATGCAGAAAGTCTTGAATAATGCAGAAGGCAACAGAGACGAAGGAGCAAATCTGAAAAACAAACATTCAAAATATTCTCATTTTTATCATGTTGCAGCTAATTCTTGTTGTGGCATTAAACTTTAATATCGAGCCATAATGAGGTGGTTTAAGTGGTGCAGCTGGTCTGAGCAGACGCTGCTGTGAGCAGTGGGGGGTGGCGCCTTGATAACCACATGGGACCCATCATTTTCAGGCCTTAACATTTCGACTTGGCGTTTTCGGACAGCTGCTCCTCTGTTGTTCCCTGGAGTTTGCCGTACGTGCGGACACCTTTCTCACCTGTTGAGGAACTTCTCCGTGAGGCTGTGCTGCATGTCACTGGGCGGGGGCTCCTGCTGGACCCCTCCCTCCAGCAGCATCTGCTGGTACATTTGTCTCTGCTGCTGCTTCTGCTCCAGATGCTGCTGCACGCGAAGCCTCTGCCGATAAAACTCCTCGTACTTCTCCGTCGAGTCGCGTAGCTGAGGGTTAAAACGAAGCGCATCAATGAAAGAAGAAAACAAGGAGACGTGGACGCAGGACGATGAACAGGGATGAAGGAGTGTATACGCCGGACCCGTTCATGGGACACGGTCATCGGTGAGGAGGGCGCGCCCACGGACAAACGGAGACGGAAGTGAGGCTACCACCATCAGCGACACTCTGAAGAAGGCTACAGTTGCAGCCAAAACTTGCCAGCAAGATGGTAAAAACAAATCTCTCTTACTCTGTGTTCAGAGAGGAACCAAATAATGGAAGCACATCACATCGAGAACTTACTAGAAAAAGGGTTCGTTTGTAAAGGATACAGTCGTATTGTTAAAGGCAAAGTGATGCCAAATAAAGAGGTCTTCTTCAAAAGGAAAACATGCAGATCTTTGAGTTCAGCTCCGAAAAGCAACACTGTGATCATCTTCTTTTCACTCTTGTTAGCTCAGGTATTAGAGAAGGAAAGAGGGCAAATCTGAGAGTCGACGACAGGTCACTTCCCCCCTCTGTCCTCGACTTCCTGCCCTGATAATCTGACAGGAACAGATCTACAGAGGACAGACCCTGGCATTGTGGAAGTGGTAGAAAGCAAAAGGACAACTAGAGGAAAAAATACAGCAATTATGGTGAGATCACAAAAACTTCTGTTTCTGTCCTTCATGTGCGTCTCCAAGGAGGAGTAAATCACAGAGATCAAACTAGAAACCACGAGCCAGATGTTTTAACACCACGTTTACAGGCAACATGAAGACATACATGACCCATATTTTTAGACTAAGCTGGTGGACCATGTGTCCCCACTGAACTGGGATTAAATCCACCTGAGTGGCTTCTACCTCCACTTGTCTACAGACTCATTATAAGCTGGTTAGATAGGAAATGCAATCAGAATCTTAAAATACATCCATTGTTCAGATTTACTGCAGACTAGACCAAAACAGAGTGGCTTTAGTCCCAATATCAGCTAATCTGAGCTGGAACTGAAGGCAACGTCTACAAATTAAATATATATTTTAAAAAACAAGGTCAACCGTGTACCTCGTTCCTGTCGGCAGATCCAATCATCGGGGCCTCCTCACCTGGAGCGGACGCAGGACGCGTGTTCTGAGCTCCGTCTGAGCTCATCATCTTATCCACAGGTGTGTCCGTCCTCGATCTATTACACAAACCCCCCCCATCAAATATCTTTGTAGATATACTGCAAGTGTTTGCTTTGGGTGGAGCATAAAACACGGAGAAGCTAGTCCCTTCCCGGGTTGGGGACAGCATTCTCAGACATGCAGGAGAACATTTAGCTCTTACGTCTCAGGAGATTCCTCGAAGATGCTGTGGCAGTCGGCGCTCTCCATCATCAGACTCCTGCTGAGGTTCGGCCCTCCTGCTCCAGGATAGTGGAAGTTGGCGAAGGAGTGCGACATCGGAGAGACTCCTTTACCTGGCACTACCTCCCCGCCGCTCGCTCTTTTGTCCTGGCCAGACAACCCGAAGGACAGCCCGTCCAACGCTGGGTTCAGGGAGCGGGACATGTAAGTGTCGGCAGATTGGGGTCGCCGAAGCGGGGAGGAAGGGTACGGGGAGAGTTTACTGATCAGAGGGGTGAGGAGGTCAGCGTAGCCAGTTTTAATGGGCTTAACCAAACGGTCGACGTGGATGTTGAGCTGCTTCTGCTCAAAGGCGCAGGTGAAAACGGTGTGGGTGAGATTCTGCATCCAGGACAGCAGAGACAGGTCCAGGTCATCACAGCCGTTCCCACACAGCATGTCAACCCCTAGGAGGACCTCACCCTCTGTGATCTCCTCACCCGTCGCCTTGCTCTGCAAACAGAAACACCCAAAAGTGAAAAAGCACCCGACAGAGGATTTACACCGACTGATCTGGGAGGTCGTTCAGACCTGGCAGAACTCCACGCAGCACTCATAGAGCACTCCCTTAAGAAGCAGCTGAAAGAGTCGGTCCTCGCTGGCCTTGAATCCAGCCTCGCTCAGCTTCCTGTCTGCAGGGATGAACTCTGCCACCATGATGCATGCCTCCTCAAAACACTGCACCCTGGCTGTGCTCGGGTTCCAGTCCTGAAGGAGAAAAAGGCCAAAACCTTCAATCGAAACAACCAAACCACCCACAGAAACACGCAAGGGGCGTTTGTGGACCACAAAAGGAAAATGCTGCGTGAACAGATTAATGCAAGCCTCTACCTGTAGAGGAACTAGTCTTACCTTGAACTCAGCGTGGTTTGTGAGGCGAGGCAGTGTGAGGAGCAGACACAGTTTGCTGTAGTCATCTTTAGAGGGGCAGAACTCCTCCAGAGCATGGAGGCACTTTACCGCTTCCTGCATGGTGAATTCCAACTAAACACACAACAGACACACACGAGCTCAGAACATACATGAACACGTCGCAAAAGGTGATGGGGAGTCCTGTAAACATCTGAATGTGCCTGTACCTTTGCATTAGTGGCAGAAGTATGAACAAATCATACGATTTCAAGAGTTTTGGAGCTAAATTCATTAAAATTATGTAAAAAGTTAAAGCAAAACAAACAAAAGTTGGATTTTACATTTAAAACCTTTGCTATTTTCCTTGAGAAGCCCAGAGAATTAAAAAAAACACAGATTAGAGCGGCTGCAGTGTTTACACGCACGTGCTGTGGCTCTTCTTCTGCAGACATGGCGTTATTCACGCACAGAGCCTCGAGAAACTTCTGCTTTAGAACGATGTAACGAAACCTGAGGGCAAAAATCAAGCAACTTGTTATTTTTGTGTTGTTTCAAAGATTTAGAAAGGCTTTAAAAAATATATAAAGATGCCTAAAAAAACTTATACTTTGGACAATGAGTTCACCTTTTTCTGTCAAACTTGTCCATGCACTCCAGAGGCTGGATGAACTGAAGGACCTCGTCCCACTGTCCATCGAGGATCAACTGCCTGAAACAAAAACAAATACTTTTGTGTTCAGCGCCATAAACGTGATTTTAGGGGTCTGAATGCAGACAGAACGGCTCATCAACCTGAGGAAGAGCATGTCATCTGAGTAGAGTCCATTGATGACTCCGCTCTCCTTCTCCAGCGCCAGCATACTGATGTGCAACTTCCTGGAGTGGAGAAAGTCCAGGATCACCTTGATGATCTCCACCTCCTTCACATTTATGGTTTCTTCTGCTGTCATGGTAACGACAGGCTGTTGAAGAGAAGAGCTAAAGTCAAAGAACAGATCATCAGCCTGAGGTCACTGCACATTGATGTCTTTGAATATCCATCACAAGAATTCAAATTAAGCCAAAGAAAGGAAACAGATTCAGCATTTTGAGGTCTAGTGAAGCTTTTTAGGCTAAAACAAAACACTGACATAGATCTAAATTAGCTACTTCTTTTACTCAATTTAATCAGAAATAATTTGTTCTGCTTCAAAACACAGTAGGAGCACCATCTGCTTGTTAAACCAAGAATTATTTGTGACTGACTCCACCCAGGCCAGGGGGGTTACACGGCCCAAAGCTCTGCTGACTATATAAGCACAAAGCTTCATCTCCCATTTGCCAAAAAACAACTTGATGATGCCTGAGACCTTTGGGAAAGCATAACCTGTAAACATCAACAGTCAAGCATGGTGGTGATAGTGTGATGATGTGGAGCTGCTTTGCTGCAATTGATGGAAGCATGAATTGTGCTTTCCACCAGAAAATCCTGAGGAGTGACCTTTGATCCTAATCAGACCGCTCATTCTGGAAAATCCCTTTTGCTGCAAAACAAGTGACACGGAGTGTCAGTGATCAGGAGTATTATATTTGCTTTTTCAGGGTCAGTTCTAGTCTGACAGAATGGACAGCCCTTCACGTTATCGTGAGGACAACTCATTGCACCCCCTAATAAATAAATACCCACCAGTCTGGATTTTAGACTCATTACTCATACAAACACGGTTGTGAAAATATCATCAAACACGAGCTACGTTAGCCTGGAGGATGGTTAGCTAATAACACTGGCGCTAAGCCACTAACTAACAGTATAAGCAGATTAAGCTAGCTCCAAACACACTGAATATAGCCACCGGATTAGTGCAGAACAGGCTGGTTAGCGTCAAAGCTCATACAAAGCGGACTAATTTTTACCAGCTATGGGTTTGGAGGGGGAGGCTGAGGAGCAAGGCAGGCCGAGGAGGGGAGAGGCATGATCCGCTAGTTAGCTGGACGGGCGGGGTGACAGCTCCTCGAATAAACAACACAAACTGCCGCGGCGCTGCTAGGAAAGGCTCACCTGTTTCTATAAAAACATGGGATGAAAAAGCAGTTCCCGAAGCCTTTCCGCGTTTTCACTGACAAGCGGCGTCCCGTCGGTACCGCTCGGTGTTGTTGTCGGCGTCCCCTCCCTGCTGGATGCGCCTCTCCGCCGCTGAGCTGACTGCGGTCTGGAGCTGCCTAGCCTTCTGCTTGTCCGGGCACCGCCTCCTCCATTCATCACACACACACACACACACACACACACACACACACACACACACACACACACACACACACACACACACACACACACACACACACACACACACACACACGCGCGATAATTTGACGTAGGAAATAATGTGTTTATGGGCTTAAATAACACAATAGGAATAAGAAACGGGCGTGTCTAAGAGGGGTATTCGGGGGTCCTCCCTTTTTCAGCTTTTTCCTTATTTGGTTTTCTTTGCAATCATAAAAATCTACGGATAAATATACTCGTCAAGGGCATAGGGCAAAAGTGGCAGACGCATTAAGTGTGGGTGAGGATTACAGGTTCATGCCCTGCTCATTCGTACCTTTGGGCAAGACACTAGCTGGCTGGTGGTGGTCGGACGAACTGGCGGCGCTTGTGTTCAGCAACCTCACCTGCAGTGTGTCCCAGGGCAGCTGTGGCTAGAATGTAGCTCATCAAAATGTACGTTTATTACTATAACTCTGGGTTGTTTGTGGGTCTAAACATGTCAGATGTTGGGCTGGGTTGTTTGTGGGTAGTTTTATTACCTGCTAGAGCTGCTCTCTGGAAGACTAAAGTCAGCAAACACAGAGACCGCAGAGAAAAGGTCCTACTCACTCGAGATGGAACTTATACTGAAGTCTGAAAGGTTGTAGCCTTAATAATAAAGCATTTTAAATGATGCACCTGAGCTGTAACTATGGTAACGCAAGATTCCATAGCTTTACCATAGCGACAGTCTATCATAGGTGACAGACAGCGCTCCATAGGGAGCCTAAGTCATGCCCATCTACTTCCGGACCACGGGTCCCCAGAAAAACAAAAAAATGAATGTAAGTCAACGGTGCTAAAGACGCTATTTTCTAATTCTGCTTGTTATGTGCCATGGATTTCACATATGATGTCCGTGAAGGTGCATTTTAATACCAAAAACGCGCTTATTTTTGAAAGGGGGGGATACGTTATTTTAAGTTTTGTGTAATAAGTCCAGGACTACAAATGCACTTTATGAAAGTGACATCATCGAAGCAGACACGGAGAAAAACAGAAGGGAAAATGTCAGAGATTCAGTGGTGACGTCATATATGCAACATGCCGATGTCAGATTTGTAGTCATGCTAACATCGAACTTTTACAAGCTGATAAATTTCAAAGTACGTGACTGGCGTGATTGAAACACCCATCGTTAGATTACATTTAAATTGAAGTACAACATATGTGTGATCCAGGACGTAAGACAAAGCCTATTATTAAATAGCGTTTTTAGCCCCGTTGACTTGTATTCATGTTTTCGTTCTTCCGGGGACCCGTGAGCTGACCGGGAAGAGATGAGACCTAGGCTCCCTATTGTAGTGAAGTAGGAAGTACAGATAGTGGCTTTAAAAATTAGTGAAGTAAAAGTAAAAAAGTAGACCTGAAGAAAATAAGCAAAGTACAAAGAAAGAAAGCTTTACATATTATTTTATATTATATTATATTCAATAACTTCATTACTTTTTAAAAGATTTAATTTTGTTTGCATTTTAAATTCTGTCATCCTGTCCCTCTAAACGCGATTTAACATAAAATGAGCCATCATCAGGTGTACCTCTTATGCATAATAATGATTGGATCACGGACCAGATGTTTGATTCAATTCACTTAAATTCAAAAATACTTTATTAATCCCAGAGGGAAATTGATTGCTGTAGTAGCTCAGAATAATAATAATAATCAAGTTATCAAAGAGTTATTGTATATTACAATGGCTGTTGGCAGGAAGGATCTCCAGTAGCGGTCAGTGTTGCAGCGAAACTGAAGAAGCCTCTGACTGAAGACACTCTTCCGTTGTCGGACAGTCTTGTGAAGAGAATGCTCAGGGTTGTCCATAATTTTCTTGATTCTCTGGAGAATCCTTCTTTGTATGATCTCCTCCAGTGGTTTAGAAACTGCCGAAACTCTGGCTGAGTCCTTGAAAGGGCTTGGAGTTCCTCCATCTTGTTGGCCAGTGATCTCACATTGCCCATTATGATTGATGGAAGAGGTAGTTTGAATTTCCTCTTTCTCTGTCTCCATTTTGCTCCCGCTCTGCACCCACGCTTTTTACGTTTTAGCTCATTTGGGATTTGTGGCTTCAAATGAGGCATTGTTTCAGCCTTTCCAATGTTAATCAGCTGCTCCCGATTGTAAACCAGCTTGTTGCCATGGTTACGCATCATAACAAATGCTCAAAAAGTGAAAAAAGCTAAAAAATAGCAGTAAAAATCCTCTAAGCTTCACAGCACCAGAAACAGAAAAGTAAAGTGTAAAAAAAAAATACAGTTTTTCTTGAGAAACTAGAAGAAAAAATGTCCAAGAAAAGGCAAAACTTACATATAGTCAACAGAGCTACTCCAACATGCATTCACCCAGAGCAGCGCAGTTCCGTAACGTGATGTAGATATCAGAACTTAAAGAAGATTATACAATCCTCTTCAGATAAATAACAAACCGCTTGACATCAAATAAATTTCTCTTTGGTCTTGATGCTCATATAGCAGTAAAGCTTTTAAACATAAACAGAGATCTCAGTTTTCCTGGTAGTGTTTAATCAAAGAGCAAAGTGACAAAAAACTATAAGTTACTTAGAAGTTAAATACGTACATAAAGATAAGCTGTATTTGAGCCTCTTGACTTTTCTGTTAGCTAAATCAAGCCAAATGATTCTTCTATTAGCTGATGGATCCATTTTTAAATGTAAAAAAGTCAAAGTAGTTTGTTCACTTAATGTTATTAAAGTTATGACTTATTCACTGATGACAAAGGGACATTTATTTATATTTCTGTCAAACTGGTGCAGAAATAAAGATCAGTCCCTTCTCCAGACACCACTACTGTACATGGCATATAGCATGTAGGTCATATATATATATATATATATATATATATATATATATATATATATATATATATATATATATATATATATATATATATATATGTATGTATAATAAAGGATTCTAATTAGCAATGGGAAAAAAAGAATAAATGCACACTTTTTGGATAAATGTGTGTTTTCAAGTGATATCCTCAGAAACATTTTCTGCAATGTAAATGTTATCCTGCTATTCTACTTGGTGAGTTTTTCATTAAAAAAACGTTTGAATAAAACTCTTAAAGTGACAATGTGTATTTTCCCTGGCAATAGGGGGGCAGTACATACCTAAATCATTGCAAGAAAGCATTATTTTGGTGTTCAAGTAAGACCTTACCAACGGATGGCCGTTAGGGTCAAAAATCCCTTGGAGTGCAACCTCCAGCAAAATAAGAAGCACATCAGACTCCCTTTCATCACTGGCAACAAGTGAAGAGGTAGATGTGTATAACAACGTTTATTAATGGTGAAAAATCTGTAATCATTTGTTACAAATCAGTAAATGTATTTTGTCCACACGGGCTTCCTTAGAAGTATCCAATATGGCATCACTCAGAGACTTGGGCCACTCCCATGTATTTTAGAACAGATTAATATGGTTATATGCTATAAAACCGCCAATATTTTTCAACAACTGGGCGTTTTTTTTATTCATTTACAACATTTTGATAGATATTTCCAGAGATTAATGGTAAAAACTACACATTGTCACTTTAAAAGCCACTGAAATGAGACACCATGCTTAGTGTTGTTAGCTGGCATTTTAATAAAACAGAAATGATAAAAAAAAGAACATTTGATCATATTTTCTTAATCCAAAAGAAAATTATTTCAAAGTTGAGGAACAAAAGCATTTCTCAGTACTTGATCACATGTAACGGCACAATTAAGCGGCGAACGTCTTTGTGGCAACAGTTTGCATTCAACACTCTCTTCAACCACTGCACTGCTTCGATAGATTTAAGCCCTCCAACGTTACAAAAAATACTTCTATATGCCAAAATATATCTGTACAGTGTCAACACATACCAAGGAATGCATGACAAAAACTCAAAAAATGTTATGGCAAAAAACTCAGACAGAGGAGAGAGCTTTATTGGTTTTATTTACAACCGTGGACTACTTCGAAGGTGATCTAGTAGCTGAGACAGTGAACACATTGGTGTGTGAATATCTCACCTAGCTGTAATATTGGTGATTATTTAAATTACTCCTAAATTGCATAAATTGGCACAATTTGAGATTTCGATCTAGTCTTCTACTCATGATAATCACAATCTTTGCATCTGCAGCACAACTGCACACGCCTTTGAGACAAGTTATAAAAACAACTCAAAATGTTTCTAGTAACTAGAAATGTGTTTTTAAATATCTTCCAAACATGACCAAAATTAGAATAAATTAAAAGTAAATTGCGGGTTCTAGAATCATTTGATGGCCCTCTGTTTGCTAAACAACCTCATCATTGCACACTTTTAGAAAGTAATTGTGACTTCCAGCTGAGTTCTGCTCCCCACTCTGCTTGGCACTTCACTGTACACGCACACACACTCACACACTTTTCACCTGTTTAGAAGTTTGTAATTCACATGTACAAAAGCTAAAATACATGCTTGTTTAGCCGCAAAACTCACATCATAAACTGCTGCCTCTGATCTCAGACCTGTGTACTTGCACGCACACACACACACACACACACACACACACACACACACACACACACACACACACACACACACACACACACACACACACACACACACACACACACACACACACACACACACACACACACACACACACCAAAAAGACTTAACAGACACAGACAAGATGACACTGCACCCATTTGACACAAAACAAGCGTAAGGCTACACATGATGGACTTACAGTGCAAAAACTTATCAAGAAAGTAAAAAGCCTTGTTTTTAGAAAAGTTATCTTTGTTTTGAGTTTAAAAAGAATAAATATGTTCTTATCTGCAAAAACAGCATTACTTGAAATAAATAAATAAATAAATATTGTTAAATATGATCCAAATGTTCTTGTTTTGAGTGAAAACATCTGCCAATGGAGGAAAAAAGTTGCTTAGTTAGAATTTTTAAAACTATCAAATAAATCTAACATTAGATTATTTTGCTTGTTTAAAAAAACTTTTGTTAAACGTTTTTGCAGATAAGAATTTTTTTTATTTTTTAGATTAAAAATAAGTAAAAATGTCTAAAACAAGTCTTTTTACTTTCTTGGAAATGAGTTTTTGCAGTGTAGCGACACCAAGCAGCCTGTGAGAGGTGGGGCATTCAGTGCTTCAGTGGTTCAGCTCGGTAAGGCGTCGGCCTCTTTTTGGCACATGGGAACATTGACACACATGCTGATCAGTACACACTTGTGCCTCAATGAAGCAGAGTCACAGCCAGCACTGTTTCTGTAATATTGAAATCCAACATTCCAGTTTTCCAGATTGGTAACTCTTATAAAAAGTATAATCCATATTTTCCTCTGTCTGTCCAAGAGGAGCATGTCCAGCTGCTGCGCCATCATCTGGCTCTACTTTGGGTGCTTTTTGGGCGTCCCCTGCTTCTTGCTTTGCCACAGGTGGTTAGCGATGGTGATGGCATCCACGCTTGCAGACATGGTTTTTGCTGGGATCTGGCTGAACTGCTTCCTGTCTGAGTTGTACTTGTACAGGGCCACGATCATCTTGGTGTTGATGCTTTTCGGCCCGACGCCGGCCAGCTTGGCGATTTCCTCGGTCTCGGGGCAATACGTGTACACAGACCTGAACTGGCATCCTGCATCCCGGAACAACACCAGGAAGTTATTGGCTTGAGATTTCTCCATTTCCTGCAGACAATTGTGAATAAAAAGCACATTTAGTTCCTGCAAGATTATCACACAGTGTTTATTAAATCTCAGTTTTCTGGTCTGGACCAAAATATTTAAAATTTTGTCTGGATTTGCATCTCTGTTCACACAGCTAACTTCATATACCCCCCCCCCCCCCCCCCCCCCAAAAAAAAAAAAAAAACAACTAAAAAAACAAGACTTCCAGAAGATTTTATTCTCGAATTTGACAACTTATCTGAAACATGTTGCTAACAGAATATACAACCCTCTAAAACAATATTTTATTTGGTTAAATGCAAGTATTAAATCGGAATTAAAGAGTACTTGTGTTCAAATATAAAATCTTTAAATAATGAACCATTTTAAAGTATTTGCAGGTTAATCTGAAACAACAGTGAGCGAGACGTCGACGATCAACACCACCAGGATCTACAGCACTGATATGGGAATGTCATTCAGACTTGAGAAGGGTGGTCAGATGGTGACAAGGAAAGGGAAGGTATAGTCCACACAGAAGGGGTCTCACTCCCAGAAGGAACAATAGCAGACATTGAGGACAGCTACAAGAAGCTTGATATCCCACAAGCAAATGGCAACCTCAATTCGGCCACAAGAAAAGGGGCCACAGGCAAATGCCAACAACGAATAAGGCAAGTCCTAAGAAGTCAGCTCAATGGCAAGAACAAGGTCAGGGCAGCAAACAGCTACGCCCTGCCAGTAATCAGATATCCTGCAGGAATAATAAGCTGGCCAAAGGAAGAAATACAGACCACAGATGTTAAGACATGGAAGCTCCTAACCATGCCTGGAGGGTCTTCGTCTTCGTCTTCCTCCGCTTATCCGGGTCCGGGTCGCGGGGGCAGCAGCCCAACTAGGGAGCTCCAGGCCGTCCTCTCCCCGGCCTTGTCCACCAGCTCCTCCGGCAGGACCCCAAGGCGTTCCCGGACCAGATTGGAGATGTAACCTCTCCAACGTGTCCTGGGTCGACCCGGGGGCCTTCTGCCGGCAGGACATGCCCAAAACACCTCCCCGGGGAGGCGTCCAGGAGGCATCCTGGCCAGATGCCCAAACCACCTCAACTGGCTCCTTTCGATCCGGAGGAGCAGCGGTTCTACTCCGAGTCCCTCCCGAATGTCCGAGCTCCTCACCCTATCTCTAAGGCTGAGCCCGGCCACCCTACGGAGGAAACTCATTTCGGCCGCTTGTATCCGCGATCTTGTTCTTTCGGTCATTACCCAAAGCTCATGACCATAGGTGAGGATTGGGACGTAGATCGATCGGTAAATCGAGAGCCTGGCTTTCTGGCTCAGCTCCCTCTTCCCCACAACAGATCGGCTCAGCGTCCGCATCACTGCAGACGCCGAACCAATCCGCCTGTCGATCTCCCGATCCCTCCTACCCTCACTCGTGAACAAGACCCCGAGATACTTAAACTCCTCCACTTGAGGTAGGACCTCTCCCCCGACCCGGAGGTGGCAAGCCACCCTTTTCCGGTCGAGAACCATGGTCTCAGATTTGGAGGTGCTGATCCTCATCCCAGCCGCTTCACATTCGGCCGCGAACCTACCCAGCAAGAGCTGAAGGTCAGAGCTGGATGAAGCTAGGAGGACCACATCATCCGCAAAAAGCAGAGACGAGATTCTCCTGCCACCAAACTCGACACACTCCACACCACGGCTGCGTCTAGAAATTCTGTCCATAAAAGTGATGAACAGAACCGGTGACAAAGGGCAGCCCTGGCGGAGTCCAACCCTCACTGGGAACAGGTCCGACTTACTACCGGCTATGCGGACCAAACTCACGCTCCTCTGGTAAAGGGACTGAATGGCCCTTAACAGAAAGCCACCCACCCCATACTCCTGGAGCGTCCCCCACAGGGTGCCCCTGGGGACACGGTCATAAGCCTTCTCCAAATCCACAAAGCACATGTGGATTGGTTGGGCAAACTCCCATGCCCCCTCCATCACCCTTGCAAGGGTATAGAGCTGGTCCACAGTTCCAAGGCCAGGACGAAAACCACATTGCTCCTCCTCTATCTGAGATTCAACTATCGATCGGACCCTCCTCTCCAGTACCTTGGAGTAGACCTTTCCAGGGAGGCTGAGGAGTGTGATCCCCCTATAGTTGGAACACACCCTCAGGTCACCCTTCTTAAAGATGGGGACCACCACCCCGGTCTGCCACTCCCTAGGAACTGCCCCCGATGACCACGCAATGTTGTAGAGACGTGTCAACCATGACAGCCCTACAACATCCATAGCCTTGAGATACCCAGGACGAACCTCATCCGCCCCCGGGGCTCCGCCGCTGTGTAGTTGTTTGACTACCTCAGCAACTTCTGCCCCCGAGATCGGACAGTCCATCCCCAGGCCTCCCAGCTCTGGTTCCTCCTCGGAATGCGCATTGGTGGGATTGAGGAGCTCCTCAAAGTATTCCTTCCACCGTCCGACTATAGCCTCAGTTGACGTCAGCAGCTCCCCATCCCTACTGTAAACAGTGTGAGCGAGTTGCTGCCTTCCTTTCCTGAGGCGCCGGACAGTTTGCCAGAACCTCTTTGGAGCCGATCGATAGTCTTTCTCCATGGCCTCACCAAACTCCTCCCACGCCCGAGATTTTGCCTCGGCAACTGCCACTGCTGCACCCCGCTTGGCTATCCGGTACCTGTCTGCTGCCTCCGGAGACCCACAGACCAGCCACGCCCTGTAGGCCTCCTTCTTCAGCCTGACGGCTCCCCGAACCTCTGGTGTCCACCAGCGGGTACGGGGGTTGCCACCACGACTGGCACCGGCCACCTTACGACCACAGCTAGCAACAGCCGCCTCGACAATCGCAGAGTGGAACAAGGCCCACTCGGACTCAATGTCCCCCACTGCTCTCGGGACGTGGTCAAAGCTCTGCCGGAGGTGGGAGTTGAAGACCGTCTTGACAGGTTCTTCTGCCAGGCGTTCCCAGCAGACCCTCACTATGCGTTTGGGTCTGCCAGGTCTACGCGGCATGTTCCCTTGCCATCTGATCCAACTCACCACCAGGTGGTGATCAGTTGACAGCTCCGCCCCTCTCTTCACTCGGGTGTCCAAAACATACGGCCGCAGGTCAGATGATACGACTACAAAATCTATCATCGACCTGTGACCTAGGCTGCCCTGGTAACAAGTGTACCGGTGGGCATCCTTATGTTCGAACATGGTGTTCGTTATGGCCAAACTGCGGCTTGCACAGAAGTCCAATAACAAAACACCGCTCGAGTTCAGATTAGGTGGGCCGTTCCTCCCAATCACACCCCTCCAGGTCAAGCTGTCATTGCCCACGTGAGCATTGAAGTCCCCCAGCAGGACAATGGAGTCCCCTGATGGAGCACTATCTAGCACTCGTCCCAGGGACTCCAAAAAGGGTGGGTACTCTGAACTGATATTTGGCCCATAAGCACAAACAACAGTCAGGACCCGTTCCCCGACCCGAAGGCGCAAGGAAGCTACCCTCTTGTCCCCCGGGGTAAACCCCAACACACAGGCAGAGAGTCTCGGGGCTAACAAAAAGCCAACCCCAGCCCTCCGCCTCTCACCCGGAGCAACTCCAGCAAAGTAGAGTGTCCAACCCCTCTCCAGGTCTCGGGTTCCAGAGCCAATGCAATGTGTCGAGGTGAGTCCGACTATATCTAGCCGGTACCGCTCAACCTCTGCCACAAGCTCCGGCTCCTTCCCCGCCAGCGAGGTGACGTTCCATGTCCCAAAAACTAGTTTTCTTGTCCGGGGATTGGACCGCCAAGGCTCCCGCCTTGGTCTTCCACCCGATTCGCATTGCACCGGACCCTTCATGTTCCTCCTGCGGGTGGTGGGTCCACAGTTGGACGACCCCATGTATCCGGTTCGGGCTGGGCCCGGCCGGGCCCCATGGGCGAAAGCCCGGCCACCAGGCGCTCGCTCACGGGCCCCAACCCCAGGCCTGGCTCCAGGGTGGGACCCCGGTAACGCTCCGGGCCGGGTACTCCGACTCTTCGTTTTAACCGCCATGAAAGATCCTTCGAACCGTTCTTTGTCTCACCCTTCACCTAAGACCAATTTGTCATGGGAGACTCTACCAGGGGCACTAAGTGCCCCAGACAACATAGCTCCTAGGATCATTAGGGCACTCAAACTCCTCCACCACGATAAGGTGACGGTTCAAGGAGGAGATGCCTGGAGGGTTCCATCCTAAATCCAGCACCCTGAGAATATATAGTAGCAGTAAGGAAGGAGGCTGAGGACTAGTGAGTTTGAGAGCCACTATCTAGGATGAAACATTCAAGATCCATAAGTACATCAAGGATAAGGCCCCAACAGATGACGTGCTCAGTGAATGTCTCAGACAATGGTGAACAGAGGTGGAGATGCTGGAAATACCATCATGAGAGGACAAACCCCTACATGGGATGTACCACCGACAGATAACTGAAGTGGCTGATATGAAGAAATCCTATCAATAGATTGAAAGAGATGGTCTGAAGGACAGCAAAGGCACTCATCATGGCTGCACAGCAGCACCATCCCTCCCTACACACAGATCACGCACAGAGAATAGGGCTCTGCGATCCATGGGAGGTCTCATCTTGCGCAAGAGGAAGCATTCTCGCCCATGAGGCGCACGCTGAGCACCAGCAGAGACAGCCAGCTCCAGGAGGACTGAGGGGGAAAAAGTCATCCGACAGGACCCCCCCCCCCCCACACACACACACACAGTTTTTATGATGTTTGTTATGAGGGGCCTCAAAATAAGTTCCTGCATAGGACCCCCATGTGGCAGGGGACAGGCCTGCTGCACAGGAACAGGCCCTGAACACAAGAGCAACAGAGGCCCAAGGTGTAGGCTATGCAAAGAGATCCCCGAGACAATCCGCCACATAACTGCAGGGTGTAAGATGCTAGCAGGGAAAGTATAAATGGAATGCCACAACCAAGTGGCTGGAGTAGAGTGCAGAAACATCTGTGCAGAGTATGGACTGGAAGCCCCAAGGTCTAAGTGGGAAACACCCCCTAAGATGGTTGAGAACAAACGAGCCAAGCTCGTGTGGGACTTTCAGATCCAGACTGACAAAATAGTGATGGAGAACCAATCAGACATTGTGGTGGTGGACAAACAACAGAGGACAGCTGTTGTGGTTGATGTGACGATACCAAGTGATGGCAACATCAGGAAAAAGGAACAGGAGAAACTAGAGAAGTACCAGGGCCTCAAAGAAGAACTTGAGAAAGCCCGGAGAGTGAAGACATCAATGGTGCCCGTGATCATCGGGGCACTTGGGGCAGTAACCCCTAAACTGGAGGAGTGGCTAAAGCAGATCCCAGGAATAACATCAGACATCTCAGTCCAGAAAAGTGCAGTTCTGGGAACAGCTAAGATACTGCAGAACCCTCAAGCTCCCAGGCCTCTGGTAGAGGATCCAAGCTTGGAAGGATGAGACCACCCACAGAGGGTGAGGGCCAGATGATTTTGTTAGACACTTAAATGTAGACTTGTTTAAAGATTATGGTGTTTCTAGTGATTTAGCAAAAATAAAAACATGAGACTTAATGAAAGAATCAATGACTGCATTTTGAGATTTCCACCAACCTACAAAAGTGTTTCCATGGAGAAAATCTGGGCCAATCTGCTTTTACGGTTCACATCAACACTTGACGACACTGTTCCTCAAGTAATTTACACTATCACAGTCATCGTTTGAATTAAATGAAACCAAACATATCAAGAGGTAACACACACTCTGCTTAGAACAAAACACATTTCTACACACAGAAGCAATACATACATCAAGTATCTTGTTTTTCTGCCCTTCGTTGACTTTGCCAGCCAGGCAGCAGTGAGCCAGGGCGTTCTGGATGATGTGCTTGTTGGATTTTGCACTAGGCTCCTTGTATAGTTTGGGTCCTGAGGAGGAGGAGGAGGTATGAGATTGCACAAATTAAATATCTGCTGGGGCAGCAAGAAAACCAGAGCATGGATCTTTTTAAGCCTACCTGTGTACTCATTGTTGGAGGGAGTTGAGGAAGTGGTGGAATCATTTTCCCAGTCCTTCTCTTCGTTGCGGCTGCCAGCCGAAGGACAGGAGGAGAACCCCTCAGCCGAGTCTGGCCTGATGACGAGCACAAACCAACAAATGACAAACGAGAAATGGATGGACCAACGCAAGCATGAGCCACACATCACCACGCAGAGCAACATGGAGACATGCAGACACAAAGAGATGGAGTGAAACAAGGTCAGACACTGTGACACAGTTCCATTGACTGCATGTTGGCTTGCATCACATCATGCTATAAAACTCTGACGAAGCTGAGTGTAGTCAAAATTGGTGCATTCAGCCAAGCAAAGATGTCACTGTTGCCTTTAAGCACACTGAGACATGAACTTTAAAAAAGGAAATGGCAAAAAAAAAAACAACAAATAAAACATACAGAAGAGAGAAAGTAAACAGCCAGAAACGACTGCAACTAAGAGGGGAAGAGAAACCAGAAGAGCACTGCAGCACAGACACGAGGAGCCTCGATGAAAAACACAAAAACTACAATGATGGAGTCGCTTGTATTCATCTGTGCTGAGAAAACATCTGATGAAGGCTTATAATGGCAGCTGCAGCAAATCCACTCAGAGCAACACCTAAGGAAACTTAACTTCCCTTTCAGAGTTACTAACCTTCCCCTTCTTTCTTTGAGAGAACTTAAAAAAAAAGGAAATTGAGCAGAAGCTAGTTTTTTGCCTCTGAAGGATGCATGCAGAGTGGAAGAAGAGGGAAACAGGAATAAAAGGAGATCACAGAGTAAAGACTCCTAAAAAACACAATCAAAGGCTAAAACAGGGTAGTGTGTGTGTGTGTGTGTGTGTGTGTGTGTGTGTGTGAGACATACCTGTTGCTCTTCCTGTTATCTGACTGGTCTCGGTCATTGTCGGCCAGATTGAGTGACGCTATAGACATGCTAGACACAGAGAAGCCACGAGGACGAACCCCTGCAGGATGACGGCACACAGGCTGAGCACGGATCGATATCACACGCATGTTTTCGCGTTTGCGCGTCTTTTACCTCTTGCTCTTGCAGGAGGAGTAGAACACTCCATGACATCCCTGTGGATGGACTTGGGTCTCGGCTTTTTCTTCAGGCTTCCAGTTCGAGGCTTGATGACGTCATCCATTTCCTCCATCAGTTTGAGCTGCTTCCTCCTCAGATATTCATTCTTGATGTATTCCCTCCTCGCCTTTTCATCCTCCTTCTTCTGCTGCTCCTCCTCCGCTTTTAACCTACAGAAAAATACGTTCATTGTGATCGTGACATTTAAAAGGCTCAGTGTTGCTTAACGTAGACACACCGTGCAGCTTCCTTCCTCTGCTCCTGGTCCTGCTCCTGCTGCTGCCGCCTCTCCTGAGCCTCCTTCTCCCTCTGCAGCCTCTTCTCCAGCAAGGCTGCTTTCTTTGCTGCCATGTCTTCTTCTCCTTTCACATCATCCTGGTAACCAGTTATAAAATGTAGATACATAGAACCTGATACTGTTCTGTAACCTCACAAAATGAATCTGTCAGGATAAACTGGGGATTGCACTTGTTCATTTAAAGGAAAGTTCTGTATTTTAGTGTAGCTCTGGTTTAAGAGCAAGATGAAAGGATATAGAACAAACATTTTTTGGGGAAATTTTACAGGAGATCAGCTCTAAACTTGATAGAAGTTGGTTACAAATGTATTATTTATGGTTAAAATTCATATTGAAGTGGGCTTTATGAAAAAAGCATCAAGTTATTAGGATGGTGCTGATTTGATTTGGATTTCTTTCCAAATAAGTTAGATTTAGGACTTAAAGGCTGGAATAAAATGGACCTAACTGCATTTTTCGCTTTGAAAATGAAGATAATTTCAGTCATTTTTGCCTATTCAAGAATGATAATCAATTAGAAAACAGTGGTTTCTTTTAGATTTCCACAGATTTGTCACTTTTTACAAAACGATTCACTCAAAAAGCCAAGAGGTCGTTTACAGGTGAGAACAGGAGCTTACAAACTAAAATGTAGGCATAGAAATGATCGAACCTGTTAAAGAGCCTCCAACCAGAGATATTAAAGTGACAGAGGTAAATAGCACGTTCTGTTAGGTGGACAAAAATGGACGGATGAATAACAAATTCTTTTGGAGGGTGTTTGGCTGCAAACGTTTGTGCTTATTTTTTATTCCACCAGTTCAAAGGTCACAATTTCCACATTTTAGCTGGAGAAACAGTGGTCCTCATGAAGCCAATCGTTTTCATTTGTGTTGGGTTTTGCACAAAAACTCTGATATTTTGACATGCCACACGCACAGATAATGGTAAAAGTTTTGGCCTCTCTCACTCGGCATCAATATTAAACACATCAGTTAGAAACTGTGACACAAAGGACACATTTTATATTAATGAAACTCCAATTAGGAAAGAAAATGTTGCCGCTTGCGTTCCTGCAAATATTTGTAACTTTAACTTGCAAAAAAATCATTAAAATGATCTATAAATGATAAGATTACAACAGGAAGTCAGTTAGTATTAACAGATTTCAGTCATTTCTGCTCCGTTTGCAGGTTTAGATAGAGAACTCGGCTCTCAGCCTGGATTCCCACGTCAGTTCTCTTGTCTGCTCATCCTTCTCCATTTGCTGCTGTGGCCCCCAGACTCTGGAGCTCTCTCCCCTGAGCCTGAGATCAGTGGACTCAGTGGTCTCCTTTAAAAAGCAGCTGAAGACTCACTTGTTCAAGCTGGCTTCTGTTTGACCTTCATCACCACCCTCACTTTATTCAGTCCTTTCCCGGGATCCACTGATTTCCCCTTTTCCTATTCATTTCCTCTCTCCCTTTCCGTACATTTTTAAAAAATCACATTTTTCCCCTCATTTTAAACATATTTTAATCATATTTGGAAACCTTTTTATACTTTAACATTTAATTTTGTAAAGCACCTCGTGATTTTTATCTTGAGAGGCGCTGTATAAAAGACCGTTTTCTTACGATGAGAATGTGAATCCAAAACTCACCTTAAAGAAGAATCCGCAGCACATCTTTTGCTCCTCTCCTCCTTTTTCTCCCTCTCTTGTGCTCTCCTGATCCTGATCGTCTGAAGGCTTCAGCTGAGACAAAGACACCTCCGGCAGGTCTCTCTTGTCCTGAGGATCTTCCTGAACCTTGCTACTCGCACCTCCTTTGATCTCAGACACTGGTTGACTCAGAACCTCCAATGCTTCTGACTCTCCCTCAGATTTGTTGCTCTTTTCCTCCTTTTCTTTGGCTGCTCCAACATTCTCCTTCGCCACCGTCTCCTCTGTCTTCTCTTTATTGTCCTTTTTGTCTTGGTGGTTTGTTTCCCTACCTCTTTCATCGTGACCCAGATAGGCGAACGAGCTGTGCTGCGTTTGGGTGGAGTTGAACCGCCTCAGCCTTGGCAGGCTGTCCACTGAGGTGGGGGTGTTGAGCATTCGGCTGATGGGCGTGACCTTCAGATCATTTGGACGTGGGGTTCGAGGTGTTCTGGCATGAAAGGAGGCCGGTCGGCGCTTGATGCCAGCAGGTGAATGGCTGGCGGGACGGGGTGACCCAGAAGAGGATAAGATTGGTGATAAGGATCCCACTGACCCTCGGCCCGATCCTCGGCCCGTTACGCTGCTGCCCTGCAACTCGCGAAGCTGCCTGTGTCCACAAACAAACAAAAAAAAAGTTCACATGATGACAACAGAGATCTCCTTTTTATCAGATGAAATCAGAAGAAACCTGTGTGGAGATGGAGCAGGAGGCGGAATGACCCAGGCTTGTTGCTGCTGGTCCCTCATGGCCATGATTTTCTCCTGTTGCTGGGACAAACGCTGCATCTCCGTCTGCAGGAAGGACAGCGACGTGTTCAGCCTTTCGATGGAGCGCGTGTACTCTGCAAGGTCCCCTTCTCCTGGGCTCACACCTGATTACAGTTAGAACAGATTCACCTGAAACACGGTTTCTTCCTCAGCAGCATGAAAACCTTAAGAGTGTGTTCGTGTCACTCACCGCCGCCATCTTCACAAGGGGATTTAGGAGCTGCCCCGTCAGGCTTGCACCGCTCCACCATGCTGCCCTCCTTTAAGGTGGATCGAGGCTCGGGTGATGGTGTTTCTGCTCCTCCTGAGCTGGGGCTGAGTGGAGCGGTCACACCTTTTCTTTTCACCACGTTCAGAAAAGCCGTTCGGCCCATTTTCTGGCGATGCCGAGTGAAAGCTGCTTCCACCTGAGAGGCGAGAAGAGTTCAGCGTAAACTTTAAACTTTAACCTGTGTTGGGAGAATGTATACCTTCTTCTTTTGGGCCTCGATGGCTCTGCGTTTCTCTTCAAGCTTCATCCTCAGCTGAATCATCTCTGATGCTATGAGGTGGGAGGGGTCTCGAGATGAAGGGGTGACTGGTGAGGGTGACGTGATTGGCAGGGGGAGGCTGGCAAACTAAAAAGAACAGTGATGTTCACAGACATTAGTTTAGTTATGGCTCAGGGGTGTATTTATACCTATGTAGCTATTCAGAAGGGTGTGTGTGTGTGCATGTGAGTGTGAGACAGAATGCAGTCCAAACCTGGGAGGACACAGTCCTGGCTGAGTGTGTGTACGGTACGTTGAGATCAGAGCTGTCCGGTGTAGTCCCTCCACTGCTTCTTCCCTCCAGCTTCCTGAATTTCTGCTCAGCAAAGCTGGTCATCCGCACCAAGCCGCCACCGCCAGACCCACCTACTGAAGAGGCGGGACTAACCGTGTGCGATCTGGGAACTGTGGGCGCTGAACTGGGACAAGGGCTGCCTCTGTCTACTCCATCTTCCTGCTCAACATCGGGGTTGCCACCGTGTTTGTGTCCTCCTTCCCCGCTTCTCTCCTTCTCCGGCCTGCCGGGAAGCGGACAGGACCGGGTCGTGGTGTCACAGTCTGGGTCTATATCGGAGTAGTCTCTCAGAGACGAGGAGTCATCGTCTAAACTTTGGATGTCCTCGGTTCGAACGTGGATACCTGTGTCAACTTCATCGGTGGATGCAGAATTTGGGTCACGCTCATTCAGCCGTGCCTTAGCTGAACCTGGGTCATCTCCTTCAGCTTGGGCCCCAGGAGGGTCTGAAGGTTCTGCTCCATGCAGAAAAAAGCCACCGTCTCCCTCTCCAACACCCAGACTGGCGTGGGGCCTTTCAGTGTTGTGGATAATCTTAAGGGCCTCCTCAATGCTTGGAGGAGTTGATGGACTGATGTCTCTGTATTTACCTGGGCTGCAGCTGTCTGGTAGAACGCCATTGGAATACCTAAAACATTTAAATAAGTTAGAATAGTTCTATAGTCGACACAAATCCCGCGTATGAAGTTATTTGCACTAATCCCTCTCACATTAAATAATTTCGCGGTTTCAGGGCTCTGTCACCTGTAACCTCTTGAACCTTAGGCCTGGTTTTGAGACATCTGCTCAAAAATGACATGCCCACACTTTAATGAGTATATCATTTGAACTAAAAGCTCAATTTGATTGCTTTTGGTGTCATTTTAAAGCTAAATCAATGTGGGATTTGTTGAGATGTGTAATTAGCAGTATATGTGACACTGATTAAGTGTAAATGGACGTGGAAGATTGTAAAAAAAAAAGTAGATTTTCTTTCTTTGCTGCCTGAAAAAATGTGATTACAGGATGAATACCTCTTTGGTGTGTTCTTGCTGTGTTGAGTGTCAAATTCCATCTTTCAGTTCTTTTTAAAACACGAACGAAGGAAGTGACGCCGCCATCGGCGTCAGCCTGATGATGTTTGCAGCCGCGAACGAAACGTTGCAGGTAAATAAACCTTTTCTGTGTTTTAAAAAGAACTGAAAGATGGAGGATGAATACCTCTTTGGAAAAACACAGCAGTAGCTTCACACTGCAATGTCTTCATAGCCCTACATGTTGACATTAGCCGTAAAAAGCTTGAGTTTGATAAAGTGAAGAACAACAATTCTACAGAGGTTTATATAAAGATAGTTCACCTTGCCCTCAAATGGCACATCTGTGCCAAGTGTATTTGCAATGCAATGCTGTCTCTTCCACCGGCAAATTTTGGTTATTTAATCTTCTAGCCCTTTTTGTTACTATTGTAAAGTCATTCAGTGACAAATAAAGCTTTTTGAACATTATTGAATTGCTGCGTAACAGCCATCGGCTGAAGCTCCGTGACGCACCAAATACACACGAGGTTTTCTCAGGATCCCGTTGCAATATTATGGTGGTTCCACCCCTGGATGGACTCTCTGAGCCAATAAAATTACTTGCTGTCGAGTCTTTTTTTTTTTGGGCTGGCTTTCATAAACCAGTCGCAGAAGTAGAGTCACAGTAAACCAGGAAATGATGAAACCTGGCGTCGGAGATTTGGAAACGCTCTCCAGCAGCTCAAAACAGCCAATAAGCATCTGGAATCAGCTTGGTTTGACGATCGGGACTTAGCATTACATGAAACAAGTGGATTTATTTACAATAACAGATTATGGCCAGAAAACAGCCTGTTGGGTTAATTGGCAAATTGGACTTGTGATCCTACACATTCTCACACCCCGAGCGTCAAAAATGACGCATGTGACTAAGCGTCAAAATATGACGATCAGGGTGCCCCAGCACATCAGGAGAGAACGCGCTATGCCAGAACGTCGGTATTCGACGCCCGCGGTGAGACGGACATTTGACCGACTTCCCCTCATCCCATTCTAACCTTAACCAGCTTGCGCATGCAAAGCTTAATTGAAAATCGCTGAGTTAAGGTTAGGATGAGGGTGAGGGGAAGGTTAAATCGCTAGAGGTTCGAGGAATAATGTCCGTGCCCCTGCACGTCCTCTCCCGACGTGCTGGGGCACCCTGATCGTCATATTTGATGCTTGGTCATACGCGTCATTTTTCGACGCTTTGAGTGTGAGAATGTGTTGCGTGATCACATGTGATTACGCATAGCATTCTGGGATGTGCGCGGCCATGTTGGAAGCTTGACGCACCGTTAAACAAATGGTACTGTCGCAGAGAAGAAGCAGATTTGGGTGAAAGAAAGTGTTAAACAACATAGTAAAATCCCAAGAAGGATGCAGAATATACAGGGATACGTTATATAAAGACGTCGGGGACCGGGATGTGGACAAAAACAGCGTTATAAATGGTTTTGATCCATACGAAAGACCTAAGACTGGAGCACCGATAACATATTGTTGCAGCTGCAGCTTTGCTTAACGGACATTTTCTGCTGCATTGTTTGTGGTGTGAGCCGATGTAAACGTCCAGATGAGAGGTAAACGTTTTACTTGTTGGTTTTTCTAGAAAAACAATCAAAATTGTCATCCCACAGAAGAAGTGTAGCAGGAGAAGTTGTGTTGTGTGTCAGCGCGCCTGCATTAGCTTACTGGTATGTGCATGTGTGTGTGTTTTGTGTGCATGTCGTGGTTGAAGGAAAGAAATGACGTATAAAAACGTACACCATATGTAACTTACTGGAATGAAAATACTCCAGAAGGTGATTTTTGTTCACCTTACAGCTGCGATCCAAGCGAGCCAACGACACTTTGTTAAGCTAGATACTTGGTCTCCGTGGTTATGCCTCCAAGCAGGAAAACGGTGAAAAGTTAGCTTGTTTTCCACCTTTATTCCCCTGGCGATCACATGTCACCCCACAACACAGCAACGATTTACTAGAGTTGTGTAATGTAACCGATCAAATGAATAGTAGATCAATTTAAGCTGCAAGAACGAGACTGAGCGCGCTGTTTACAGTGGTAACAAGCAACAAGGACCCACACGCCTCCAGCAGGGCGGCTGCGTCGGTGATGACATCACGATCACAAGCCCTATTGTCTCTAGATGTGAGTGTGTGACTGGTTGTCTCTGTGTGGCCCTGTGATGGACTGGAAACCTGTTCCTACTGTCCCACACCTCTCACCTAATGACTGGAGATGGGCACCAGCAGTGACCCAACTCAGGAAAAGTTGTTACAAAATGAGAAATTCATCTCAACTGACACCATCAGTGTTCTAAAATGTGTCGCCTGTAGGATGGAAACATGCTGCACACAGTATTAAGTCTGTTGTGAGTTGCACGTTGTTATTTTATACTAACAACCTTTATATGTAATAAAGTTTTTTGTCTTGGCTGTGTAAATTTACCTGCAGGTCTCACTGCAAAAATTATGTGCACATACTTTTGCCTGGGGCTCTTATTGTTAATGTCTTACTTTGGTGAAACTGACTAAAAAAAAGGATGACAAACTGACTTGTTGAAAGGAAACTATGCAACTTTTTCATGTTTAAAATCATTTTCTTGAGCCAGTTTAGGTTAAAATGACTCTTTACGGGGTTAATGAAATGTCACTCAGACCCTTCCAGCACATTTTCTGTATGTTTTAGATTGTGAACACAGCTGCTTTGTTTGATTTAGTGATAATCACACCTGTAGAAACTAATGAAGGCTGAGGAGACATTTAAACTGTTAGATTAATGTGTTAAAAAGATGAACGCACAGTGAGGACACACTTTTCATTTTTACCTGACCAGAGAGAATTAAACGAGGACACTAGGGGGTGATAAAAGCAAGTAAAACTGCCAAGTGTGCCTTTAAAGAGCAAGTCAACCCCTACCAGAGTCTTACTCCACTCTCACTTCATGTTTGAAAAATGCAACAAATGCTGTTGCCTGGCAGACCGAGAAGGCGGAGCTGCTAACAAATACACACACACACAGGCTCACGACAGCATTGTGACATCATAATGTACCAGTTTACATCATAGCATACATCTTAGCCAATAGCGGTGGCAGAATTAAATTAAAATACAGTGCAGAGTTTTTACCTGACAACGGCACAACACTGCCAGTTTTAGGCAGAATATTTAAATTTTAACTAAGATGCACTGAAGTGCCAAATTATTGACTACACATGTCTGCAGCACGATTAGACACTCATTTATTTAGTTTATCAGCAAAAAAAAAGTTTATTTGGGGTTGACTTGCTCTTTAAACTAAACAGCGTTGTGCTCTAGCAGTTATATCCGATTTAAAAAAGTAATATGATGAGAAATCCACAAGTTAAGCTGATAAAATTTTTGCATTTCAAGGACCAGAGTAAAAGTTTGTCCATTTCTGCTTTAGTAAGCAGATGCAAAGACATTTCCTCCCTCACCACTGCAGATTGTGCAGTTATAAGATTCCGTTTTAATAGTAAATTCTCCTTTAATAGGCAATAATATCAATAATGAATGCAATACTGCTCATCCTTTAACAATGCAATGCTAAGATGAGACCTCTTTATCACTCAACACCTTCTTGAACACTGATTTAGAGCTAGAAGTGGACTACAGCAGCAGCCATTTTCCTCCTACAGGAACTGCTTTGAAAAGCCCCAAATGAGAAAGACTCCTCTCTCAAATCCAAACACATTCCTCACCTGCTTTGGTTTTTAATTGAGAACGTGTTTTTCCGACCCAAAGGTTTGTGGGAGTTGAAGTCCTCCTCCTCCTGTATCTGTCTGCTCTGGCCGTTCACGCTGACAGGCGTTAGTGAGTTGTGGCGTCTCATCCCTCCTCGGGATGCATAATGAACTTTGAACCCCAGACCGTCACTACTGGCTGAGCGGGTCATACCACGCAGAGAAGGAGCCTCAAAAAGAGGCAGCGCCAGGTCCCCGTTCTAGAGGGATCTCAAAGGAAATTCCCCGAGAAGAAGAGCTGTAGAGAGAAGACGATGTTGGAGAAAAATCATATCAGCTGAGAATGGAGATGAGTGAAGGTTTGCTTTGATCGGATTTGTTTCACTGACCTTTTTTCTTTGGGCCACGTCCCCACACAGCCATCAACAAAGGACATGGAGGTAGATCTCTGCATTACTCCTGTTAGACACACAGATAAGTTCATTAAATGGGGAAAAATTTATATATATTAATATGGCAGCAGTAGATCAGGAGGTAGAGCGAGTTGTCCAGTAATCAACAAGGTTGCAGGTTCAATCCCAGCTCCTAAATGCTGTTGTTGCCCTCATTGGCCAAGACACCTAACACGCCTTGCCTGCTAGAAGGGATGTCTATCGCGTCAGACCCGTGCCACAACCCGTGCACGCGCATTGGGTCCACAGCGCGCGTGTGAACGGGACTCGCGAGCGAAAATATACATGGCAGCGCGCGCGTGAACGGGACTCGCGAGCGAAAATATAACATGGCGAGAGGTCATTTGTGCACTGAGAGGGAGCAAACTGTGTCTGTGAGCGCACAAGGATGTGCACAAGTGACAAACCTGCGTGCGCGCGTTGCCAACGAGCACACGGCAGAGGAAAACGTGCGCGCGCGGCAGCCTCTCTGCGCGCTCGGCAGCCTCTGCGCGCTCGGTTTCTAATTCCGCTCGCTCGGCTGTGAGGAGTTTTGGCACTCAGGAGGCGTGGCCTGTGGCAGATCTTCCCTGTCCTCTGATTGGTCAGTTTACCCCGCACTTTACTCTCTACCTATCTATATAAAAAAAATCTGAGTCTCAGCAGTTGCTGTCATAGCTCAGCTGGGAGAGCGGGTGACTCTCACTCTGGAGGATCCAGGTTCGAGTCCGGCCAAGGAACGTAGAGTTGATGTCATAATAATCTTTCTAATTCCTGTGATATTATTTTACAGTTGTGACCGTTCAACTGTCATTAAACGTCCGAATGTTTGCTGGGCAGTGTTTTAAAAAGTGCACGTAAGCTAGATGGTTTAACCAGGTAAAAATAGACTTGTGGGTGTAGGTATGTTCAAGTTTAAAAAGTTCTTGCCTCATTAATGTATTGTTTATTTTTTTCAGCATTTAATTGACAAATTATCCTTTCAAATAATTAATTGATGAGTTACATAATTGTCCATTTAGAATTGTTGAATGGACTGAGTCAAGTTTGGTGCACTTTATATATTTCAAAACATGTTTTTTTTTAATTATGCATATAAATAATTTTAATGTTAATTTATTGAAATATTTCTATTTTTTCATTACCTCACCCTTGTTTTGACAAAAACGGGACCTTGCTGGATAATATCATGGAGAAACTATTTGTTCACAGTACATGGCTCAGTGAGTATCTGTGTACCAAATGAGGAGATACTCAGAATCTGTCTGCAGATTGTTACAACCCAGACTGGAAGTGGTGGGCTGTAATAAGAAAGGAGACCAAACAGAGGAGTGGGGGTTCAACTAAAGCAAGTTAGTGAACTCTAAAATAAACAATTCATTAATGAGGCAAGAACTCTCTCTCTCTCTCTCTCTCTCTCTCTTCTCTCTCTCTCTCTCTTCTCTCTCTCTCTCTCTCTCTCTCTCTCTCTCTCTCTCTCTCTCTCTCTCTCTCTCTCTCTCTCTCTCTCTCTCTCTCTCTCTCTCCCTCTCTCTCTCTCTCTCTCTCTCTCTCTCTCTCTCTCTCTCTCTCTCTCTCTCTCTCTCTCTCTCTCTCTCTCTCTCTCTCTCTCTCTCTCTCTCTCTCTCTCTCTCTCTCTCTCTCTCTCTCTCCTCTCTCTCTCTCTCTCTCTCTCTCTCTCTCTCTCTCTCTCTCTCTCTCTCTCTCTCTCTCTCTCTCTCTCTCTCTCTCTCTCTCTCTCTCTCTCTCTCTCTCTCTCTCTCTCTCTCTCTCTCTCTCTCTCTCTCTCTCTCTCACTCTCCTCTCCTCTCTCTCTCTCTCTCTCTCTCTCTCTCTCTCTCTCTCTCTCTCTCTCCCTCTCTCTCTCTCTCTCTCTCTCTCTCTCTCTCTCTGGAAGCCCCACTCTAAGGGAGTTTGCAGTGTATTAGTGAGTCATATATTGTACAACCACAGTCATAAAGTTTTCAATCAGTAGTTTATTTCAGTATGTATTTTTCCAGTATCACAAAAAATGTAATTTTATATGGTTAAAACCATCTAGCTTATGTGCACTTTTAAAACACTGCCCAGCAAACATTCGGACGTTTAATGACAGTTGAACGGTCACAACTGTAAAATACCTGAAATTAAGAAAATTAACGTGACATCTACTGCATTGTCCTTGCCCGGACTCAAACCTGGATCCTCCGGGGCGAGAGTCAACCGCTCTCCCAGCTGAGCTATGCCAGCAACTAAGGAATATCAGACTTTTTTATATAGATAGAGGGTAAAGTGCGGTGTAAACTAACCAATCAGAGGACAGAGAAGATCTGCCACAGGCCACGCCTCCAGAGTGCCAAAAGCCCTTACAGCCGAAGCGAGCAGGAGTCAGAAACCGAGCGCGCACAGAGGCTGCCGCGCACGCACGTTTCTCTCTGCCGTGTGCTCGTTGACAACGCGCGCACGCAGGTTTGTCACTTGTGCACATCCTTGTGCGCTCACAGACACAGTTTGCTCCCTCTCAGTGCACAAATGACCTCTCGCCATGTATATTTGCGCTCGCGAAGTCCCGTTCACACGCGCGCTGTGGACCCAATGCGCGTGCACGGGTTGTGGCACGCTTTAAACGCCATAGATGTCACGGTTACCAGTGTAGCGGTAAACCCCGGTAAAAACGTCGACAATAATAATAACAGTCTTGTTTAAAAAAAAAAAAGATATTATCTCTGTAAACAGCCGTGGCTGCGGTGTAGACGTGATGACCCTTGCCAGCCACCGTATCATCTTCAGAAGTTGCCGCACATGCGCACTTTGTAGTTTACAACCAAAGCTGTTTTGAAGCTAAAGCTGAAATGATGGCCGAAGGAGGAGATGTAGCGTTCGAGACATTTATCAGCCCTCAAAGAAGACAAAGTCGGAAGTATGGCATATTTCGGAAGAATGCCGAGGGACAGTTGATAGAACATGGCTATCGTGTTTGCAGCACGTGCAGGAAAAAGTGTCTGTGAAAGGCAGCAACACTTCAAATCTGGCACATCTGCGTGACCATCACCCACAACTCTACCGTCAATGCAAGGCAAGTTAATGTAAGCATTTTAGCTAAAATGCATGATGTGAGGACTTTGGGTTGAGGGAGAAGGCAACGAGTCGCCCTATACTGCAGCCGCAGCGCCCACTGCTTTGCCTTTGAAACAACCAACAACACATCATGAAATAATAAATAGGAGGGGGAGATATTGATTTTTATTTTGTCCCACTGAGGGAAACTGTTTGGGCGCCCCTGATCTACAGGCGGGGCTGGGTAGAGTACCCAACAACTGTACTCAAGTAAGAGCAGCACTACTTCAACACGTTTTACTCAAGAAAAGTAGCAGTCCAAGAAATTACTCAAGTAAGCGTAAAAAAGTTATTGATGCTACTTGAGTACTGAGTAGCATCCGATCCCATATTTTTAAAATTATGACATCAAACAGACTAAAAATAAGAAGTTTTGGGCAAATTTGGCTAAATTAAAGACTAAAAGGGAAAGATGTAAACAAATAAACAACATAATTACAAACTAACAAATTTTAGGCTAAATTTAAATGCATACTGAGGACAATATTTTCCTAATAAAAAAGGGTTTATTTAGTTGTCTGAAAATGTAACACGTTTAAAAAAATTCTGCGAAAATACCAAAAACATTGATAATTTTGGTCACAATAATATTGAGGTCAAATTTAAACCCTACCTGCTAGTGGTGGTCAGAGGGACCGGTGGCACCAGTGCACGGCAGGCCTCGCCTCTGTCAGTGCACCCACCACAGGGCAGCTGTGACTACATTGTAGCTCATTATCACCAGTGTATGAATGTGTGTGAATGAGTGGATGACTGATTGTGTTGTGAAGCGCCTTGGGGGGTTGTGGAACTCTAAGAAGATGCTATACAAACACAGGCCATTCTAAAATCTTATCATTTCTGTGAAAATGTGTTTTTTTGTTTAGTTTTTATTTCAATATTTTTTTGTTATTTGCCCTTACACCCTATGTATATTATGTGCATTAATTAAGGTATGTATTAAAATATTCACTGTTAAATATGACATTTTCTCCATAAAACATATTTTAATATCACATGAGCCACCAGAGAGCGTCTTAATCCCTTACAAAACGCACTCATTGATGGGCGCTCCAGTAGTGGCTGCTTCCTGTTCAGTGTTAAATAAAAACCTCTAGGGGCAACTTTTAGTAAGCAGAGATACAAAAATGTGTGATAACCTTTAATATTGTGGCACTTCGCCCTTTTGTTGATTGTTAGGCTCACCTGTGTTCAACGTTTCGTCTTTTTCTGCCACATCAAAAACCTGCATCTCATCAGAGGTGGATCTACTATTAGACAAAGGTAGACGATTGCCTCTGAGATTTAATAAAGATAATAAAGATATTTGTTTCCCTCCAAAATGAATGAACCCTGTCATTCGGAAAGAACAGTTACCCTGAAATGGCATTAGATGGCCTTGTTTGAAAGCATTTCAATGTCTCGTCCTGTCACACTACAATGGACTATTACATGGCTGCAGCAACGGAAGCGAATGTCTAACGAGCACGTCTGTCATCTGATAAAAACAATATTAAGAAGTATGCAAGAATGAATTGAAGCTATCCAAATTGTTATGAAAAGTGAAAGAAGCAGGAAAAGAGTAAAATGTTTGCTACTGATTTTTTTACGATGTTGCAGAATAACACTTACTGGAAGCAGCATAATGGCCCATGAAAGATTTTGGCTTTCATCTTAAAATGTTTGCACACCCTCTATTCCTATTAAATTATAAGTAATCATACCTCCAGCAGTGAAGTTTTCAGGGCTGGAGGGTCTATCTGCATAGTTGTGTTTGACGGGACTGGACACAGGAGCCATATCTGTGCAGGATGATACAGACTCACAGGCTGGAGGACAAAAACATGACAAATTATCATTATTAAAAACACCAAATGAGACAAAAAATTAATAAAAAACAATCACTATCTTTACTATTAACATACCATTTGGGTTGAAGACTCTGGGTTGAACGAATGAGGGCTTGACTACTTCAAACCACCAGAAGAGCTCTGCCATAAACACCAGGTAGTTACTCTGCAGGAACAAGCACGTCTTTAACTTTCTGCAGCTTCTTTTCCATTCTTATTTCTGTAAACTATAAATTATTTTAAATCTGATCTAATCAGAGCCAACCAACTGTGGCTAGGTATTGGTGGGTGTGTCTGGAATATCATGTTTTAGAGTCAAAAGTGTTTCAACCAGACATTTAATTTAAAACTATCCAAACACTATCTAGAGTACACATACATACTTTTTAAAAATGTTGGTTAAATTGTGATTTCTACTGTATTTTATAACTCTTCTCAATGCAAGATTCTTGCACACAAACATCATACGTGTTTGGATCTTTAAATGTCCCTCATGGCTCCCTGTTACCAGCATAAACTACACTGATTATGAAAACTGCTGTGAGTGGGAAAAGTGTCTGCTGTGTTGCACCAAAGAGAGGAAAGTCCCGGTCAGCGCGGACTGTGACTTGAATCTTGAACGTTTCAGCCTACGCTCTCTGCATATTTACACTCACACTGGCTATGGTGCCTCCAGTGCCTCTGAGGGTTATTAAGACACACATGTGACAAATGAGGCGATCTGAGTCTAAGGTCGGTAAAGTCAAATATTATACAATAGGATATAAATGAAACAGGACAAAAAGGCAGACGGGAGAGACGGCGAATCTGTCCTCTGTTGATGCAGAGAGTGGATCAGTCGATTAAAATTTTCCCTGTGACTCACTTTTGCCTCTGTGTAATTCCCTCCAGCAACCCCCTCTCAAAGAACATTTCTTTTCATACAGGAAACAGTTGTTTCCCCACAATTTGTCATAATTCAAAGAAAAACATTTGTTTCTACCTTTATAGAAGCATGTGCGTAGAGCATGTCCTCTAGACTGAAGTGGCAGCAGTGGTTCAAGTTGCTTCTGCAAAACTCCTGCACCAGCTGGAGGTTATACAGACTGTCAGCCAGAGACATGGTCTCCTTGAGGCAAATGTCTGCTGAGCCAGGGGAGGGGTCAAACACACACACGTACACACACACACACACACACACACACATACGAACAGGGGCAAGACAGGAAGACAAAGAAAGATACGGCTTAGTTTATGTTTGGAAAAGGATAGAAAAGTAGATAAAACCCCTAATTTCCAACTTGCAGCAGCTACATTTGCATCCTTCCTGATTTCACTGATTTCCAGATGAAGCCTCAGGAGTTTTCTGATGTTTCAGAACAGTAACGGCAGCTCAAACGTGCAGGATCTTTGACAAGAAGGGACATAGCTCGAACTGCCGGCGAAACTTTCCAGCAGCCGGTTTCTCCGGTGTGATGTCATCTTGAACTTTACTGCACCCTTTATTTCAGTTATTTTTAGGGCACATCCAGCTGCGGGCAAGAAACCGTAATCAAGCACAGCTTGTTTCCACATCTGGCTCAAGCGTGTGAGCTCCATGTGAATCTCAGGGACTCGACACAAGAGTTGTTTATCTTTGAAGGAGCTGGCAGCGAGCTACTCCTCTAACGGTTCCCTGTGACGTACAGCTTGTGACCAATCACGTCTCGGCCCGGGGCGTTTTTAGAATCAAGGAGAAGCTGAACGGAAACGCCTCTTTGTGTTTCTCCCTCTGGCTTTCATCCTCTGTGTTCCCAGTCCAACGTGAAATGCAGACTCACACATTAACAGCATGCATGAACCTCTTTTATTATCGGTTAAACGTACAGAAGTCTTTTGAAAACATGGCAGCTGTGGTAGAAGGGGAAAAGAAACCTCAGAGGACAATACATAATATGATTTTTTTGTTTTCAACGGCCTTCTTTCATGAGTAGAAACAGACAACGCATTGTGCATTCTAGATGGGACTAAAAACCACAATAGACAGAAAATGCATTTCTGAACTGACGCTTGTTTAACGGAATAAAAGAAAGAGGAGACTTTGGTGACCCCACCTTCCAGTCTGACGGCCTGTGGGCAGTAGAAGTGCAGCAGGGCAGTGAGAGCACAGCCGTCTGTGTTATCCTTCAGCAGGCTCTCCACCATGGGGAGCGACGGGACACTCCTCTGAGCGTGCTCTCTTCTGTACCGGGCCTGAAACCATGGCAACGGCACAAAGAGTTCACTTTTATGTTTATTTGTGTGGATATATAAATACAGATCCCTTAGATTACTGGTAGAAGCATCTGCAGATGCTCTTCCTTCTGCATGCACACACACCTTAGCACGCGTGTTAATCTGAGGGATTTCAAGCATACAGCGGATTTTTCCAAACATGCAACAGTTACATTTTGACACCAACTCAACAGAACCACCTTACAAAGTGTCTGTCTGCATTTGAGTGTAAAACGATTTATTCATAAGAGCAACAGTGCTTTCTGTGTTTGGCTGGGATGAGTGTTAGTTCTCTGAGTAATGGGGAAAACAATGCATGCTGGGAAAAGGGTTTACACCATTATTTATATATATTACGAAACACTATTGGCATGAACTCAGATAATACATGTGATTCAGGGTTTAACAATGGTTTGCGGTGAGTTTGTTCTTCCTTCCTGTTGTTTTTTTATTTATTTCTTTTTTTTTAACATATTTTTCTACCTGCAGAAACCACATTTACTACATGTGCCTTCAGGGCAGCAGCACTCCCAGCCCGCCTACTAGCACACGCTTTATGATGGATGCAAAGGAAGTTTCAGTCGCAGCAGAGCTCGCTGTCAAACAGCCAGCTCAGACTGTGCATCGAGCTGTAAGAGCCCACGCATTGTACTTCGCTCTGCTTCATTTGGACTACATAACTCACAGTGTCGTCCTTTTTCCCAGCAGCTAGTTTCAACTGTTTTCTGTTCCCAATACAGACAAAATAAGAGCCAAATTAAAGTAGAAATGGTTGGAGCTTATCCTAATAGCTTTTCTTTTCCCTGAAAGTGTTCCGAGTTAAAAATGATCACTATTGATGTGAAGTTGGGGGACATTTGGTCAAACAATGATGGAGCTCGTGGTGGCACATGCAACGATAAACAAGGTAACAAGGTGGGAGAACGTGAAGGGAAGGAAGAGCATGACTGGATGAACTTACTGGTACTAATCTCCAGTACCATTTGCTAGAAGACTTGATGGTGGATCATGATTGGATAAGAAGAGAGAATGGGATAGATATTAGGGCATTAATAGGATAAATAAAAGTGCTGCTACTGCCTTAATATTATAATAAAAATTGTACTAGTAATTATTCAAACTATTTTTTATTTTATTAATTTAAGCGTGTAAGATGATCATGAGATGATCTGGGATCAGATATTACCTGTCTAAAGCAAACATGCATCCATTATTAACAATATGAGAAAAGCTTTTTCAAATTTCCTGTAAAACATTTTACAAAATACACCACCTACAAAAAACATCTATCAGAATCAAATCATTTTATTGCTTAAGTGTTACCGCACACAAAATCACTTTCCTTAGTCCTTAAAGCCTCTTCGTACCGGTGTTTACAACATAACTCTAAAACTTTAACAGGAAACACTTAAAAAGTAAAAACACGTGTAAGCTGCTCAGCAGGAGTTTGAAGTTAATAAATCAGGATTGCAGACATTTTCATAAATTTTATATTCTGACACATAAGTGTGGATTTTCACCTTCAAGTAAAATTATTAGAAGTTCAAGACATTATTTGTTTCACTGAAGATAATTTTTATATGTGTGTGTGTGTGTGTGTGTGTACTTCCCTTGAGTTTACTATTTATTCCCTTTGTTAGGTGAAAGGATAATATACAAAAATAAAATAAGTCTCAGGACTTCTTTAGGTTGGCTTATGCTTGACGCGTCCGCGAGGTCCGCACGGCTCCGCGCGGAAAAGTTGCGTCATTTTGCGTCATTTTAACAACCACGCCCCTCCACCGCGTCTCCGCACGGCCGCAACGCACACCTCGGAAAATTTCTAACCACGCGGATGGACAGACGTGGAAAAACATGGCGGACCGGCAAGAACTAGTATGGCAGAGGTTCGTAAATACAGACATTTGTATGATTCAGCTCTCAGAGATCACCGAGATCAACATGTTAATAATTCTTGGAGAGAAATAGCTCGCACTGTCGGAAAAGACGAGAATGCTGTTAAAAATGCTGAAATGCTGTGTTGTAAACAGTAATTTTTACTTCTACTATGGTGTAGTGTTGGGTGCATGCTGTAGAGCTCCATGCTACCCCGTTCAGTTTGGGAGAATATTGGCTCACCGCAGAGACAAGCCGCACGAACCATAAACGCTGCGAGTTGTGAAGCGCGTTCCATCCGCGAGCCGCATCACCGCGCGGAAAGTGAATGTGTCAAGCATAAAGCTACCCTTACTAGGCAACAAATTGAATCTGTGTGTCATATACTTTTGTATGGGGATGCACGATGTGTTGGCACCAATATCAGTATCGGCCCAAAAATTTCATATCGGTGCATCACTACATTTATACTATTCTTTAATTTTCAGCCCCACAATCCACTTTAAATGTTGTCATTTAATAAAGTAATGATTCGTAGAAACATTATTCTGATAATGGTGCAATAGAAAAAGTTTCAGTATAATTTAATGGCGGATTCACATCTGGCCCAGTCCAGTCCGGTCTAGGTAGCGTCACACACTTCCAGGTGTTGCTCACACCTTCTCTGGAACACGCACATGTTTGAGCATGTGGATGGGGCAAATGCATACGGAGACGTGCGTGGAGCCCCTCAGTTAGTTAACAAAGGTGACTGATGTTGCTTCCTGCTCTCTCTCACTTCCACTGCTGTGTGCTCTTCACAGCAGTCTATCCTCGCACTGCCGCGGCTGGAGCTCCGAGCTGCAGTCAGAGGAGATGTTTACTCCCCGGAAAGCAGACTGATAATTTATCGTGCATGCAGGGAGCCCCTGTTTTCTGACTCTACCCACCATTCGGAGGTTCCCCCTAAAAGTAGGCATGAATATCAGCCAGCCAATCAGTCGGCAGCGGGTGTGTGGGATCAGTTCATCTCGTAGTGGACCGCTCGGGGAGAAGGTCTAAACAAAAGGTCGGTTGAGCACGGAAAGCACACAGACTACCCAGATGTGAACTCAATATACAATGGTAAAAGCGTCATAAGTAAGTAGGTTCCTTCTTTGGGAGACCTAAATATTTATCTGAATCTATTAGAAAATGTGTTATACATGAAGTAATAAATTCAGAATTTGACATTTAATTTTTATGTAATCGGCTACAACATGTGGAGCACCAACATCCTCAGTTCCTTTGTCATATGACCAAAAATAAAACTCTTTTCACACTCTCCCAGAATGGATGAGACTAACTGAGAAATGCCTTGTGCTGGTCTACTGGTGTCTGTGTGTGTGTGTGTGTGTGTGTGTGTATGTGCGTGCGTGCATAAGTGCGTGTGTGTGTCTCCTCTCACTATGATTCAGAGAATAAGCTTCTGTTGAGGCTGAAGCAGCACAGAAGGAGCTGTGTGGTGAAGCAGGAGACCAGCTGACTGACACCATGTCTCCGATCCTCATCTGCAAAGCTCAGGTTTTTACAGACTGTGTTCCTTTGAACTAGTGTTCATTTAATTCATTTCAGTTGAAGAATGTTGCATCATTTAGGAAGCAACACCCCCTCTCCCCCTTATAGAAAAATGCCTGTTTGGTATACTAGTATACTCTTTGATTTAGCACACCTGCTCTTACATTTATCAGTTAGCATTAAAAAGAAAAATACATTTCACATTTATGTTATGTTACCTTTTTAGGAATGTGTCTGAGCTCCAGGCTGGGCTTTAATGGTGAAGTGGGCAGAAGGGGGTAACGGCTGACTGCAGCATGTTTATTCCAGCAGGATGACTCGTGTCACACACAGAGAGAGATTACATAACTGTGCGACCTGCAGGATGCCCCCCTTGCCCGTCACTGCTACAGCTGCCATGCCTCCTACCCTAACTCCCCCTCTTTAAGTCTCCTCCCCACATTTGTGCTCGTCCTTGTCTCTTTTAACAGCAGCTTGGCAAATCTGGCCGAGCAGTGCCTGCAGCTAGTGACTGGACTGATTTACTGGGCTCCGTTTGTGTGTCTAAATGTGGCTCGTGCTCACAGATGTGAATCGATTTAAAATCCATTAACATCACTGAGACTGGGGGAAAAAGCCTGTTTCTGTAGATAGCATGGTCTCTTTTAAAAGTTATTAGTTGTGACCGACAGAATTAAAATAAGAAAACAGTTCTCACTTTTTGTGTTGTGGCGTTTGGCTCTTGAAGGGACGCGTCTCTTAATTTTTGCTCTTCGATGAGGATGTCTCTCAGGTGCTCGCTCACCTTCAAAGGGAGAATGAAACAGACCAAAACACAATAAGAGAGAGACACAGTAGGGTCCGATTTCACACGAGCTTCCTGGCCAAACTCAGCCTCAGAGCAGGATTTGCGTCAGAAATGTGCACCAACCTGGTTTTCCTTCCAAGTCAAGTCTCAGATCTTTAAGTGGCAAGCCCAAATCAAAGACTTGACACTTCATTAATGTTTTTTTCCAAGTCCAAGGAAATTTTCAAGTCAAGCCTCCAGTTCAAAATAAGTCTAAGTCAAGTTAATGATACATTAGATCACTTAAGTCAAGTCTAAAAACTTTGCAACGCAAGGCCAAACCAAGTTTCCTGTCTCTGAGATTCAAGTCCAAGTCTTTGAATGGTAAATGTCAGGTCTGTGGTAAGTAAGTCCAAGTCAAAGACTTTTCAGTTCTCACACAACACAAAAGTCCAGTTTTAAATCAAGTCTCAAGATCAATTGAAGTCTCAGGTCTTTGAGAATTACGTTCAAGTCCATTGTAATGTCCAATGTAAGATGCAAGTAGAAGTCAGTTCTCAAGTTTTTGAGATGAAATTCCAAGTCAGTTTCATGTTACTGAGGGGAAAGTCCTAGTCTCTCCAGTCCAAGGCAAAGACTTGAGACTTCACTAAACTTATTTATCCAAGTCTAAGTCAAGTTTCGTGTCATTGCAGTTTAACTCCATCTCAACTTTGTGTCAAGTCTTCATTTTGTCAGTTAAAGGTGCATTATGTAGAAAAGAATAAAAATGACCTCCTGTGGTAAAATTTAGTTACTGAAACCCCTTCAAACAACTCTGGAGCCTTTTGCCGGCCGTCGTCAAATTACTATTGTCGGTGCTGCAGTTTTAGCTCACAGGAGACACGGCAACCCCACACTCACCGATGGTAAACAGTTACACCCCTCCTTCTTTTGTTTTGAAAGGAGAAAAATAGACAATCCCCACAGCCAGCTGGATTAGAAATATGTTTCATTATAACCTTTCATCCAAAATGACTGAAACATTAGACTCTTTTGGGATTTTCTCACTGTAAAATTCTCACTAGATTCGTACATACTGCACCTTTAAGTGTGACTTGAGTCCAGTTCTTAGATTTGAGTTTCCACCTCTGGTTAGTTTTAAAGAAGCTAGAAATATGAATTTGTAAAAACCTTTAATTTTCAATTTAAGTACCGGTAATGAAATAATTTCCACAGAACTTCCTTCTCAAGAAAAGTGAAGCAGAACACGGTCCTAACATGCCCCAATAATATTTACATGAAGTTTTATCTAAATTTTGAACTAAGGAGGCACAAAGTCACTGATTCTTAGCTCTGGCCTGCCAGGATGTTTCAGGGCTGCACATAAATGAATTCCTGATAAACCACAGAAAGCACAAAAGCTTTTTCCCTACAGACATATTGCATGTCTTATTATATTAGCATTGTATACACATTTAAACCAAATCAAGCTTAAAGAAATCCAGTTCATAGTCACGTTTCTGCGCACTAAAATCAACTTTTCGATGCTGAACAATCTTAAGATCTGATTCAACTTTCTTTCATTCTTGTCTTCAGCAGATCAGAGAAGTTTGAGTCAAGTCAGTTATCTTTAATCTGAACGTGGAATGTGGGTTAGGGTTAGGCTGTTCTTGAGCAAACATATGAACAAACTGAGAGCTGACCCTGTTTCACACCTCTTGTTTTGAGTGTATCTAATGTTCCTGTAGCCAGTGTGTGAAATAAACTCTTGCAAAAAGTCTGAGTGACCTGTTCGTTTTTAGTGCACCGCATACATTTATGGGTTTTGCTTTCACACAAGTGCGTCCCTGCATGTACCTTGTTGCTCCAGGTTGTGATTGCGTCCTCGGTGTCATACGGCAGCCCCTGGACGAGTGCGTCGTTGTGCTGTGATTCAGCAGACGTGTACCGGTTGATGCATGACATCACCCTCTCTACACTCACCATCTCCACCGTGTACGCCATCATCAGGGTATCGATGAGTGCCAGATGGGAACTCTAAACACACAGATGCAAAAAAATAAATAAATAAATAACAGTTAGGAAGATAAATGTGACCATAGATGCTGAAATTGTTACTTTATGATGGGAATTCTACGCGTTAATTATAATTAGGTAGAAAAAACACTTAGAAAAATTATCCCTCAGGCCTGAGCATCCTCCACTTGTGTGTGTGTGTGTGTGTGTGTGTGGGGGGGGGGGGGGAGCAGCGCAATAGTTTAGCTTCAAAATTAATGCCCTATACATAAATAAATATCATCAAGCTGCACCTCTAAAACAACTGCAGAGCCTGGGCTGCAAGGCCATATAAACCAGAGCCACAGGTCTGTAGTCATTGGGTCCTGTGATCCTTGGCTTCTCGGGGACAGGGACTACGGTGGAGCTCTTGAAGCAGGCGGGAACATGACATGCCTCCAGTGAGTAGTTGAAAATGCCCGTAAACACTGGGGCCAGCTCTTCAGCACAGCACTTTAGAGCGGCAGGAGACACACCATCAGAGCCTGGGATTTTTGTGCATTTAGAGTCTTGAATTGCTTCCTACTGGCCAGGGGAGGCAGGTTTTAGATCAGAGACTAGCTTCTGGGAGACGAGCAAGGCCAGATGATGCGTTTCCATCATGGTTTCCATTGACACTTTACATGACTTCCAACGTAAAACTCCAAATTTGCAGCTGAAACAGGAAAATGCATGAATGCAGCAAAAATGGGTTTGGGTTTAGTTATCGTGAGGAAATAACAATTTCACATAGAAAAAACTCCAAAACATGGATTTTCCATGATATGGAACAAATTACAGAGCCTCTAATTAATAATTTATTTTAACAAGTCTCACCTCCATTTATTATCATTTAAAACATCATTTATAGCTGAACTACTCTCATGGCACTCTGAATCACTGCCATCATGTGAACGGCTTTATCAGCCATCAACACAAAGCTCGACATTCTCTGGGCCTTTCCAGACTCATTGCAGCTCGGTCAGACCAACAGACCTCCCCTTCCTTTTCCTGTCGCACTAACAAAACCTTAACACCAGTGAGTGCATTAGTATAAGCTGCTGACCTAAGCATTTACAGTAGCTAAATATCAAACCCAACAAGACAAATATCAGAATCCAGGTGACTCAGTCTGAAACAAAGCGCCCCAGAGCACACGCCTCTATTCTCTGCTCCAGCGTCCCACATAACAGCAGGTGTGAACAAGTTTTTCCTTAAGAATCAGACGTACGATGAACCGCTTTTGACTCGGAGGTGTAACTGGCGTCCGCATGGATGTCCAGTTTAAACAAACAGTGTCCACATAAAACAGACAGCTGGAAAACTAAATCCACGCGGAAATGAGAGAAGATACTTTAATCATCTGTAAATTGTTTTGTGCAACCGCCGGTCACGCAGCATTTCTGAACACCGCCGCTCTATGTTTTTACACAGAGGAAGTGTGATATGTTTATGAAACAGTCTGACAATGTTGTTTTCAGTTCAGGCAGCTTGGGGATATTGCCAGATATTTCACATTGTGTGCATTCTCCATCAGAAATACTGCAGAGCATCTGGATCACAGCTGGCTGACAGACAGATGAGAAAACACAGGCTGAGCAGCTTAAACTGAAAGTGGAGATTTAGAAAATTAAAGTTTCCATTAAACAACCATTCAGCTCATTTGCATAAAACTCTGGAATCTTGTGCTAAGAAGTGTGTGTGTGTGTGTGTGTGTGTGTGTGTGTGTGTGTGTGTGTGTGTGTGTGTGTGTGTGTGTGTGTGTGTGTGTGTGTGTGTGTGTGTGTGTGTGTGCAGAACTCTGGTGTGAAAAACCAAGAGACCTTCACAAGAAAGTGAAATAGAAACCATCAGGGTAATTCCACCTTTAAAGACATTTTTCGTGGTAACTTGGGATGAATGTTTCAACAAAAAAATAAAGGAGGTCAGTTAGAAAATTAAACAGTGACAAAAATAAAGAATTATTAGATAAGTAATGAAAGGAGATTTTATGCACTTTTTGCAGAAACAACACTGTTGTGTAAATTAAATAGTATTAAAAGGTTCCTACTAAATAGCATTAAGACATAATAATGCATGACAAAATGTGAGATTCAGAAACGCTGACGCTGAGGTCTTACGTTTGTCTCGACAGAGTGAATCTTTTTGGGTCTGAAACGATGCAGGGAGGTTAGCGTGCAGGCACTTCTGTAGCACATGAAACTCTTAGAGCTTATAATAATATAAGGAGTATGCTGATTAGTTCAAATATTGATGCCATTCTAATTTCATTTACCAGTGTTATCATGCAAATTCACAGTTAAGAAGAAGAAACTGACTTCCCATTGTTGCTGGATGATGACACAACACCCAAAAAACAAGACGTTGTGGCTCAGAATAAAAGTCTGATGACAATTTGTTCCTCACTATCCATGAAAATATTGAAATAGTCATTTTATTTGTGTATTTAAGGCGTACGTCCTGCAAACTCTTCTTCTGCTGCCGTTCCTGCAGCTGTAGAAGAACGTCTGGATGGGGACTGCAGCACAGACTCTGCCATAAGTGCAGATGTCTATGAATTTTTCACAAATACAAAGCCTCTTATTTTTTGCTGTTACATGATTAAATGATCTAAAATGTTTCTTTAATGACAAAACTCTGATAAAATTAGGTCTGCAGATTGACTGGCCTCTGATTGATTGTCCAGTACCGAAGAAAGGAATCTTCCCAAGAAGTTGGGCTGTCTATTGCATGTTTTACAAAGACGAAAGGGCAGAAATTAAATTAGGAGCAGAACAGTGCCCTAGAGAGCTTGTAAGGGACCACAGAGGTGCAGAAAGTAAAACAACTGCTTCTCTGTTTGAAGAGCATTTTTGGATCAGGGTTTCCTCCTGAATCAACTGTTTAAACAGATCTGAAATTATTAGTTTAGGTTCTTGAACATAATTAGATGGACACATAAAAAAGGTGGACCCCCACTCAAAAAATATAAATACATTTAAAATACAATATTTTAACACAACGTTGTTCCATCTTCAATCAACCAAACAGATTTATGTCAATTCCACTGAGTTACACCCCGGCGGAATACAACTCAGCAGACTCCAACGGTTTTCTTACACTCTTGATGACTGATCTAAAACTCGTTAGCCCACTTAAAGTTTGTGTTCAACTGCTCCACTTTTTTAAATGGTGACTCCTATCCAGAACTTACATGCATGTGCTTGTTTAAGTTCAGAATGCTGAATTAATGAGAGTGCACGAGACGAGAGAAAGTAGAAAATTACTCAAGGGAGCTAGCTACTGCTTATTCCTTTCTCCACTGTCAGAAGGACAAGAAACCAGTGTTGACTCTGCAGTATAAATTTAAAAGCCATGTGCCGCCTGTTATGTCTCTACAAAGACCTCTGGAGTGTGTGTGTGTGTGTGTGTGTGTGTGTGTGTGTGTGTGTGTGTGTGTGTGAGTCTAAAGCTCTTATAGTGACAGACACGCCTTATAAGGCTGTGCAGATGGCAGACGCAGGTCACATACAGCGGTCCAAAGCTGCAGCAGACTCATGCACACCTCTAAAAGAAGTGTCAGTATTTGTCCTCTGCTGCTGCTGTAGGGCTCTGCAAGTGTGTGTGTGTGTGTGTGTGCCCTTCAAAAGGCATCCATGGGAGGGAAAGACACAGCTGAACAAATATATTTCTACACAAACACAATGAGTGTTTTTACTGTGCCAAACATCATGTTTATTGGCGTGAGAACAGGGGGAGTCGCTCTGCAATTCTTCAAGATCAAAAATGTTTCCCTTTCACACACACACACACACACACACACACACACACACACACACACACACACACACACACACACACACACACACACACACACACACACACAGAAACACACTTCTAAATAGCTGTCAGGCCTCCTGCAGTACGCACAAGATTCGTCTGTTCTTTCCAAATCTCCTGTCTGATTCTCTTTGACTGTTTTGTGTGTCTTGTAGATGTCATTCCACATTAAACTGTGTGTGTGTGTGCGTGTGTGTGTGTGTGTGTGTGTGTGTGTGTGTGTGTGTGTGTGTGTGTGTGTGTGTGTGTGTGATTGAGGAGTAGTGAGGGGTGTCATGTGTGCAGCAGACGAGCCTATGAGACCCCACCCTCCACAATGCTGCAGTAGTGCACATCACATCTTCCTCCTCTCCTTTTCTACAACCCTCCCTTCTCCCTGTGAGCTCCACATGCCTCCTCCTCCTCCGTTCTTATTCCCTTTTCTCCTCCTTAACCCCCCCTTTTTCCAGATGGTCATTAACATAGCCTTTTCCACTGGTTTTCCTCATAAATGCATGCCCTCACCAAAAACATCTTTCCTTCCACCTTTTCACAGCTCGTGTCTGTCTTCCCTTTAAATTAGTTTTCTACTTTCTTCACCCTTTCCTCTTATCTTTTGCTCTACTTCCTCCTGGATTGCACCCAAATGGCAGCTCCTAAACTCCATCCCCCCTCCAATCCCCTCCTTTTCCTCTCATTCACCCTCTGTCATCCTGCAACACTCCTCCTCCCTGCTATGAGTTATTCCTATGTAGAACGATGTTTGGAAACCATGAGGTCATCATTTTCTCTGCAGAAATTCCACAATCCATGAAGAAAAGCCTCAGCTACAGTGTCACCGAGGTTAACGTGCTGAGTCCACAAAAAGACACAATTGATCTGCTTTAGAGAACCACAGACGACTCGATAACCATGAGGATACATACGAAGATGAATGAGTTTAAGGGTCAATTTTTAACACTAAAACTGTAGCTATGCCACTTGAAAATGCACAGAAAACAGGAATGGGACGTCACATGCACTTTTACAGGTGTGAAAGGACAAATCAATAGTCAATAACAATACGACACTCATGAAATGATTTAAGAAATGAAAGGAAAGGAAGAAACAATGAAAGACATTCAATGGATAAACATAAAGGAGAAAAAATGGGTCCATATTTGCGTATCTGCAAACAAGTGAAAGTCCTCTGATGGTGAAATAAA